TGTCGGCCTCTTGTTCTTCCAGCCTGTCTTCTGGGGGAGGGGCCTGCTGTGCTGTTACTCAAGCAACCCTGTTGGGGCAGAACTGCCCCGCCCCCTGTTGGGGGGAAGGGCTCAGTGAAAACTGGTTTTGGGGGCTTTTGTTCTCTGGCAGCTTTCCGTGTCTCTTCTGAGAGTCAGAGCAGAAGTGACTGTGCCCAGTCCTCTGTCTCAGCACAGAGCAAGTACAGTCTGTTCTCCAGAAAGCCCTCCAGGCCACACTGACTCTGTTTTCGTCTGTGCTGCTAAACACCCCAGCGTCCTGGGTTGTGTGCCCCACAGCAGCACTCCCAGCCCTTGCCCTCGCCCTTTGTGCTTCTAAAACCGCCAGCCGCCCCCAGTTCACATGTGCACCCCTGCAGCTCCAGGTTTCAGTCCAATGGGCGACCCTAAAGCCCTTTCCCTGCAGCTACCGGTCTGGTCTGCAAGTCTGTGCCCAGGCCCCAGTGCGGGAGGCTTGTGCGCTCCTGTGTTATTTCCCCGCAGCTCCCCGCTTCCTACCTCAAATCCAGCCGCCAGATATATTCTGTTGGTATAGACCCTGAGGTATCTTCCTACATCTCAGGCTGATTTCCTGGGTGGTCAGAGTGGTCTGGTAGATATCCAGCTCAATTCAGGAGACCATCTGAAATAGGGTCCCCTACTCTTCTGCCATCTTGGCCCCTCCGTGAAATATTCTACTATAATTGTGTACTTGTCCATTTCTTCTTTCAGTGCTATCAGTTTTTGCTTCCTACACTTCAAAGCCCTGAGATCAGGTACATAAATAGCTGCGATCATTATGTGGTCCTCATACACTGTCTCTCTTAGCATTAGGACATTACCTTCCTTATTCCCGGTAATAACTCTTTGCTCTGTAATCGATTCTGACAGGAATCTAGCCATTTCCACTTTCTTATGACTAGTTCTAGCTCGGTATGTCTTTTTCCATTCTTCTCTTTTAACTTACCGTGTCTTTATATTCAATGTATTCCTCGGAGGCAGCATATAATTGGATCTCGCTGTATACTCCAGTCTGATCACCTGTGCCTTTCCACTGGAGGTCCTTATAGCATTCACATTTATTTAATTGATACAGTTCGGTTTGAATGACTCTACCATCTTGCTATTTGTTTTCGATCTGTCTCATCTGTTCTTTCTGTTCTTTCCCCATGTTTTCCCACTTTCTCTGCCTTCTCTTGGGTTATCCTTCTTCTCCTTCTGTTGGACTATTAGTTGTAGCTCTTTGTTGCTTTAGGATTTATAGTATTCATCTTTAACTTACTAGTTTATGTTCAAATGACAGCATACTACCGTGCATGTAGTTGTCATTCACTTTACTCTAATATCTTATAGGCCCTAAAATACAGTGCTATTAGTTTTGTCTAAGCAGTTATTCTCTCTTAAAGAAATCTAAATAATTAGAAAATAATTTCATTCACCTGTGTATTTATCATTGCAGGTGCTCCTCATTCCTTTGTGGAGAGCCAGGTTTCCACCTGCTACCATTTCCTTCTGCCTGAATGATGTTATTTAACATTTTTTTTTTTTAGCATGAATCTGCTGGAAATGAGTTCTTTTAGCTTTTGTATGTCTAAAAACATTTTTATTTCATTTTTTATTAGCTTTTGAAGCTTTAATGTAGAGACAATTTCTGATAAGGCTTTTACGCATACTGAAAGTAGCATCCAGGCCCCCTTCCTTTAAAGATCTTCAGAGACTCACAAGAACTACAGATTTGAGGTTTGCAGTTACCATCCAAGGAGGACGAAAATTCAGTGACTTCCCCAAAATAATTAACATGAAATTACAAGTCCTGATTATTCTTATTTTCTTTTTCACAAGACACCCTATCAAGTTTTAAAAAGACATAAAAAAGCACTTTTTAAAAATTTAAGATAAGCCTTTTAAAATATAAAGTAAGACCACAAAGCAGTGTGACAGGTTTTCTTCTGTCACTTGTAAACTCTAGAGAAGACAGTCCTCAGAACCCTAGAAGTCTATGGAAATCTCTTCATTTACAAAATCAGGATAAACGGCATCCAGCCAGGAGTCCAGGGATCTGGGTTTCGGCTGTCATCCTGCACAGCCTCTCAACTTCTGGAGAGCGGAAGCCCCGTCACAGGATGAAAGGGGCTGACTGAGGTCATCCCAAAGAACTCTTCCAGCTCTGTTATTTTGTAATGCGAGCACGTTCCAAGCTACTTGGGGTCAGGGATGTTAGAATCTATTTTGAACGTACAGTACTTTTAAAATTCCTACTTCGTTTTGAGTCCTGTTCTTAAATTTATTTTTTTTCAAGTTCTTCCATACACGGAAATACATTCCTATTTAACAGCCTCTTCATTAATAGCAGCTAAAAGTCTTCTCGGGGTGCCTGGGTGGCTGAGTTGTTAAGCACCCACATTTGGCTCAGGTCATGATCCTGGAGTTCTGGGATCGAGCCCCGCATTGGGCTCCCTGCTCAGTGGGAAGCCTGCTTCTCCCTCTCCCTGCTTGTGTTCCCTCTCTCACTATGTCTCTCTCTCTGTCAATTAAATAAATAAGTAAAATCTTTAAAAACAAATAGAAATAAAATGCTTCCCAAGGATGTATTTCTCATAACTTGCTTGTATTTATTTATTTATGGGGGGGGTTTGCTGCTTTAATTTCTCCAAGATCTCTTTTGCAGTTGTGGGGGCCACCAGTTTTCCATGAGATTGACCACCCTTATCTAAAACCACGTCACTCTCCCTGAGCTCCAGGACGCTCAAAGGTACCAACAGAGCTGGGCATTAGCCTCTCCTTCTGACAGGGCTGGGGGGAGGGGGCAGAGATGGCCACACTCACAGCTTCCGCCATCACGTCTGTTAGAGCATTTTGTTTGGATCCAGGTTTGGTATGGGTGGCTACGACAACACAACATGTAGGATCAACCACCACAGGACCTAAGGGAGGAAGTGGTCTCCCTGGCTCCTTGCTCTGATTCTTACCCTTGTTGATCACACCAGTTTTCTTAGGCATCTCAGCACCTAATGGGAGCTAGGCGGAAGCTCCGGTCCTGTGTCCCAACACAAGCCACCTCAGCCCTCTGCCTAGCCACAGCATCCCTGCCGGGGAGCCGGGCAGAGGTGATTCACCCTTGCTTTTGAAAGATATATTTGCTGGGCATAGAATTCTAGGTTGATGGTTATTCTTCCTTCCAGTACTTTAAAGACATTACTGTCTTCTCTTCTCACTCGCATCATTCCCAATGAGAAGTCAGCTCTCATTCTCACTTTTTCTCCTGGCATATGACAAGTCTTGCTTAACCTGGATGACTCATCATTGCTTTTGAGTAATTTTAATGATGATGTACCTTGGTGTAGTTTCCTTCACGTGTGTGCATGCATGTGTTTCTGTTCATGCTCGAGCTTCTATCTGTGAGTTTAGTTTTCATTAAACTTGGAAAATTTATGGCCAAGATTTCTTCAAATATTTTTTATATGCCCTCCTCTCACTCTTGGCCTTCAGGGATTCCAATTATCCACATGTTAGGTTGCTTGAGGGTGTCCCATAGGTCACTGATGCTGTTTTCTTTTTATGGATTATTTTCCCCTGGGCATTTCAATTTGGACAGTTTTCATTGCTATGTCTTCAAGTTCACTAATCTTTTTTTTCTGTACTGTGTCATCTGCTATTCATTGAAAGCAGTGTGTTTTTCATTTCATTTTAATCTCTAGAAGTTTGAGTTTCTCATATCTTCTATGTATCTACTTAACTTTTTGAACATGTACAATGCAGTTATAGTAACAGTTTTAATGTCCTTCTCTGAAAATTCTAACATCTGTGTTAGCTCTGGGTCCATTCAACTGATTATTCTCATTATATATTGTGTTTTCCTGCCCCTTTGCACACCTGGTAATTTTTGACAGGATGCCAGATATTGTGAATTTTACTTTGTTGGGTGCTGGGTATTTTTGCATTCCATTAAATCTTGAGCTTTGTTCAGGGATACAGTTAAATTACTTGGAAACAGATTGATCCTTTCAGACTTTCCTTTTATGATTTGTTAGGTGGGTCTGGAACAATGTTCAGCCAAGGGCTAATTATAGTTAACTATGAAGGCAAGATTTTTTGGAAGACTCTTCCCAATGTCACATATGTTATTAGTGTTTCTAGTCTGGTTGGGGGAACAAAGCCCATACCCAGCCCTGGGTGAGCAGCAGATGCTGTCCCTGTGAGATCCTCGTGGATGGTTCAGATGGTAGTTTCCTTACATGCAGCACCGATCTGTCCTCTGCTGAATGCTCACAGAACCCCTCGGGAGATCTCCTGAGTCTGCTTTCTGTGCAGCATGCTCCTCCCAGGTACGCCGCCCCTTGAAACTCTAGATGCCTCGGTCTCCAGACTCTCTGCCTGGCCTGTTCAACTCATTCACTCTACTGGGCTCTGTCTTCGCCTCCCCTCCCAGTGCCATGGCCTGGAAACTTTCTCAAAGCAGTCAGCTGAGGTGAATGCAGGGCTCAGCTTTTTTGTTTCCCACCTCTCAAGGGTCACTGTCTTTCAGTGCCTGATTTACAGGGCCTTGAACCTATTGTTTCCTTATTTTATCTGGACTTAGGGGCTGCTTCAGGTAGGACAGTAAACCTGGTTCCCTATTAGTACGCTTTAGCCAGAAGCACAAGTCCAGTTCTCTTATTTTTTCTCCCTGCAATGAACTTCAATTTCTCTACTGATGGTTCCGTGATTTCCTGTTACTTTTTCCTATTGGCGAATGGGGAACCATGGGCCACTTTCTTCCATGCCACTTTGACTAAATCGTCTAAGTCACTGGCTACTATACAGAAACACTGGTGAGACAAACATAGACGGTAACAATTATTTTCATAGAATAATTTTTTGAAGGCCATAATAAGATATCTCTGCCAGAGCACTAGTGTTTTTAGGACACCAAACACTGGATCTGGCCGGGTGCTCAGCAAGAACACAAGGAGGTTTAACGAGTTCTGAACTGCCCCCATTACCTGCACATCCTGTATGCTGAGCTCAAGCATATGACTTGTTGCCATCTGCGTGTAATGCACATTGATTCCTGTAAGACTTGCAAAGACCAGTTCTTCTGGGACTTTATTAATTAAGGACAACCCAATTCCACCTTCTAACTTCACAAGCACCTGAAAGAAAACCAAAATACAACCCAGTTTAAACAGAGGGCAAGGTAGGTAGGAGACTGCAGGGAAACACATGGCTTTAAATCCCTCTGCTTCACCCCTGAGCAGGTGCAAACCTCTTATCCAACTCTAGTCTCTCATTAGGCGCCGTTATCTCTAGGCTCAGTGCCCACCCCGTCCAGAACTCCAAAGTGATATGATATAATATCTCTCTCGGAGCACTGAGCACATTCTGCATTTCATTATAGGAAAAGACCTGTTTGAGAATCTTTCTCCCTGTTTGGGACGCAAGCTTTTAGTATGCTATTCACTGGACTTCCATAATATCCGACACAGAGCTTTACATGCAGGTCCTTATTTTTTTTTAAGTTACTAAATAAATACCCAATAAGTATATGTCTTTTTTTTTTTTTTAAGATTTTATTAATTTGACAGAGAGAGAGAGAGAGCACAAGCAAGGGGAGCAGCAAAGGGAGAGAGAGAAGCAGGCTCTCCGCTGAGCAGAGAGCCCGATGCGGGCCTCGATCCCAGAACCCTGGGATCATGACCTGAGCCGAAGACAGATGCTTAACCCACTGAGCCACCCAGGCGCCCTAGTATACGTTTTCATGTTCACCTCATGTTCCTTTTCAAACTCCACTTTCTTTTTTTTTTTTTTTAAGATTTTATTTATTTATTTGACAGACAGAGATCACAAGTAGGCAGAGAGGCAGGCAGAGAGAAAGGAGGAAGCAGGCTCCCTGCTGAGCAGAGAGCCCAATGCGGGGCTCGATCCCAAGACCCTGGGATCATGACCTGAGCCGAAGGCAGAGGCTTTAACCCACTGAGCCACCCAGGCGCCCCCAAACTCCACTTTCTAACACCCAAACAAGGGAGAGAGGAAGAAAGTCGACAAGAGAAAACTGGGGGCCCTCAAAAAACCTAGTTTGCTTATTCCTTACCTTGTATAAATTTCAAAGTTTCATTTTCCTTCTTGTCATCTTACTTTCGTACACTATCACATTCTGATTCAATTTTAGCTGTGATTTAATTAACAAATTCACACATTCATGTTGTGATGACATAAACACCATAAGGCAACAGCTGTATTTAGAATTCACAGAGGGCAGAGAGAAAAGAGGTCTAAAACTGAGAAAAACATAGAGCAAAGTTCTAAAAAACTAATGATAAAGAAATGAATTTACAATACTTAAAACTTACTTCCAGTTCCTGCTCTGTGTCTGGATTCTTTAATTTCTGTACCTCTTGCTCGGTAACGGGAAGTTCATCCATTTCATATGATGAACGGTCACTTTTCCGTTGGGAGAAATCTGTTATCTGAAGTCAAATACAACACTGTTGTAAGAGGGCTCATACTTCCACAATGAAACCCATTCCATACCAACTGTGTCAAAAGTCACTATGTGCTCAATAATCCTATGGAAGTTAATGGTTTCAGAAGCGCTGCCAACTAAGACTTGGGTAATAATGAAGTAAACTTGGTTGTAAGTCTACAGGGCAAAAGTCAAGTTACAGACCTCGAGAGCATCATATGGGGCACTAGGCATCTACAGGTGATCTAGAATTATTGGTCAAGTCCAAAAGGATCACTTAAGATCACTACATTCGAAGTTTGTCTGAAAAGAAGGGTGCTTTTACAAGAGGGATTGTGGATAATGACACACTGCCCCGGAGAGGTCACTGTCACACACCACCTGCATCTCTCCTTTCCCTCAGCCCTCTAATTACACCAGGCCCTGACAAACCTATATCTCCAGCACAGATCTCTCCCCTGAGCACCGGACCCACATTTACAGACTTCTAGACATTTTCACGTAGACAGCATATACTAACAATTCCCAAACTCGTCATTCCTTGACCCCTCATTGCCACAGAAAAACCACAAAATTTGCAGTATGTGTCAGACTTTTAATAATCTGACCTCTGCTTCTGTCTCCAGTATTATCTCCGAGCCCGCTCTCTGTGCCCGTTGGGCCACTCCCTTTCGACTCCAGGCCTTCAACTTATCAACTTCCCAAATCCTACATCATTTCTTTATTACGTTTTTTGCTTACTATTTGTTTACCCCTCCAAAATGGGAGTTCCCAGACCACAGGGGGTTTTGTATGTTTGTTCAGTAGTCTGTGCTCAGTACCAAGAACCACGCTTGGCTCTAGTAAGTGCTCAGTAAAAAACTGCTGAACGAACACTCTTCTCATTAGCGCGCAGCCCCTCCACCTTCCCTGGTGATCTGGCTAACTCCTCTCAGTCAACCTTTAGATCTCAGCTTAAATATTACTCTTCTTAGGAAGCCTCCAAGTCTGGGAATACGAATCCTTCCTGTATATTCTGCAGAACACCCTCCACTCCCGCTTTCACTACACAGTACTGTCATGGTCTGACCCAGGACTTCATGCATCTTGTTGTTAATATATCAATTAAAGATTTAAGTAATATATAATGACTGATCATAATAATATGTACCATTCTTGGCACTGCCTTCTTTAACTCTCATACCTTTTTCTAATATCATCTTATTATTTTTTATACTTCAATTCTTATCACAACTTTGTGAAGTAGGTCTTGCCCCTATTTTATAAACGTGGACATCCTATTCTCATAGCCAGCATAAATGTCTCAATAAATATCTGTAGAATGACTAACCAATGTGTGGAGGGAAAGCACAGTGAGATTCACATCAGTTCTTATGATAAATCATCACCTGGAGTGCTCTGGTTGGCCCATCTGGGATGACTCGGATGGATAACATTCCAGAACCAGGCCTCATTTTTTGGTTGATAAACTGTTGTTCAGGAGGAACTGGCCCCAGAAGCTCCATGGAAGTGTCAGGACCAAGAACAACTTCAGCTCCATCAAATAAACCGGAAAGTCCTCCTTTGGCCTAAAAGGATAAAGACGTGAAAGCAAAGAGAAAGGAACTGACTTTGACAATGTAACATGTCATCTGAAGCAAGTTATCAAATTTAAATTCTCTTTTGAAGGGTCATGATCAATTTTTAACAAAGCATTTACTGTCTCTTCAGCTTTACTGAAGATGAAAGCCAGGAGGATTACCTGGGCAAGACAGAAAGTTATGCTACAGGAATTTAGGGAATTCTGAGTAAGAATAGAGTATATTGGTTTACGAATAACTTCCAGTCATTAAAATAAGCTTTAAAAAAAGTACCAAAGCCCCGTTTCTCTGAGTATTCTCATGCAGGTTTGGTTAAAAAACTAAAACATCAGCCTTCCAATAAGGAGCAAATTCTAGAGTTGAAAATCTCGGTAAATAGGCCGACAGTTGGACAGTGAGCTCAAATATTCAAACAATGGTGCCTCTTCTAAAATGAAACAGAGCAGCAAATACCATCTGAAAACCAGCTACTCAGACCTTTGGAGGAAAGTATCTTCTTGCTATCTGCCCAAAACAAAACGGAAGTCTACGGGACCATGCCTATGGGACAGCAGATACAGGGCTAGAGAAGATAATGGCTAGTGTGTCTTGATCCCCTTTGTTAATTTTTAAATACTGAGTAATGAAAAGGAAACTCTGAGCTGGGATTACAAAACAGATTGCAACACGGAGAAAGCTTTCTACGACTGTTGTAAATTCGGAAAGAAAGTGCATACACAACCTTCTCAGGGCAGTGCTGTCAGATGGTTAATGCCTTCGGTTACTTTATTTAGAATAATAAGAGCAAAACAAGCTTATTTCCCTAACCAAAGCACACCCTGCTCAGCTGAATACTGTTATTATAGCGTCACTCACAACCACAGAAATGATGAACTGGATTCAAGAAACAAAAAACACCAGCAAAGGACGGGGGCGGGGGTCTGCTCTACAAGAATCCGAATTCCATGGGCTTTAGGAACAAACCGGAAGCGAAGTCCGCGGAAGTCCAGGTCAGACCTGGGGCCCAACAATTACAACGTGCCCTCTCTTGCCTCCAGAAGCCCGAACTGTATTGTTAATTGAAAATCACAAATCCATACCAGATGTGTGCTTCATAGAAGTAAGCGGCTTGGCTTTGTCAGAAAAAGCTCAGGGCAAGGGAGATAAAAGAAAATAAATCTCACCAAACAGCAGGCAGAGGTTCCTTCCAATTTTGCTCATTGCCCTGGAGAACAACCTCCCGCTATGGAGGGCCAGTCTGGTGTCCACCAGGGACAAACACGCTAAGGGTCCTCTAAGCTGGGCCCTGATGCCATCGTGTTTACCTTTTGGGTAGAGCCCTGGGCTGAAGCAGAAACTGCACCATGTCACACATGTCGTTCAGCGATATGCCCAAACCTCGGTGACAACTTCCCACCCACTCACTCCAGATCCAGGGTCTTATTTCTGGCCTAAAGCCAGAAGAAGGGCAGAAAATCCAAACTCCTGGTCATTTTCTAAACATGTAAACATTGCTTATGAGGTCCCTGGTGATTTATCATAAGATAGACTGGCGGAGGGCAGAGGAAACTGACCAGCAATCTTCATTCTGACATTTGCTAGAATAATTAAACGCTTATTTGGGCACCACTAAGAATGCAGAAATAAAACGAATCTAGAAAATGCAGCTAGAACACTTCACGGAAGACTGTTGTAGATACTGGATTAATTCTACAGGCCTAAAGCTAATCCACATAACTTAGCATTGGGCTTTTAGCTGGCATTTTTCTTTCTTTCTTTTGAAAATTACATAGGTAATTTTTTTAAAGCTTTTATTTATTTATTTGAGAGAGAGAGCGAGCGAGTGAGCACGAGTGGGGAGGGACAGAGGGAGAGGGAGAAGCAGACTCCCCGCAGAGCAGGGAGCCCACTGTGGGGCTCCATCCCAGGACTCTGGGGTCACGACCCGAGCCGAAGGCAGATGCTTATCTGACCAAGCCACCCAGGCGCCCCATACAGGTAACTTAGATCACCAAAGAAAAATAATCCAAGTAAGCCAAAAAAAAAGGTCCCATTACTTACAGGCAACAATTCCCAACGCATTTCTCATACACCAACTTTAAGAATATTCTCCCTGTAAAAGGGGAACCCTCCTACACTGTTGGTGGGAATGCAAGCTGGTGCAACCACTCTGGAAAACAGCATGGAGGTTCCTCAAAATGTTGAAAATAGAACCACCCTATGATCCAGCAATTGCACTGCTGGGTATTTACCCTAAAGATACAAACGTAGTGATCCGAAGGGGCATGTGCACCCGAATGTTTATAGCAGCAATGTCTACAATAGCCAAACTATGGAAAGAACCTAGATGTCCATCAACAGACGAATGCATAAAGAAGATGTAGTATATATACACAATGGAATACTATGCAGCCATCAAAAGAAATGAAATCTTGCCATTTGCGACGACGTGGATGGAACTAGAGGATATCATGCTTAGCGAAATAAGTCAATCGGAGAAAGACAACTATCATATGATCTCCCTGATATGAGGGAGAGGAGATGCAACATGGGGGGTTAAGGGGGTAGAAGAGTAAATGAAACAAGATGGGATTGGGAGGGAGACAAACCATAAGTGACTCTCAATCTCACAAAACAAACTGAGGGTTGATGGGGGGAGGGGGGTTGGGGGGTGGAGTTATGGACATTGGGGAGGGTATGTGCTATGGTGAGTGCTGTGAAGTGTGTAAACCTGGCGATTCACAGACCTGTACCCCTGGGGATAAAAATATATTATATGTATATAAAAAATAAAAAAATTAAAAAAAAAAAAAGAATATTCTCCCTGTAAACGCACGCAGATGCACAATGGAAGTTCCTTGACCTTCCGGACTATAATGACACAATGCATATTCGCTCTGTAATGATTTCCCCCTTCCAGTGTATTTATCTTAATTGAGACTTGGCTTCAAAGAAGGTTCAAGCACTCCTTGCTGCAGCTGAGGGCGTCAAGCACTACTGACCTGAACAACCAACCCGTGCAGCCCACAGGTCAGTTTTCCTTCCCGGAAACTCCACGTCTGAGTCGTGCTTCGCCTGCGATCCGGCTTGCGTAGCATCAGTGGCTCGTACCTGCAACACAGGGAAATGCAGTGAGTCTTCGAGTCGAGTATGTGAGGCCTAAACAGAGTACCGGGGTCGGTTTTGCTCTTCTTTCTTCCAACATCCTCCCTCCTTAAAACCCAATGGGCAGGCGGCCCGAATCCCACAGCAGCGAGGTGTCTCTTCATGAGCAAAGAGGAATAAGGCAAAATGGGAAGCATCGAACAGGGGGACACAAAGGAGTATCAGTACTTTTAAGGATTCACAATAGCTGGAGTAATCTGGTCCCTGCATTCCCACAGTGAGCAGCTGTCACGCAGTTTGAGAAGAGCTGTCCACTAAATAGATCAGAAAATATTTTCAAGAGGGTTTTTTTTCTATTTAATTCCCAATTACCTTTATTTTATGTCGGGTTTTCACTTGTAAGTCATGTAAAGTCCTTTTGTAAGTGAGTAAGGTATCAACTGGGAAAAAATACACTGACTGCATAAAGAAACTAAGTCACAGGCAAGTCAAGTAACTTATTTGTCCCAGGTAACTCATTCAAACCCAAGAAGTTGGTCATAAAAACACATTTGATTATTCTCTCAATAGTTTATTTCTGCTTTTGAAATATTTAACAAGAATTCTTAAAAAGAGGGGCACCTGGGTGGCTCAGTGGGTTAAAGCCTCTGCCTTCGGCTCAGGTCATGATCTCAGAGTCCTGGGATCGAGCCCCGCGTTGGGCTCTCCGCTCAGCAGGGAGCCTGCCTCCCCCTTCTCTCTCTGCCTGCCTCTCTGCCTACTTGTGATCTCTCTCTCTGTCAAATAAATTAATAAAATCTTTAAAAAAAATACAAAATTCTTACTTCATTTACAGGCTTACTTTTTGGTATGTATCTCCACCGAAACGGAGTTTGGAAGCAATGGGCTGGCATCAAAAGTTGCCTAGAAAAGTACCTGTTGTCAGTTACTGCCGCGAGACCAGCGATATCCAAGATGGCAGAGCCCTCTGGGGAGCGGGCTGCGGAGGGCTTATTGGGGTTGTGAGGCACTGAAGATCCCTCGTGGGCCAGCATGCCCGTGCCAGTCATCCTCCACAGTTGGGAGCGCTTCCCGGGCTCCTGGGGGCAGAGAGACACAGGGACACAGAAAGCCGTCACAGGCAGAGCCAAGCTTCAGGTAAGGATGTCAAGAGCCTCACACGAGGGCTACATTCTCGAGCAGAAACTACAGTCAGACATTTTCCATATTATACACAAGCTTAATTCTAACTTCCACTGTTGTCAATCCCAAGCTGCACTTAGGATGAAACACGCTGAACTCTTGAACCAAACATTACAAGTAAAATATATATATATATATTTTTTCAAATAATATATATTTTAAGGATTTTTTTTTATATACTTAGTATTTTCTGAGCAAACTAGTGAGTTGAGGTTCAGTCCAAACTCCATTAGCTGCACTGCCAGGATAACTGCTGTCCCAGATTGTGACCCTCGGGTGCCCTTACCTTCGAGAGGGATCCAATTATATAAAGTATATATGATAGTCTTTATATTTGATCACTGGTAATCCTCATAACTGGCAGACAACCAGAATTTACCAGATGTCTTCTCCCTTTCCGTGTTTATCATGGAAGTACAACTATATTGATGGTTTCTAATTCATAAACTGATTCTATTCAAATATAAAGTTGACTGAATTCAAAGGTTATATTAAGTTGACTGCTGTTAATTCTAAATATAGTTTCTCCTTTGGAATGTTTTATAAACAGCTCTTGGACTTCCAGGTCAATCCATGGAAGTTTATAAAATCCATTATATTCAAGAAGTAATAAGAATAATAATACTTATTGAGAATTTACCATGTACCAGTCACTGATCCATGGGATTTACATGTAGTAACTCACTTAATCCTTAAAACAATCCAATGACGTATATCCCATTATTATCTTTACTCACAGGTGAGAAAGTTACAGCTCAGTGAGATGAAGAAACTTCGGTGTGGTCACATAACCATCAGGTGGAGGGGTGAGGATTTTATTTCCACAACCTAATTTCAAAGCCAACAGCCTTAACTACTTCGCTCACAGGGCCTAATGCAACCCAGATATTGTTGGGCAGTAGCCCCTCGCCTCTAGAAGGCACTCCAGCTAGCCCTGTCAGGACCACATCCACTCTCACCAGCCGGGAGCTCCTCCACAGCAACAAACCTTTGTGGGGACCACACAAGGGGTCGTGGGGACCACACAAGGGGTCCTGGGGACCAGGCTGCCCCTGTCTAAAAGCTTCTGCGTAACAGTCTACAGAGTCAAAACTAATGAAGTTCTATGAACACCAGAGTCAAAGGCCAAGATCCAAAGTCCAGCTGCACCAATTAGCAGTGAATGACCTCGGACAGGTCACTAAACCTTGCAGAGCCTCTGTTTCCTGATCTGTCCAAGGGGGAAATGAAGCTATGTTGTAGGGTTCCTGCGGTAAGTGTAACGAAGAGAAGGCACTTGGCCCAGGACGGCCTCGCGAAATGTTTGCTGTGTTAGGATGACTATGGTTCTTCGCCTGGCACTTTCCGTACCTCATCTTAGTTGATTCTTCTCACGAACCTGTTAGATCAGTAAGAAAGTGAGGCTCCGTGAGGAATGCGAAATACCAGATATCATATATCTTTAAGGGGCAAAACCAAAACACGAAGCCAGAAAGATATGATGCTCTTTCTCCTGTGTGCTCCTTGCCAAGAGAGGACACTGAGCTGCACACCTGCGGCCCCCACCTGCTCACTTCTCTGTTCGTGGTGAGAGCGCACCTCGATCCTCGGTGCCAAAGCCAGATGGAAAAGCAGCTCAATTATCCTGCAGCTGTTCCAGATTGGGAATCAAAGCACAGATGCTGGAGGAAATCAAGTTTTCATACATGGATTCCTCTACTATCTGCCCTTACATGTAGACTCATCAGAACTGGAAACTACCAACATTTCCATTTTAAAATCTGAGATGTACCATTCTCCTTCCAGTTCCTTTCCCCAGTTCCCTCACAATTTAGCCCAAAAACCTTGAGATGACACTGAGGAAGACAGAAGTTCATGAGGACTGTGATGGTGGGTGGGAGGGGGGTTTGGGGGTGGACAGCCCACAGTGTTGTGTTGAAGCCCAAGGCGCGTGACGATCCGTACCAAGGGACGGGAGGCTGGAAGCTTAGTGTGGGCTGTCAGAGACCAAGAGAGGTGAGAAGAGCATTCCTGCGAGGGGTGGGGGCCGAAAAGGGTGCTTGCTGTCTAGGATGTGGAGATTGGAGGCCAAGCCAGATCCCAGGGTGTGCTTACACAGGCGATAGGGCACAACTCTGGAGCCAGAAGACTGGGTTACATTCAAAGGAAGTGATCGAATTAGTAAATATGTTCTTAGTGCTGGACAAGGGACTTACAAATATGGAAAGGGAGAAAATTAGGATGAATTTGTGATGTTGGACTGTAATCAGAAATATCAGTGTGAACTGCTGGTTCTTAAAATACAGAGATCTAGAAATATGCAGAATATATAAATACATAAAATGTGTACATATATGCATGTATACTCTGTACATACGCATACCTATATTACAGCTTGGGTGCAGGCACGTGTATGTATGTGTACATAGGCCGTGAGCACAGAAAACCCCTAGCTCTGTCCCTCAGGGGGAGCCTGGAAAGGACATTGCAGTAGCGACGAGTGCACCTAGTGTACGTGTCTTAGCTTTCTAACTTCCACTCTCTGCTAGGAGGTGTCAGGGCTTCTTGAAGAAGGACAAATTCCAGCATGCAGCAGGGAAAGTATAGCATAACCTGCTGTTAGTAAGTACGGACGTGTTCAGGGAATGAGGGGCAAATGCCAAAAGGACACCCAAGAAGAAAGAGCTCCCACTGACCGAATATGGGGACTGAGCATAAATGTATTCTGACGGGAACAGGTAACCCACTGAAGAAAAGAGGAATCCATTGTGACAACATACACTGACACCCCTGCCCCAAGTTCTTATGTTAGAGACCTACTCTGAAATGTAGATGGTATTTCAAAATGGAACCCTTGGGTGATAACTGGGTTTAGATCAGGGCATATGGATAGAACTCTCCTGATGGAATTAGCACCATTCCAAGGACAGGCACCAACGAGCTGGCTTTCTCCCCTTCTCCCCCTTAGACTCTCTGCCATTGGAAGACACGGTGAGAAGGCAGAAGTCTACAAGCCAGGAAGCGGGCCCTCAGCAGAGAACCGCATGACCAGCACCCAGATCCTGGCCATCCCAGCCTGCAGGAACTGTGAGAAATGAATTCCCATGGTTCTAGTCCTCCAGTCTACAGTATTCCATCATGCGAGTCCAAGCCAATACACATACATAATGCACAGAAAATGTGATGAGGATCAGGATGTCTACAGAGTCTCCAAGTACCCGTCCACAAAGTATTTACTAAATGCAAGGGAAAGAGAGAAACTTTGCTTCACAATCCAGAACCACCTTCATCAAGTGCTGAAGATAATATCAGCAGTGACAGGACAAATCGAAATCACAGCATCCCTTCTACAGAATTTCTGCCTGTTTTTCTCTGAGTTTGAGATTCTTTCAAAATAAAAAGTAAAAGGACAAAAACTAACCAACCAACCAAGGACCCAAGATGTCAGACTTTCTACTCTTGGTTTCCAGTTGAAGAGCAGAGGACCATTTCCTGAGGCTAATTCTTGGAAAACAGCCTAGTTTGGGATGTCAGTGTAACTCATTTACGTCTACCCTCCTATGTACCAGTTTCCATCCCGATCAAAGGAAATTAACAGCAGTAAAAATGTTATATAAATTATAGTATCTTTTTCAAAACATTTTTTTCCTACCTCATTAAAAAAAAGTCTGTTTTTGTCTGCTTCACAGTCATCCAGCCCTTGGAAATTAAATCATTTATCATTCCTGTTCTGCTGATCAAACCTGGTGCTCAAACCCCAGCTGGCAAATCACCTTACTTCTGAGTTTGTCTCCTTTCGTGCTAACATGCTCACCAGCTTGAACATTCTTGGAAAACCATCTGACAACATCATTTCCAAGGGCTCTGCCATTTTTTTCAATTCACTTGACTTCTGTTGGACTTGCTGCTTTTCATTTTTAGATTACTACTTTTCAAAGTTTTTCTTCTTCAGAATTCCCAATAAAAGCCTCCAGACCTTTCAATTACTTTCAATTACTATGCCTCACGGTCTCTTTAGTCATCACCATTCCCAAATCTTGTTTCCAAAATGCATCTCACAGATAGGCACAGCCTTCCACAAAGAGGGTGATAACAGGGGCACCTGCGTGGCTCAGTGGGTTAAAGCCTCTGCCTTCAGCTCAGGTCATGATCCCAGAGTCCTGGGATCAAGCCCCGTATCAGGCTCTCTGTTCATTGGGGAGCCTTTTTTCCCCTCTCTCTCTCTGCCTCCCTCTCTGCCTACTTGTGATCTCTGCCTGTCAAATAAATAAATATTAAAAAAAAAAAAAGAGGGCGATAACACTGTAAGTGAATCTGAATTACATGATTCTGAACTGGTATAAGGATACAGGCAGAAGTACTGATAGGGTGACAGAGGGGTGAACCTTGCACACATCGGGCTCAGAGTAAGAGGCCACTCAGAAGACGCCGTTCTTAGGAAAGTCCAGAACAGGGAAGTGTATAGCGACAGAAAGTAGGTTAGTGATTGCTTAGGGCTGGGAAGTAAGAGGAAAATGGGGCAAGATTCAAGGACATAGGGTGTCTTCTAGAGGTGATGAAATGTTCTGAAATTGAGTGTGATGACGCTTGCACATTTCTGCGGATATACTGCAAACCGTTGAATCACACACTGTGAGTGGGGGGGGCCTGTATGCTATACGAATTACACCTCACTAAAACTGTTAAGAATATAAAAAGTGAATTAAAAGCACATGTGTTAGGGGCACCTGAGTGGCTCAGTGGGTTAAAGCCCCTGCCTTCGGCTCAGGTCATGATCTCAGGGTCCTGGGATGGAGCCCCAGGTCGGGCTCTCCGCTCAGCAGGGAGCCTGTTTTCCCCTGCCTCTCTGCCTACTTGTGATCTCTGTGTGTCAAATAAATAAATAAAATCTTTAAAAAACAAAAACAAAACAAAAAAACACACATATGTTAAAGTTTCATTTGGCGTACAAAATTTGAAATGATTTGAGTCTACCCCTCTCCCCATTTAAACATTTGAGAGGAGTTGTATAAACTCAAATCCAAATTAAGCTACACCACTGACACATGCAAAAACCACTTTTGGTTATGAAAGGTGTCCATTGTCAGCATTAGGGCAACGGGGTGGTAAAGAGACATTCACTTATCAGGGTTATTTTTGGATTGTCTGATTCACATGATGGAAAACCTTCAGGAACAAAGCCTTTAAGTAAATGTGTTTTTAAAAAAATTACAGTTGGTCAGTCTCCCCTCTCTTAAAGGCACTTCTGCACCTCAGTGTTCCCATCCGGAGGAAGCCATCCAGGCCGCCTCCACCCCCTCCCTGCTCACGAAGAGGGGCTGGACAGGATGACCACAATCCCCTGCAGGGCTTAAAAAAAAAAAAAACTCCTCTTCTAAATTCTAAGTGCTAGGTTCTCTTACCTTCTTCTTTAAAATGACTCTTTGTGTCTTTGGGGAGACATCCAAGACAAGCTCCGCACACGCAGTAGTCTTGCTAGAGGCGCCGGGCCTTCCCGTCCCCTCCTGTAAACTAGAATTAGAACAATAATGCACATATACATACACGCATCTACATACACGCACGCGTGTATTCAAGAACTCAGATGCAAATCCTTAAAAGGCTTAAAACCTCAACTATAAAGAGGAAACTTTTTTTTTTTTTTTAATCACAGCAGAAAAAGTCTAACTCAAGTTGTGGAAAGATCAAGGTTGTGCTGTTTTCTTGTACAGTTCAAAGATTCATTTGTCAGAAGATGTACTGACATTTCCCCTCTCCTGATGATTTTAGTGCCTTAAAATTCAGACATAAAAGAATGACTATATATCCTTAGAGCCCCCCACCCCCAAATTAAGCCAGACATTCCAAGCGTCCAAGAATTAGCTCTGCTCTTTGCCAGAGAGAAGATCGGCATCACTGCGTCCCCAAGGCTTGGCACGAAATCAGAAGTCCCTTTAGGATGAAAAGAAAACAAACGGTTTATAATCACCTGCTTCCAACTCGATCGTGTTGTGTTTCTCCATGGCTTAAGAATCCTAAGCTTTATGGAATGCTGCAGGCTAGCTACACTTTGGGGTATTTTGATTAGATTTTATTTAGATTATTCTCCTGTTTCCACTAATCTTTATCATCAAAAAGGGACCGAGAAATTCGGAGTGAAAAACTAGTTTTCATGACCAAAAAAGTACAAGTGACAAAAATAAACACATAAATTAGATTTCAACAAAATTAAAACCTTCTGCTCTTCAAAGGACACCAACAAGGAAGTAAAAAGACAATTCACAGAACGGGAGAGAAGACGTCTGCAAATCATACAGCTCATACAGAATCTGTATCCATATTATACAAGGGACTCAAATTCAACAACGAGATGCCAAAAAAAAATTAAAAACAAGTAAAGGATTTGAATGGACATTTCTCCAGAGATACGCAAATGGTCCATAAGCACATGAAAAGCTCAACATCATGAGGTATTAAGGAAATGCAAATCAAAACCACCCGCAGAAGTCACTACACACCCAGTAGGAAAGCTACAGTCAAAAACCTGTGAAACAGCAAGTGTTGCGGAGCTATGGAGAAGCCGAACGCTTGCCCACTGCTAGTGGGAAGGCACAGTGATTCAGCTGCCGTGAAGAGCAGGAGAGCAGTTCCTCAAAAAGTTAAACCCAGAAACACCATGGAACCCAGCAATTTCGGCCCTAGGTGGATACACCAAGGAAGTGGAGACAGTACTCCAACACACATGGGCAGAGGCACGCTGACAGCAGCCCCCTCCACAGCGGCCGAAAGTGCACACCACACTGGCGTCCATCAGCAGAGGAATGGACGCCAGAGTGGGGTACGTCCATACAACGGAACATTACTTGGCCACAACAGGAAGGGAATTCTGACACATGCTAGAGTGTGGGTGAACCAGGAAAACATCATGCTAAGTGAAAGAAGCCAGAGAGAAAGGGCCACATATTTATGACCCCATTTATGTGAAATATCTGGAATAGGTAAAATTTTAGGGATGGAAAACAGACTGGTTGTTGCCAGGGGCTGGGGGGTAAGAAGGTGGTGCCGAGTAACTGCTTAATGAGTTGGGCGTTTCTTCCTGGGCTGATGCAAATGTTCTGGAACAAGACCCAGCGGTGGCTGCAGAACAGCACGAACACACTAAATGTCACTAAATGTCCCTGAACTGTTTGTTTTTAAATGGTTAATTTTATGTTGTGTGCATTTCACCTCAACTGAAACTAAAAGCCAAAACAAAACTAGTCTCTTCCTCATCATTTGTTCTCTGCAAAAATGCAAAGAAATCGTGTCTAAAATATGCCCAAACATGGGACAATCTCTCCCCATACCAAAACTCCCAGGAACCTCTCGCTTTATCTGCTCCCTATCTGCCCAACCCATTAAACTCACAATCACCCAAGGAGTCTTCAGTTAAAGAGCGTAATAACTACTGAAATTTCACATGAGAACATAAAGAGAAAAACATGATTAGCAACCAGATTAAGAACTGGTTTTTCAGGCACTAAAACCTTAAGCACATCATGCTGGCCAGTGCCATAATCTTTAAAAAGAAATGAGCAGCCTGACTTAATTACAACAAGATAAACAACCCAGCACCAGTATTTCCAAAGAGATCCGTAACAAACAAGGAAAAGAATGGTGATTCTAAGCAAAGATGCCCATTCAATTCATTCATTGCTAGTGAAATCTGGGCTCTAGCTAGGCGAGAGGTGCGGCCAGACCCACAGATAATTTTGTGAGCCTCAGTGCAGACAAAAATATCATTCATAAGCGAAATTATTCAGAACATTTTGGTAAGGGATCTGACCTTGAATGTCCTGTCCAATGGGGGAGTTATATTTGTCATGCTAAAGATTTAGCTCTTTTCCCTGTTTTTCCCACAGGTAAACTTTAAAACTGGCCCCATAACCGGCACAGAAACAATCAACTGTATTTACATTTTGCTGGAATGACCAGTTTTTGAAAGCCTGGTGTTCTGAATCTCTATGTACCAACCTAACAACAAAATTGGAATAAACTTGCTATTCCTCACCTGAGTTTCCTAAATACAACTAGTGAGAGGACAGTGAAGGTTATGATTCTCAGGCGGCTGGAATTACTGTCAAGTTGAGCTACTCTGGTTGGCTATCAGTGATGACCAGTATTCTCAATGGGAGAGGGGAGTCAGAATGACGATTTGAATAATTATGATAAAGATCAGTCAGTTTCAAATGAGAAAAGAGATAAAAATACCAAGAAGTTTAAAAAATACATTAAAAATACCACCTTAAAACAAGAGGAACTGAGGATATGAGAGTAATACCTTATGGGAGGAATGTTAAATACCAGAATGGATTATTGGTGAGATCTTTAAAAAAAGAACAGTTTTGCCTCTTTGGATAAATTTAATCTCGCCAGAAGACAAGGCTTTAGCCTAAGACCTCTCAAGATAGACCCTGAGCCTAGGATTTGGTCAAGAATGGAAGGAATCTTCCTTCATCCTCTGGGCCTTTTGAGAACTGCTTAAAATCTAAAGCCAGTTAATAATTAGAGCCTTCTGCTTTATAAGAACAGTAGTTCAACCCAGAATTACCCCGAGAATGTATACGTAGCAGCGATGTAAATGAAGTTTTCATAATAGAGCTGTCGGTTGTCCTGAAAATCATTCATGCTGCAGCTGAGCTCGGAGGAGCCCGCCCCTTTCACGGTGAGCGTGATGAAAGGAGGCAGGGTGGGTTCATCCCAGGCATAATCCAATGACGTCATGGGCTTCACTTCGGTTCGGAGTCTGGGTTCAGCTACACCGTGCTGAGTAAAGACCACTGGAACCTACGGTAATGGCAAAGAGGATAAAGAGGGCTTTCATTCAGAGTGCTGTCACTGGAAAGTGAGTCGGGGCTCCCCAGGCTCAGGCTCCAGATCCTGCCCAAGCGAATCCCACACGGAACAAAACCACAGTCATAAGCATAGTCCTCTAGCCTCTTCAAATGCCCTTCTAATCATCTTCCTAACCATATCAAGCCCCCAACAACTAAAGGACACAGGCCATCTCCTCTACTCTCACCCCGCCCAACCCTCGCCCCCGTGATCCACTCTGAACACAGAAAGGAAAACAAATTCTGGCATTCAGCTTTGGGAAGTCACATATTATAAGACATTGTTACTCAAAGGTGTAACTTAAAAGAGCCTCTTCTGATTTCCATTTTGTCTTTCCTTGTAAGATTTATAAAAAATGTTCACTGTAGTGACGCAACAATAGAAGTGCCCGTTCCCACTGTCAGCAGACAAGCTGATTCTGATTCCTCTCTCTGTACGGAATGTCCCCCAGACAATCCAGTCAGGATGACTGTTGGGGGGGGGGGCTGAGAAGTCACTTCCGGACAAGGTTGCCCAGCAATCAAACTAACGAGCAGAAAACACCTGAGGGTAAGGATGTCTAGGGTTGTCCGGCTGCAGAGATGCCCATATAGTTTCTTTCCAACCCAAGTCTAGAAGGTATTTCCTCCTTATCTTAAAGGCAATACGTACACCAACTTCCCGTACATGCAACAGCCAAACTGGCTCACGACCCCACTTGATACCTTAGAAAAGTTGTCAATTCGGAAAGGCGGGGGTAACTGGTCCGTGTCACTAAACGAGATCCTGTAGGTGGCTCCTCGGAGAGTAATTTCCACACGCAGGAAGAAGCACTTCCCCAGGGTATCTCTGCACATAAAGGAAGCAAAGAGGCTGCACACCATGGAGGAAACAAGTCACAGTTTGCTCAGACTTCTCGCCGTCGGGGTGTCGCCTGGACCTCGACGGCCACCACTGCGTGCTCTTTGATCATATTTGAAAAGTAGAAATGGACCACATAATCACACTGAATGAAAAAGAATGCATCCAAGGAACTTCTGACCAGCATTTGTCAGCATACAGTAAGACCAATGGTTTACGTGGTAGGTTTTTCTTGGGTAATGGTGCCAGCGTAGCAAATGAGTAAAATAGTGTTGATGTTGCTTACACACACACACACACACACACACACACACAAGAGTAATTTCACATGGTTCAGACTAATGTATGGATGTTATTAATAACCAGTGTTTTTACTATAGGATGACGAAAGGTGAGGAAGAGTCCACCATTAGCACCAGTATATAATCATGATTTTTTAATATATGTGTGTCTTTATGTACATGTGTATGTGTATTTAAATACAGATAGATCACTGGAGAGAATAGGGGAGCTCTTCCTTACAAAGGAATATCACTTAACAAATGTAGAAGAAATGAAAGAATTAGAAAAATCACCACTTTGCAACCACCAAGGTAATCATTGATTCAGGCAAGAGCCATCAAACCACCGCGTGAGAAGTTCCTGCAGAGCAGAATATACACACAGTCTCAAACTATCCCCCCAGTGGTCTGCTACTGTTTACAAAGAACCAAAGGTCATTGCACAGAAAGGCTGGTGGACACCACCCTGATCTAGTGAAGACTGAATTTAGCAACATCGATAATGGGACTGATGGATGTCACGGGCTTCCGGTGTGACCCACTGAGAAACACAAAGAACCACATAGGTAGTACTCTTACCAAAAATGTCTGACCTAAGTCTATGTATAGGAAACTCTCAGAAAAAAGAAAATAGAACATTCTACAAGAAAGCGGCTTGGAATGTCCACAATAGCCAAACTATGGAAAGAGCCTAGATGTCCATCAACAGATGAATGGATAAAGAAGATGTGGTATATATACACAATGGAATACTATGAAGCCATCAAAATAAATGAAATCTTATCATTTGCAACGACATGGATGGAACTAGAGGGTATTATGCTGAGCGAAATAAATCAATCAAAGAAAGACAATTATCATATGATCTCCCTGATATGAGGAAGTTGAGATGCAACATAGGAGGTTTGGGGGGTAGGAAAAGAATAAATGAAACAAGATGGGATCAGGAGGGAGACAAACCATAAGAGACTCTTAATGTCACAAAACAAATGGAGGGTGGCCAGAGGGGAGGGGGTAGGGAGAGGGTGGCTGGGTTATGGACATTGGGGAGGGTATGTGCTATGGTGAGTGCTGTCAAGTGTGTAAACCTGGCGATTCACAGACCTGTTCCCCTGGGGCAAATAATACATTATGTGTTAATAAAAAAAAAAATTTAAAAAAAAGAAACTGGCTTGGAGTCTTTAAAAATTTCAATGTCAAAAAAGGCAAAGAAGGAAAACAAACAAACAAACAAAAAAGGCAAAGAAGAAAAAGCAGAACTACTCTAGATTAAAGTGGATGGCTCTATCTGCCGAATAAAATGCATGATCCATGACCAGATCCTCAATCAGGAGGAGGGGTGCTGCTTTATTATAAAGGACATTTCTTTCTTTCTTCTTTTTTTTTTTTTTTTAAGATTTATTCATTTATTTCAGAGAGAGAGAGAGAGAGAGAGAGCGCGCGCACAAGCAGGAGGGGCAGGGGGACAGGGACAGAGAATCCCAAGTATACTCTGTGCTGCGCATGGAGCCAGACCCAGGAGTCGATCTCATGACCCTGAGATCACAACTGGAGCCAAAACCAAGAGTCAGATGCTCAAATGACTGTGCCACCTGAAGCCCCTATGAAGGTGTAAGAAGCCCCACATCTATTATGAGAAACGGAGAGACGAAAGCCAGAGTCCCCTTACTCTCTGCTTGCCCCATTCCTTCAATCATAACAAACAACACAACAGACAACAAAAGGACCAGGCAAAGACAACCGCAGGCCCAACGATTCTTACCCATAACCTGCCACTGGTGGGGGCTTTCTTTATCGCCCGAATGCCTAAGGGGACTCGAACCCCCCGACCGTCTAGGGGGACTCAAACCCCCCGACCGCCCAGGGGGACTCAAACCCCCCAGCAGGCCCCTGACCACCCAGGGGGACTCAAACCCCCCGGCGACTGCCTAGGGGAACTCGAACCCCCCGACCGCCCAGGGGGACTCGAACCCCCCGTTGATCTACCAGCAGAGGGATGGGGCGTCCCCGCATCCACTCCAGCCCTGGGGAGCATGGCTGCGTCCAGCTTCTCCCCGGTGGGCCATACCCTGGAGCTCCAACCAGATAGACAGATAGGATCCCAATACCCAAGATCCCAATACCAAGATATCCAATACCCAAGATCCCAATACCTCCGGAGGCTTTTCCTAAAAATTCCGATGCTGGCTCAGCTCTCGTCGTTTGATCCCGGACGAGCCCCCAATTGGCCACCCCTGCTTTTTCATCCACATACAATTGGAAGGGCTTGGTAACATCTGGGATGGCCAATGCTGGGGCACTCAGTCAGATTCTTCCCTTCAAATCCTTCAATTTTCTGAAGTTTCCTATATCTAGGGCTGACTGACTGGCAAAGCAAGATTCACTGCCCTCTGATTTTCGGGTGCCTCAGAATCGATCAGGCTATACATTTTATAGGCTTCAATTAGCCTTTCTAGGAAAGCTCCTGGAGATTCATTCTTACCTTGAGTCACCGTACTAATTCTGGTTTAGTCTGAGAGCAACTTTTACTCCTGGAAATTCAGTTCCAGGATTTCAACATATCAAAGACCTATATTTGCTCTGAAAGTCTCCCATATGAATTTCCTTTAAGGCGGAATTCATCTTACAAGAGAATTAAAACAATTATAAATGACAAAAAACTCAGAATAGATATGGTAAATATCAAACAATGACTCTTATCAAAGGATGTTTCAAAAGACTTTGTCAGGGGGTGCCAGGGTGGCCAGTCAGTACAGCGTGCGATTCTTGATCTCTTGGCTGTGAATTTGAGCCCTACGTTGGGGGTAGAGATGACTTTAAAAAAAAAATCAGAAAACAAACCAATATTCAATTTTTTCAGCATATAATGATAGTACATTTACTCAGAAAAATGTGCTCGTCTTTAAGTAGATAAATGAAGTGCTGCTGGCTAAACTAACAGGATGAGTTCAATACACTTTCAAATGGCTCAAAAAAAGTACACACGCATGCATGCATGTAAGACACAGCAAGGACACAGCAAAATGCTAACATGTAGTTGTATCCAGTGAAAGATAAAGGGGTTTCCTTATACCACTTGTGAGCTTTCTGTAGGTTTAAGCATTTCAAAATGAAAACATGGGGAAGGGCAAAGAAAGAGGCTTTGGGTCTGTGCTCAGTAGCTCTGTGCACTAAAACCATTCCAAAAGGTTAACAGAGGTATACCATCTTCATCCCCCACCACCACACATTTTCCTTCCTTCCTCCCTTCCTTCCTTGATGTAGTCATGAACAACTTTTGCTTAATTCTGAATTGGCTTCCTCTTCTCACACAACATATCCAGGCGACCTCCACCCAAGCAGTACATAAACCACGGGTGGTTTTAGCTGCAGAACTAACGCCTCACGTCCCCGACGCATGAAGTCTGGTGGGGACACAGGATACTGGCAGACAAGAGCTCTGGTTGAAGCAGGGATGAACGCACTGGAGCCCTGCCCACTTGGCTCCTTCAGCCCCTGAAGTCACCTCCTTAAACCCCCGATGACTCCTAGGAACATAGCTTGAAAACCCCTTTACCAGATGCAATGAGCTCTAACCAGGACCAGGGCAAAAGGAATACACCACTGACCACAAAGGAAAAAAAACAATCCTCAGACAATGCATGCTTGAAAAAAGTAAAATACAGATACTACTTTGCATTATCTAGTCTTAAATCAGCCATTTTCCTGTTCCTTTACAAGAGTGTTCTCAATGGAGAACTAACCATAAAGTATAAAAGCTTAAATTCTGCTTCTAAATGCTTTAAAATAGCAATGATTTCAGTGTCTTTAGCTGCCAAAGGATTTGATGAAAGAAATTAAACAGGACACAGATAAATAGAATGGCATCCCACGTGCACAGATCCAACCAAAGACTTAATGTTGTTCAGATGGCAATGCTGCCATTAAATGTGGATCTACACAATTAATACAGTCCCTACCCAAATCCCAAGTGTTTTTTTTCTGGAAATAGAAAAATTTACCCCGAAATTCTGATAGAATCAAAGAATTCCAAACAGCTAAAATAATTTTTTTTTAAAGATTTTGTTTTAAAATAATCTCTATACCCAACATGGGGCTTGAACTTACAACCCCGAGATCAAGAGTCATGTGCTCTACTGGTTGAGGCAGCCAGGAGCCCCCAAAATAATCCTAAAAAAACCCAAAGTTGGAGGTTTCACACTTCCTGATTTCAGAACTTATTACAAAGTTACATTATTCAAAACAGTGTGATACTAACATAAAGAGAAACACACAGAAAACGGAACAGAGAACCCAGAAGTAAACTCTCACATTTAGAGTCAAGTAATTTTTGACAAGGGTGCCAAGGCCATCCCATAGGGAAAGGAGAGTCATTTCAACAAATGGTGTTAGGAAAAACTGGATATCCACAAACGAAAGAATGGAGTTGGACCTTTACCTTGCACCATAGCCATACATTACTCAAAATGGATCAAAGACCTCAGGGTCAGAGCCAAAAGCATGAAACTCTCAGAAGAAAACAGAAGGGGAAGAAGCTTCACAAAGTGGATGTGGCAGTGATTTCCAGGTATGACATCGGAAGCACAGGGAACAAAAGTTAAAGGAGGGGAGTTGGAGTACATAAAAATTAAAAACTTCTATACGTCATGGAACCGTCACAGAACAAACAGGCATTGTACAGAATGGGAGAGAAATACACACAAATCTTGTCTCTCCAAGGGGGTTACTATCCAGAATACATAAAATACTCCTGTAACTCAGTAACAGAAAAACAAATGGGCAAGCGATGAACAGACATCTCTCCAAAGAGGACATCCGGACAGCCAACAAGCATATAAAAAGAAGCTCAGCATCACCCACCACGAGAGAAACGTGAATGAAAACCACAGAGAGCTACTGCACACCCACCAGGGCGGCTATTATCAAAAAAGCGGAAAGTAACAAGTGTCAGCGAGGGTGTAGAGAAATGAAGAATCCTTGTGCACTGTTGGTAGAAACATAAAGAGGAGCAGCTACTATGGAAAATAGTACGGGGTTCCTCAGAGAATTAAAAATTAGGGGGTGCCTGGATGGCTCAGTTGGTTAAGTAGCCGACTCTTGGTTTCTGCTCAGGTCACAATTTCCGGGTTATGCGATAGAGCCCCGCATTGGGCTCTGTGCTCAGCACAAAGTCAGCTTGGGATTCGTTCCCTCTTCCTCTATCCCTATGCCACCCATGAGCTCTCTCTTCAATCAATCAATCAATCAGTCTTAAAAAAAAAAAAATCTGAATCACCAGGGACACCTGGGTGACTCAGTCAGTTAAGTGTCCCACTCTTGGTTTCTTTTCAGGTCATGATCTCAGGGTCATTAGATGGAGCTCTGAGTTGGGCTCCAGTCTCAGCATGAAGTCTGCTTGAGATTCTCTCTCTTTCCTTCTGCCCCTCGCCCCACTCACAGGTGTGCGTGCTCTCTCTCTAAATAAACAAATAAATAAATAAATCTTTAAAAAAAAATTAGAAAGACCATACAATCCAGCAATTCCATTTCTGAGCATAGACCCAAAAGAACTGAAAGCATAGACCCAAAAGAACTCAAAGACATCCTAGTGCAGCCACGTTCACAGCAGCACTCTTCACAACACCCAAAGGTAGAAGTGCCCCGAGTGTCCATCATCAGGTAGCCAGATAAGAAGTCAAAGGTGGTCTGTACATACAATGGAGTAGTATTCAGTCTTAAAAAGGAAGGGCATCTGCTCCAACACAGATGAACCTTAAGGACATTATGCTAAGTGAAATGAGCCAGTCACAGAAAGACAAATACTGTACAATTCCACTCAATTTGAGGCACCTGAATAGCCAAATTCATACAGAAAGTAGGTAAGTGGCTGCCAGGGGTTGAAGAAGGGGGATGCATAGTTGTGTTAATGGGTATAGAGCTTCATTTTGCAAGAGTTGGGAACACTGACTACCCTAAGTGTGTGTACACTTAACCTAGTGAACTTAAAAATGGTTAAGATGGTCAATTTCATGTTATGTACCCAAGCCCACAAAATAATCTGTGACTTTGCGTTTTCTTTTTCATATGGTATGTGTATTTTATCACAACTTCAAAAAATTTAATACTTTTTTTTTTATTTTTTTATTTTTTTAATTTGACAGACAGAGATCACAAGTAGGCAGAGAGGCAGGCAGAGAGAGAGGAGGAAGCAGGCTCCCCGCAGAGCAGAGAGCCCGATGTGGGGCTTGATCCCAGGACCCTGGGATCACGACCTGAGCTGAAGGCAGAGGCTTTAACCCACTGAGCCACCCAGGCGCCCCAATACTTTTTTTTAAAAGCATTTGATAAAAGCAGAAAGAAAAAAGTCATCGTGTAGTGGTTCATGCTGAGTCTGTTCAATTTTTCTGAATAAGGACCTGAGGGTCACTGGGTTAGGCAAAGAAGGCCAGATGATTTACTAAAACAACAAGAGAGAGAAGAGCATACACAGTTGGAAAAATAGACAAAACTGTCTATAAACAATGTTAGCATCTAAATATAGACAGAATTTTCAGAGTCGCAGGCAACCACAAGCTCAGGACAATGCCGTGGATTTATAAGCCTCAGCCCACGGCAACTGTACCATGGTCAAAACTGTCAACATGCCCTTTGATTCCTTCCACCAAAACATTCGGTCATACTTAACTGCTCACAGTTTAAAGAACTTTGTCTGATCTAGAAACCTATGTGCCCATTTCGTGAAGGGTAAAATTATTATTTACTATTTAATAGCTTCGGAGATGTTTCCAATGTATATGGGATGTACAGTCACCATTTACATTACTGTACCTCAAACATGGCTACTTTTTGTTTAAATACAGTCTCTGAATTTACCTCATGTTGATATGGAAGGAATTATTCTTGTTGACTTCGAAGCCTCCAGACCAAATACAATTGGGAACATCCATCAGTCTGACACATAAAAGCTGGTCATAGTCATTCCGAGGCCAGTGGAACACCACACTGGAACCAGGAAGGGTGGAGATGTAGCCTTCAGGATTGGCTGTTCCCTGAAATACACAGGATCCCTGGCTTTAGTCAACAAATTGAGTTACGACAGCAAATGTCTCCGAGTAACCACCTACTGTGAGCCTTGCCCTCTACCATGAGCTAGTTAGGGTTTCAAAGGCACAAAATGGTCATTCACATCACAAAACTCAGAGTGCTGATGGAGAGATAAGCCATGGCATTAAAACTCTCCGTGCTATTAAATAAACACTAGTCATTCTTCAAAAAGGGAACGACTTACCTGTCCCCGGGCAAATTCCCTCTGTGCAAATGCAAGCTTGTGAGATGATTTATTATCTAACAGGTAACGAGGGGCAAAGATGACCATACAGGTATCGATATATCGACCTCGGCCTTTCTTGACATCAATACCTGCAAATAATAAGAACCACTTCCGTGAGTTAATCAGAAGAAAGAAAATCTGTGGTCTGACAGATATCAACAGGCTTTCCAAGTACATAGTTTCCCTGAGAAAATAATCACATCACCCAGAGACGCTGTCAAGCCTCCCAACAACAAAATGAACACAACTGCACTCCAAGTCTTATTCTGCATGTCCACTTGGGCCTTCTGTGGTGATACCGAAACCCTCGTAACTCCTAGCTTCTCCCTAAAGGGTGCCCAACCACGACAGCAGCTGAGACACACAGATGTTCAGCCACAGGTACCGGTGACTGCCATTTATGAAGCGGGCCCCTAAGACAGTTTACATACTACCTTTCTGTTCACCTCTGGGACAAAAAATTCCTTCCTTGGGAACTTGTCCCTTTCACATGATACAGCAGAAACTTCAGATTACTTAACTGGAATCTGCACGGTCCTGCACGCAGCAGACTCTCCTCTAGGACCTTCTTCTAGCCCACTGCCTGAGAGCCCAGCTGAACCACGAAGCTAAGTATCACAGAAAGTATTCATTCACAAGACAGGTGTTGCCAGCACCTACCATGTCCTGGGAAAACAGACTAGCAAACGAAACACATGCCAAGGAAAGAAAGTCATAATGGTTCAGCTGGGCGTCTCCAAACACTGAACCCCAAAGAAAAGAAGGGAAAATAGCACTGAGTCATCTTAAAAACTCTGATGGCAATTTTAAAAACTACAAAACTCTGTGGGATACGTTATTCATTCATTCAGATAATAACAGCAACTATATTTGAGGCATTAGGCTGAGCTCTGATTACGATGATAAAAATATCGATAGTTAGGGAGCCTTGGGTGGCTCAGTGGGTTAAGCCTCTGCCTTCAGCTCAGGTCATGATCCCAGGCTCCTGGGATCGAGCCCTTCATCGGGCTCTCTGCTTAGCAGGGAGCCTGCTTCCTCCTCTCTCTCTGCCTACTTCTCTGTGATCTCTGCCTGTCAAATAAATAAATAATATCTAAAAAAAAAAAAAGAAAAAATATTGATAGTTAGAAATAATAAGAATAGTATTTATTGAATTCTTAATGCAGGCTGCGCCTCTCCCAAAGGCTCTACATTTAATTCTCCTAACAACCTTATGAGATAGTATTTTCGGTCTTTCCTTTTTACAGAGGAGGCAACTTGGGCATTGGGTCACAGAGCCCATCAGTGACACACCTGGGGTTCAACCCTAGGCACACCGTCTCAGGAGCCCTTGCTCATATCATGATGGGACATTTATAAGGACCCTATGCAGCAGTCAACAAGAGTCAAGAGAACCATAAAGAAAGAAGAGATCTTAGGACATGATAACTGGGTGTCCTGGTTGTCCCAACATAGCCCCAGCTATAAACAGTCCAGTCTGTTAACTCCATAATTCACCTGTACTGGCTTGAAAAAGCTGGTGTTGCTTTAAATCTAAGTCTTCGAAATACCTGAAAGACTGAGCAAATCACAAAAACAGATGGAAGTCTGAAATTCTGTACCTAAGAAATGCTACATAATATTCGAATAGGGAGATGTGCCCTATTTTTTTTTCTAGAAAGCACTGTCGACAAGATATCGACATTCACAGCTAGCTGATCCTAACCAATACAAAGTCTGCCTAAAAAAGATATATTTAACTTGATATTACGAGAAGAGTCTACAGTAGCAAGACCCAATTTAAGGGGCGCCTGGGTGGCTCAGTGGTTAAGCGCCTGCCTTCGGCTCAGGTCATGATCCCAGGGTCCTGGGATTGAGCCCCTCATCGGGCTCCCTGCTCAGCGGGAAGCCTGCTTCTCCCTCTCCCACTCCCCCTGCTTGTGTTCCCTCTCTTGCTGTCTCTCTCTCTGTAAAAGTTTAAAAAAAAAGACCCAATTTTTTAAAAAGCAGGCTATCTTATGTCCTTTTTTTATCTTCGATTGCCTTGGCAAACTCCCAATAAATGACTATCTGTTAAGATTAAAATGTACAAAAATCCTTCTTTTTGGAGGTACATGTGAGGCTAATTGGCGAGGTCCTCCCTGGCTTTTCATCTTGGGACTTCACTTTTAAACTCTCTTGATAGGGAGCTGGTTATCTAATTCCTCAAAAATATTCAAGGGAGAGATTCCACAAATTCCCTTGATAATACACGCCAAGATCTCATGATCCTTAGGAATTATAAAGTCCTATCTTAGCCCACCCCCTCTATCCCTTTCTTTGGTGTAACAACAAAATTCCTATCACAGTACTGTTCCTAAAAACATGACTTTTCATGAATGTTCCTTGCATAAAAGTTTGTAAGCCCCCTCATACCATACTTCTGACCGGAGACCTGTCTGCCTCTCTGCAGGAACTCTGTGCTTCCTGAGGGCCAGCTGCTCAGAAGCCACATGCTCCACTTCTCCCGAGTCTGTCCCAACTGCGGCTTCTAGCCAAAGTGCGGTGTCTTTCTTTGGGAACCGTCTCAAGACAAGACCCCCCCAGCAGATAGCCAAACGCAGCATGAAATGCAGCCTTTGCCTACTCAAGAGGTGGAACAAACAGATGCAAAGACAAAGTACAGAAAATGACCCGTGGCACACAAACTAATAATAATAGTAACAATAATATAAAAGAAAGAAAGAAAGAAAATGATCCCTGGCCGGAGGATCACAGAAAGTTTACTTCTTCTACTAAAAATCTTAACGTCAACCTTAAAGGAGACAGCTCCCAAGAGAACACATATGAATTCATGTTCCAAAAATAGGAAAAGGAAGCTGGGCTTGGAAGGGACTCTTGCTAATAAGTCCTCAAATACTTACACATACCTCTGACCTTCCACGGGACTCAGGGTAAACAGATACACGAAACCACCTCGGATTTTCCTTCTACAACAGGGCTCTTTGTAGCTGCACTGTCCGATTACAATGGCCATTAATCCTGAACGGCTATTTAAATCCATTAAAATCAAGTGCAACGAGAGACTCAACTCCCAGGCCACACCTGCCCCATCTCTGTGCTCGGTGGCCACGCGTGGCTAGTGCCATCATCGTAGAGAGTTCAACGGACAGCGCAGTTCTACAGGGTTTTCCAGCATTCAACACTCCACAGTGCTTTGAGATCTTTGGAAATTATATACTAAAGGAAGGGTGCGCTGCTAACATCTTAACCTGAGACATATTTAAATCAAACTTGCCTGCACCCTTCAGAAAGTCTTCTGACTACTGCAGAGGGCTACGAGGAATGTAGGTACAGCCCTCTCCCCTTCCTTCAATACCTTCCACCTCAAGAAGTTAAACTAGCTTAGGGGCTTCTAATTACTATAACTGTTATGTACATTTTAGGATATTTTTGCTTCAAATGTGTATGCCCCAGTCATAATCCTACTTCTGACCCAGACTTGCCCTTTGCATCTGGGCAAGTCACTTAGCCTCTCTGCTTCAGTTTCAAGGAGAACAATGCTTCTTACCCTCTTAGGAGGTTTGCAAGTTTTAATGAATGCGTGGGAAATGCTTGGAGGATGAAAAGCATTCTAAGTGTTCCTATTATTCCCATGAAAACCAGGGATTCAAGCCAAACCGATACTTTCCTGACACAGGTGAGTCTGAAATTAAACAGAGCCCCAGACCTCAAAAGGGCAGTGTTTTGGTGGCTCCTTGGATGCCCAGGAGAACAGATCTGTGTTGATATCAATCTAGCATTCAGAGAGCAGATACCTGACCCAATGCCAAATGAGAAAATCAGCACTTGCAGCCTGGCCAAAACGTACGGCCAGCTTATCCTCCAAGCCTGAGGTCATCGGCCAATGGTTCTGATTCTCCCGCTGCTCCAAATGTAACCCACCAATGTTATAGATCAGCCCTGGGCGGTTTCCTTGCTGGATGACTTTCAAAGCTCGGACACCACTACCACCATCCAGTGAGAAGCCCTGACACCAGCCCGGCATGCCTTCAGGGTGAATCCCCCTTCCGATTCTCATCGTGCAGCTGTGGGGCAGAAAAGCAGAGATATATGTATTCAGCCGTGAGAAAGTCTTAATCAGGAACCGCTGCTGTATCTGCCACCCCAAACCAGAATCCTAACACAGACTCCTGCTCACTCTCGTGTGACGCCCCAGCACAGCAGGGCAATCAGCCAGGGGCCAGAACTCTGATCTTAGAGGCACACATGGTACTGCAATGTGTGAAATGTACTGACATCTACACTGGGACACGTTCAGAGAAAACAGGATTCAATCAGCTTAAACCATAAGGAAAGGACTACAACACCTTATTCCTCCGAGAAAGAAGGAGTCGAGGCAAACTCGTACTTTCCTATCTCAGGTGTTTCAAGGGTTCGTGGAACACCTTGACCATAAGAGCAAAGGTGTACATGACTGTGCACACCAGAAATGTATGTGCAGGAGATGCCACTCGTGGTGTTTTCTTTCCCAGGCCTGGTACTGTTACAACAGCAAAGCGCCATCTGGTTGGCCAGTGTCTTGTCCCAGGTCCTGGAGACAGACTTCCTGAATGTGTGCTCCGGCTGTACCACTAACAAGCCATGTAGCTTCAGTTTCCTCATCTTACTATAAAACAGTACTTCCTGCCCTGCCTAATCCACTGGGATGTGATGCACGCGGCAGAGATGCTTCGTGAACCGTGGGTTCCCTGGCTAAGTCAAACTGTGTCACAAATGTCAAGTCCTTGATCTAGAACCATCAGAATCCTCTCGGTAAAGGTGTGAGACTGTGTCAAGGGGTTGTCTGTATCGCCCTCCATGTCCCGTCAGTCCCCAGTCGGTCCAAGACTGCCGCGTCTGCAGCGCTCCTGAAGCCATCCTCCCTCTGCGGCCCCCCTGCACTTCCCCACAGCAGGGGAGGGCACTGCTCTCACCTCCCTCTGAGGAAGGCTCTAAATGAGAAGACTCCTATAAAAAGCAGAACGTCACAACCAAGAACAAAAGGGAATTCGTGCTCCTACCACACGCCCAAAGGCCAGGTCATCTAAACCTCACAGCCGATGCTGGCCCCCTGCCTTTAAACACGCAGTGAGGGCTCTGAGCTCTTGAAATGGCACAGTTTATTTCAAAAAACGCCCTGGGCTGGGTTAAGGGGGCTGACATTTTACCAAAGGGCTAGGGTACCTCCCCTCTGATGCCAGCTCTGTTGCCCATGCTGACGGCTCTGTGCAGGAGAAACCCTCGGAGAGCGGGGAAGGGAACACATGGGTTCTCCCCACTGGCCGAGTTATGAATAGAACTACTTCAATACATGTAAAATAAAACTAGCTTTCATTATAAGCCCACCAAATGGTTTATTTTCAATATCAAATGACACAGAAATTAGATCCGAAAAAATCCCATTAGGTCATGGTCCTACTCCCCTGCCAAGCCCGGACTGTTATCTACAGTATATTTCCACTTGCACAGATATACTCTAGCCTTTGCTAATTTCCCCTTCCCATAAAGAACGGTACTCACAGGTTTGGCTGCTCTCTGTCGGCGTAGCAGAATAAGAGAGGGCTCAGGCTCCGGGCCAGCTCGTGTTCCTCAAACTGGCCTGCGGCATCTGTCTTTGCATTGTCCTGTCTGAAGATCAGTGGTAACCCTTTAGGAAGGAGGGGGAAAGTTTACATCAATCCCACCCAGTCTACGCAAGACAGATGCAGACGGTAAAGGAAAAACATCGTCAAGCGGGAGAATCGTGAAAATCGGATTTATTTGGTGGGCTCAGCTTGTTGTCTGAAAGGACGCTTCTGACCATGATTAAGCACTTGTTACGGAAGCAGGAGGATTCAGCAGCTTAGACTGTTGAAGTAATCTATTTGTATTGGCTCCGCTCAGTTAGCTGAGCGAATAAATCTGAATTCCCATGGCCAACGTCGAAGGCCTACTTGAGCGGCCTCTGTACATACCTGTTTTGTTAATCAACCAATACGGAGCAGAAATGAAGATCTTCAGGGACCCTTCTGCTCGACACACGATGCGGATGGTGAGGTTCAGCTGCCTCCGGTTGATGTCATACAGTCGCATCCTCACCATGTAGTTCTGGGTTCCCGGTGGAATGAGCAGTTCCTTACAGAGTGGAAAATTTTCCAGGGATACCCCTAAAGAAGATACAAGCTATTGTCTGCCTGGGTTCTCACGTTGGTTTGTCAAACGAGCCCGCAGCCGAACAAAGTTGGCCTCCTTTGGGAGAAATCAGGAACTTACATATGTAACTGGCAAAAATCTCATCAGAACGGCCATTTTCCCTTAGCTGGGGTGAGAAACATTTGAAGCAAACCAGACCGTCTGGAAGGTACACCAGAGAGTCCGAACTGCATCATCAGAAGGATGACACTACCGAGCAGCTATCAGTAACAGCTACAATTTTGTGAGCTTCAGGCCCGGGGCTGGGCGGGAACCTCAAACACAGGAAAGGCGAGCACAGGGTAAGAGGCAAGGTCTTGGGCAGTCACACTGCCTGGTTTCCAATTCCCAGTCTGTCCTTTCCAGCTGTGTGATTCGGCGGGGGATAGGGGTGGGGGAAGCTTACCTCGCTCGCTGGGTCTCCTCTGCCAAATGGGGAGAACACCAGCAGGTCTGTCACAGGATTTTTACTAAAAGTGATTGTCCCTGTGGAGTGTGAGTGGGAAGGTAGGAGTGCCGGGTGGGCATGCAGTGCAATGGCAGGGGGACACTGCATTTTCTACAGGGCTCCAGGAACGTTTGTTGGAGAGATACTTAAATGTCAGAGCAGACACCTGTTTTCTTTAGAGTGGATGACTAGCACTGCATTATTTTTTCTTTCTAAATGAAGCTCAAGGATTTACATATTCGCTGAAATGTCTGCGGGTCACCGTTGAACACGCTGCTTAAGTTCAATGAGTCTGGGGTTCCTTGCCTGTAAAATGGGGCTAATTTCAGCTGTCTGCCTGAAACAGGGGTTGTGTGAAGATCGAATGAGAGGACACAGTGAGCTCATTCACGCAGCTGGAGCAACACAAATGTCTCTGTCATCATGATTCCAATGTGACTACGACAGACTTAAAACAACATACATCCTGCCCAAACTCCAGGCATCCCTCTTGACCTTAAAGGCTGCAAATACAGTAACGGTTCTCTACGTTGACGTCGTTTGTCCCCGTCACTGAAAATCACCTGGTGTGTAAACCCCAAGCCTCGGATCACGTGTGTAAAAGCACCTGACTTAACACCTGGAGCCCCGTGCATGCTGAGCACATGTCTTCCCCTTTCCTGAAAAGAGGAAAGACCCAGGATTTTGCTCATTTTACAGCCAGGGAAAAAAAAGCACTGTCTGAAAAGATGAAATGACTTCCTATAGTCACACATCAAGTGCGCAACATCAGAAAAGGGGCTCTGTTGAGTCCTCCCTCTAAATCTTTTGGATTTGTTCAGTTTTTCTTTTGATGATTTTCTAAGAAGTTTCTTTCTTTTTTAGTTGCATAAATCCCTTGAGCTGGGTTACTGAGATATCATATGTGCTATATTTTCTCTAAAATGTTTACCCAATGATCACAAAATACTCAGTGACATTTCCATAGAATTACCACCAAGATTCTTGGACTAAACGCTCACCCAGTTCAATGTTCTGTGATGTATCAGCTGTGTGGAGGGCCACCTCTTTGCCAGGTTTCAGGGTCCCATTAATTGGCATCCCTTTCACATAAAAGTCAAGTTCACAAGGTAATAAGTTGCAGATGACCACAGTTGGAAGGAGGTATATGGTATGTCCTGGCTGTCTGAAGATCTGTTTTGCACTATCAGAAAATATGTTTGAGGGCATATAATCCGGGTAATTCTCCTTCTTTATGGCCACACAAAACCTATGAAGACAAAACACTGTAAAAACCAAAGAACTTGAATTTTTCCTCCTCAGTGGAGTATGAGAAAGCATACCTTAAAATGGTTCAATAATGCAGTAAGATATCATTTACTGAGGTATAATTAAATCCCACTAAAACAGGTCATTTTAAATGCTCAGGTTGGTGAGTTTTGACAAAAATGTATACCTCTTTATCCGCTACCCAAAACCAGTTATACAATCTTTCTCTCATTCCAGAAAGTTCCCTCCAATGTCATCGCCCAACAAAGAAGCAACCACTGTCTTTTACTTGTCACTTACAGATTGGTCGAGCCTATTATTGAGCTGCATGTAAATGGAACGATACAGCATTTACCACTCCCTGTGTCTGGCTTTTTGTGTGTAACGGGAGGTGTCTACAACATGCATCCGTGCTGTTGTATGCATTAGTAACTTGACCCACATGACAATGGATGAATATGCCATTTATTTATTTATTGGTCATCCTGTTGACAGCCAGCTGGGTTGTACCTCCAGATCAGTTTAGTGAGCATGGAAATCCTAAACATATCAAGTCTTCCAGGGAGGCCTGGGGGGCTCAGTCGTTAAGCATCTGCCTTCGGCTCAGGTCGTGATCCCAGGGTCCTGGGATCGAGCCCCGAATCGGGCTCCCTGCTAAGCGGGAAGCCTGCTTCTCCCTCCCCCACTCCCCCTGCTTGTGTTCCCTCTCTCACTGTGTCTCTCTCTGTCAAATAAATAAATAAATTTTTAAAAATCGAGTCTTCCAATCCACAAACTTGGTTAGCTTTCCCTTAGTTATTGGGTTTTCTTTACTATCTCTTGACAAGTTTTATCGTTTCTAGCATAGAAGACTAGTACATAATTCCTCTGATTGATTCCTGGGCAATTATGGGTTTCGGTGCTTTTCTTTTTAAAATCACATTTCCAAATGTTCATGGCTAGAATATAAGAATACAACTGAGTTTTGTAAGTTGATCCCAAATCCTGAAATCCTGATAAATTTATCAGGCCTCATAATTTTCCTAGGTAGTCCATGGTTTTCTACATACATTTCATTTGCATACATTAAATTTTGTCTTTTCAGATCTTTAAGCTTTTTCAATTTCTTGTTTATTTATCCATATCACAACAGCTACGACTACAACTACGACTACAACAGCTATTTCTACGGCAATATCAAATGAAGTCATTGGTTCTTAATCTCAAGGGAAAAAAAAAGTTTAAGGCTTCATCATTAAGCATGATGACAGCTGCGGCATGACAGCAGCTGTAGGTTTATGACAGATGTCCTTAAACAGACTGGAAAAAGTCCCTCTGGTTCCTCACTTGCCGAATATTACCATGAATGGGTGTTGAATGCTATCAAACACTTTTTTTTTTTAATGATTTTTATTTATTTGACAGAGAGATCACAAGTAGGCAGAGAGGCAGGCAGAGAGAGAGAGAGAGAGAGGGAAGCAGGCTCCCTGCTGAGCAGAGAGCCCGATGCGGGGCTCGATCCCAGGACCCTGAGATCATGACCTGAGCCGAAGGCAGAGGCTTTAACCCACTGAGCCACCCAGGTGCCCCTCTATCAAACACTTTTTTGTTTGTTTGCATTTTTGAGTAATCTGATGGGTGTTTTTTCTTCTAGTCTTTTCGGTTAATACGGTAAAATACATTTATCAATTTTCAAATGTTAATATAATCTTACATTCCTAGAATAAACCTCACTTGTTGGATTTCTATTTGGTAATATTTTGTTAAGAATTTTTTATCTCTTGGGGAAATACGAGTTTGTAGTTCTCTCTCTTCTTTCCCCCAATAAGATCTGTCAGTTTTAGTATCTGGTATATGCTGGCCTCATAAAACGAATGAGGAACTGCTCCCTCCTACCCTGCTTTCTGAAAGACTTTACACAGAACTGGTGCTATTTCTTCCTAAAATGTTTGGAAGAATTCACTAGTGGAGCCATATGGGCCTAGAGTCTTCATCCTGGGAAGGCTTTTTATTAAAAATTACATTTAAGGGCCGCCTGGGTGGCTCAGTGGGTTAAAGCCTCTGCCTTCAGCTCAGGTCATGATCTCAGGGTCCTAGGATCGAGCCCCGCATCGGGCTCTCTGCTCAGCAGGGAGCCTGCTTCCCCCTCTCTCTCTGCCTGCCTCTCTGCCTACTTGTGATCTCTGTCTGTCAAATAAATAAATAAAATCTTTTTAAAAAAAGTTTATAAATATTATATTTAAGATATATTGGGCTATTTGGATTTTCTATTTCTTCTTTGTGCCAGTTTTGGTAATCCGTATTTTTTTAAGAAATCTGTCATTCCAGGTTAGAATTTATTTGTATAAATTTGTTCACAGAAATCTCCCTTTAATGTCTGTAGGATCTGTAATAATGTCTCCTCTTTTCATTCCTTATATTGGTAACCTGTGTTTTCTTTCTTTTCTCCTTGATCAGTCTTATTAGACATCTAACCGAATTTATTAATCCTTACAAAAAGCCAAATTGACACTATTGATTTTCTCTATGTTTGTTTTCTATTTCACTGATTTCCACACTTATTTTTATCAGGTGCTTTTTGTATTTGTTTGTGTCTAATGTGCTGTTCTTTTTTTACCTTAAGGCAGAAGCTTAGATCATTGACTTTACATCTTCCTTATTTTCTACTAAGACCATTAAAAGCTACACATTTCTCGGGATGCCTCAATGGCTCAGTTGGTTAAGAGTCTGCCTTCAGCTCAGGTCACATCCTAGGGTTCTGGGATCAAGTCCCGCATCGGGCTCCTTGCTCAGTGGGGCGCCTGCTTCTCCCTCTGCCTGCCACTCCCCCTGCCTGTGCTCTCTCTCTCTGACAAATAAATAAATAAATAAATTTTAAAAGCTACACATTTCTCAAAAAAACAAAACACTCTAGAACTGCTTTTGCTGCTTCCCCCCACATTTTAATGTCTAGTTGTTATTATTATTGAGTTCAAAATATTTTTTTAAAGATTTTATTTATTTGACAGAGAGGGAACACAAGCAGGGGGAGTGGCAGAAGGAGAGGGTGAAGCAGGCTCCCTGCAGAGCAGGGAGCTGTATGCAGAACTTGATCCCAGGACCCTGAGATCATGACCTGAGCCAAAGGCAGATGCTTAACAAGTGAGCCACCCAGGTGCCCTAAAATATTTTGAATTCTTTTGTGATTTCTATTTTTGACCCTTGGGTTATTTAGAAATCTATTGTATAATTTCCAAATATTTAGGGATTTTATAGGCATCTTATTGTTACTGATTGTTACTTATTGTTACTAATCCTACTGTGATGATGACATTTATTGTGTATGGTTCCAATTCTTTTAATATTTGCTGATCTTTGTTTTATGGCCCAGTAGATGGTCTCTCTTGATGACTATTCCATACACACATGAAGTGAGTGTACAATCTGGAGTTGTTGGTTAAAGTGTTTTATAAATGCCAATTGTGACAAGCACTGATGGACAGCACTGTTCAAATCCTCTCATATCTTTATTGTTTGTTTTGTAAATTACGACAGGAAAGTGTTAAAACAGTCCATTACAGCTGTGTATTTATTCAATTCTCTCTTCAGTCTGTTTACCATTGGCCGGTCTGGGTAAAGGGTGCACTGGAATTCCTTACACTATTTTGGCCCCTCTTCTGTAAGTTTAAACTAAATGAATGCCTGTCTTCACTAGAGAGAAAACTAAAGCTGATAGTCTCTAGTCTAAGTAAGTTTAAAGTCCAAGTTCTGAAGGACCAAACAATACCAACCCAACTCTAGAAATGTATTACTTATACCCTTCAGGAGAGGAAAACAGGAGTCTAAATGATTAGATAACTTTGTTAAGGTCCCCAAGGAATGTCAGTACTAGGTTCATGAGGCTTCCTTCAAATTCTTTTGAAATCTGTCATTTGAAGAACTTTCAACCCCAAGAACCTGCTTCTCAATTTAGGAATGGGAACTAGAAATATTTTTTTTCTTCCCTCTGTACATGTCCTCTTTTTCTGCTGGTGCACACATACAAGTTTCTTACCTTACATGTGTGAGTAGTGTGTGTGTTGGTTGTTTCTCCCATAAATATCAAATGATAAGCAACAGTCCCACCCCCCCCCAAAGATTAACAATCGAATCCTTATAAACTCTAACACAAGGACTTAAGGAATAAGAACTTAAGGGTTTTAAACAAGCACAAGTGAATCTCTAAGGGTCCTCAGAGAGAAAACGAGTTTTTTTTTTTAAAAGCAAAATTCACATGCCATTGCAGCACCGTGCATACCTGAAGAATCGGCTTTTGTCCAAGTCCATAGAGTGGCACTCTCGTTTGCTGCTGCTAACCTCTGCAGTCTTCACTACATTGGTCCAGTGAATAGGAGCCTTACAGAAAAACACACCCAATCCTTTGGGCCGGGCCTGTAGCCGCCAGGAAGTGAGATGTAAAGGCACCGCGAACGAATCCCCTGGCATGATAGCAGGAAGCACCACAGGCTCTGCCACAGAAAAAAGGGTCAGCATCTTCAGGGAATGGTCTTCCACCCAAAAGGTTGACCATCTCAAGACAAAAGGGAGACAGACTATGGCAAAACTCACTGTCTGGAGCTGACGGGCTATCCAGTCTCAGCTCCATGGGTGTCTCAAGCCTGTTCTTAACAATGAGAGCAGACCGGACAGTGATGACTTTCCGGGCGCTGCCTTCCATCGTCACGGCAAAGACCACCCGAACAGGTGGGAGCGAAGAGAACTAGGAAAAAGACAGGAATAGAAGAACCATAGCTGGGCTCTTGAAGAAACACAGAAAATATACCAATACCAACCAGAAGGCCTAAATCAAAATCTTAATATTACTATAACCCTTCGGTGAAATTAGTCATTAAGCCCTAAAATCACTCATCTTTCATGGGACTGAATATTCTATAGAGATACACACTGTTAAAACAGCCAATTCTAAACATTTCTAGAAAGACAGACACTCTACTCAGACGTGGTATCACAAAATGTGTCACAAAGAAAAATCAGTCCTAGGCCTCTAGACACATTATAAAGAAACTAAGACCCATAATAACCTATTAAATCTTCCAAACTTCCTGCAATTTGATAAGAAACTGTCTGCTGGAAATTACCCTTCATTCACCCAATGCCCTTGGGTTCCTACACATCAGCCCTTATATGGAAACTATGAACGAGGCTTGTTTTCAACTCTACTGGAGGGGAATAGAGATCATCCAAAGCAGCTAAATGTTCAGGAATACTGGGGTGAGACTTTGCAAAACATGAAATGATTTACCTTCTGTGGCATTTTTCTCCCAGATTACTATTAAAGTGAGAAACACTCCTTGAACACTAACAATGGGCTGGATACAGCCCAACACACACAGAAAAACAGAAAGAAGTCTTTTGAGGTTAGAACTTGTCTTTGTAAAACCCAGAGAGTGTGTAGGAAAGAGTTGTCTGTACTGGCATGACTTTCACAGGAACAATAATTAGTTTTTCCCCCTAAATGTCATAAAAATTACACTGTAGGCCCATACGTGACTCGGTGCCATGCCTATAAAAAAGGCAACATTTGTTTTTCAAAGGACTTTAAAATCAAACTGCTCTTCCTCACAACTTTTTCGGCTCCGTTCAGCAATGGCTTTTTCACAAACACGACACTGAGGCTCCGAGACTCAACAGGGTGGAGGGAAATCACTTCTTTTTGGTCTTGGGTTGCAGCCACAACTTCGTTTCCACACGTTCATTCACACAGTCGACACACGTTTCATTCTACTACCAAGGGCCAGGGAATTTTTTTTTTTAAGTATCAAACCCCACATCAGGTACACCAAAGAGAATGTTTCTACAACCATCATTCTTTGAGTGTCCAGAACTTACTGACAATACTGTTTTTATTGGAGAAACCAATGACGCCGCATCCAAGCGCTCATACTACCAACTTTCTTATTAAAACGAACAGTACGTGGAAACCAACCCTAATGCACAGTAAAATGAAGAGTTCCATGTTTTGAACCAAGTCTTCCAGGAAATCCCAAGGCAAAGACATATTGTCATTTTCTGGAGGGTTTCTAGAGGGACACAATCCAGGGCACACCCATCAGCAAAGCTCCCACTGACCTAGCCTGGTAAAGCCCAACAGAGCTAAGGCCCAAGAATGATGGTTTTAAACTTTGCAGCTCCTGCCTCCAAGCTTACCTAAAATCTCGTGTTTCAGAACTCACTACCACCAGAGAGAAGAAATTATGAGCAAAACCCTGAAGACAGTTTTTTAATATTATCTTCTGATGGTGTTTCAAAAGCCAAATGGAAAAAAAAAAAATCTTAGTGTTTTCCGTTCTTATTTACTTTCATGACCTTGGGACCAAAACCTAGGAAATGCATATAGCCAGCCATACAGGATTAATTTATATTTTAACATAGAAAGAGAAAGGGGGGCACCTGGGTGGCTCTTTTGGTTAAGCATCCAACTCGGTTTTGGCTCAGGTCTTGATCTCAGAGTTGTGAAATTGAGCCCTGCTCTGGGCTCCACGTTGGGTGTGAAGCCTGCTTAAGATTCTCTCTCTTGCCCTCTCCTTTTACCCCTCTCCACTCCATGCCCCCCACCCCACATACGCACACACACACTCTCTCTCTCTCTTAAAAAAAGAAAAAGGGAAGAGGAGAAGGGAACTTTGGAGCACACATTTGCATTTTCTCCTCCTCCCCTGTAACACTCAGTCTAACATACCAAGTTAGTGGAAGCATTTCCTTGGAAGTTCTTATCAAAAGAAGGTAATTGTTAATAAGAAAGGACAAAGATGAATTCTAATCACATTCAGGAGACACAGTGCTGTGATCACCAGGATGTCTATGGACGGTTCAAATGCAGTATATATAGTTAGTAAACACAAGGACACAGGAACACCATACTCACATAAACCTGGGGATGAATAATATTCGTTCTGCTGCTTGGGCTGCCAATCTAGGAAAGAGTCCACAAGTCAGAGAGTCAGCACAGATCTAGGATTACAGGCATCATGAAATTCAATGACAATGTAATCTGCTTGAAAGGGTGGGATTTATAAACACTCTTAGCAAAGCATGGTCTACCATGAAGAGAAAACATCTTATCTTAGAGGATATGGGAAAAGTAATACTTATTTTTCAACCATTCCACATAGACAGAATTTCTCCAGGACACATCAATACAACTGGTTTCCTTGGGGGAATTAGTCCTTTCATGACCGGAATGTAAATTTAAGTAGGAATGTAATCTAGAAAGTTTCCTTTTTTAAGAAACTCGGGGCACAGGAGAAGTGGAAGGAACAGTGTTCTCCGAGAGTATTTTTCATGAATAAAGGCAGAAAAAGGAAAGCTATGATGGTCCTTGCAAATCTGCACCTTCCCACTCGTCCCTGGCTCCCCAGAGAGGAATGCAGGTCTACAAAGTAGGACTGAGCACTGGGCAAGAGCACCGGCAGTGGCCACACCAGCCAGGATGCCAGCGTCCACCTGCATGTTCTCGAGAAGGAGGCCACCGGCGTCACTCCCCAGGCCGGCCCTCCAACCCCTAAAACCGCAGGCTAGGGTGCCATTAGGGTGAGGGCATGTGAAAGGATGTGTGATCAGAAAATGACTAACAGTGGACATCGGTCTTGATGCCAGAAAGAATTTGGAGACGCGGAGACAGAAGGATCACGGAACAGCGTTACAAGAAACGTAAAGAAGATCCTGTAAAAAGGAAACATAACGATATGCAGAAACAGAGCCAATACACGTTTAGCAGATTAGTAAACTGCCAGTTGGGCCGACCGAGTATGAGATGGGTCTGCAGAGGTGAGGCAGTATGTGTTCTCGGTAATTTGGATCTTGTTTTTTCTACTGAAACTAACCATCAGTGGCTTATCTACATATCGACTACAAATGCCTATGACTGACCCCAAATTATCTTATGTCTTCTTCCTAGAGCTAGGGGAAATGAGGGACCAGGAAAGCTCACGAGAACAATCTTACAGGTTGACCATCTGGCATTAAGGGCATGTGGCCAGGGCACAATCGTGCCACAAAACCCCCATTGGACAGCCACACACCGTAGAGGAAGATGAATTCTTATCCGGTGCTGCGTAGCGGAAAAATGTCCCAACTTTGTCCACAGACACGGGGCTCACTTGCTCCCAGCCGTTCACTCTCACTTGCAGCTGGTGAATCCGGAGGTCGTGGGTGTGCCTATCAGGCAGAACATGGGAAAGGACGTTAAGCAAGATCTTAAAAAGGGAAGGAAAGTAGAAGCAAAGAGTCAAATCTGATTTACTATATAACTACATAAAAACCCAGTTGGCTAAGCCTTTTGGTGATTACCTAATGCAAGAAAAATCAGGAGAACATTTTAACTGGGTGTTATACTTAAAACAAACGAACGAGATCTGTAAAGCCTGAGCGAGAGTGGCATTTACCCTCCCTTTGTACAAACTTTGCAAATCCTGTGCACAAGCCCAGGTCCTTCCCCCACCCACCCCCACCTCTATAAAATCATGACGTCAGCTAGAACCATTCCAGTGGGCTAGTAAAACCGTTGTACCAGCAATTTCATCATAAAACCACACTCTCGGAAATGCATAAAATGACAAATTTTTTCTTGGTTCCCTTGTTGAATATCCTACTTCTCTCAGAATCACATTCCGTTGTTTGGCTTCAGTCCTGCAAGACTACAGACAGGTTATGAGAGACGGAGCCCTCAGAGTTTCAGGGCTAAAGTGCCCGGCTGGAACTGGGGCAGAAGGCAGTGGGCAGAACAGGAGGCACAGGAGGAAATTGCAAATTTAATTCTATTTTAGATTTTGCCTAATTCAAGCCAGAAGGCTGAAACGGGGAACTGGATTTGAGGCTGACAGGAAAGGGGGAGGAAGGCAGGGAATGGGGTACAGTGTGCCAAAGAGGGAAAAGCCAGAGGAGGCATTTATTTTGATGAATTCAAGCAGAACAGTGGGACTTGAAATGGGTTACTAGACATGTCCGCTAAAACGGAAATGACAAAGAGGTCAAACCCCTTCTGACACAAGGGAGGCAGTGCTGGTGAAGAAATACAGCCAACAGTTCTATAATTAGCTTCTCCAGGAACTTTGTGGAACAGGAACACACTCGCCACTCGTCCCTGGAAATTCTACCATGGCTTCCAGGTACATGTGCCCAGCACGGTGGTTTTATAAACTCGATCTTTCCGAGTCCAGAAGGCCAACCCCAAGAGAATAATGTGTGCTGGTACAGGCCATGCACAAGGAAGCACTGTTTCCCTCGGGAGTAGGTTTGCACACAAAGACTTCAAGTGCCATGAAAACCCAAGAGCGCAGAAGGCTGAAGCCGAGTGCTTCAGTTTCAGCTCGGCTTGACAATGGATATGAGGCTCAAATGCTAAAATTTTAACCTATTCACTGTCCACTGGATCCCTCTTAAACATGTTTGCAAATAAAAGGCCATTTTATGACCTCTCAGTAACGAGACAGAACCTTCTTTCATGTCTTTTGCAATCCTTTGGCTGGCCGTTCCGACAGTGCACGGGCCGGCAGTCTCCTTTGATGAGTCAGTGTTATCCTCCTCAGAATCAGAATTTCTTATCCTTCCTGGCCCTGCTTCTGAAACCACCTGCCTGCTGAAAGCGCTATGTGGCACACACGCATCTTAAAAACCGAAATCAACGTGGTTTGATAACCTTTTAAGAAGAGCGTGTCATTCCGGTTATGGGAAGAACAGGTCACAAAGAGAAAAGGTACAGTCCAGGAAACACAGGCGGGGGCACGGTAATAGTGCCACACGGTGACGGATGGCAGTCGCACTCGTGGCAAGCACAGGGTAATGGAGAGTTGCTGAATCGCTATGTTGTGCACCTGGAACTAATGTAACAATGAACTTGAGTGTTGTCACCTGCCTTTGCCTCAATCATATTATCGGCAACACACGGGCCATCAACTCTCATGTCAAACAGAGGGATAATTAATGGAAAGAAGTATATTTCCAAAATAGAGAAAGGAAACCTTGGTTTTCGAAATACCTTTTAAAAATAAAACATTAAAATCATTAATAAAGGCACATGAAAAGGCAAAACACTAGGGACAATCTTTTGTGATGCAGATATCTATACAGTATATTTTGGGGAGAGGAAAAGGATGAACCACACTTTACCTGTGTCTAAGCTTTCCTCTTGCTTCAAATTCAAAGGGAATCTCCTCCCCCGTGAGGACTTCCCGCCATTCACTGACATTGTGAGCGTCATCAAGAAATGTGCCATTGCCTTCTGGAACGAGCCCCGGACTCCCGCTGTGGGACAGCGCAGCCCTGGAAACAAATCAGACAATACCAGCACGGCCTTCCTTCTCGCTTAACTCCGTCTCACCCAGAGCTCGGGGCTGGGGGCAGAAACCCTCCTGGAACTCGATCCCCAGAGAGCCTGGCTACCGGGATGACCTACAAGGTCAGAGACTGCCGTTATCTTTGTGACAATCGCAGTGTCGGTGAAGCTTTGGAAACAGCTGAAATCGATCATCGCCTTACCCTACCTAGGAATGGCAGGAGAAAGGTGGCTTCGAATTGGCCAGTTCTGTTATTTACTTCACGCATCTCGTTCCCTAAACTGGAAAGATCGGCATGCATTTGGAGGGGAGAGCCAAGGTCTACACAGGCAGGAAGCTGGTAGAGAACATCCTCGGCCCAGGTAAATTCTCCTTTGTTCTCCAAGCTCCACTCACTTCCATCTGGGGTGAACTGTTTGAGGTTTGGAAGATAATTCTCGGTGAGGGGGATGTGGGAGGGGTTTTTAAAGCCATCTTGGAAGAAAAATGCAGGGTGTCTGGTTTAATAACCACATTCAGCTTCTTTTAAAAAGGGGTAGGGACTGAGGAGAAAAGGCGGGATGGCTTCTCCTTCCCACTTCTTACACGCATCCTTCGTTCGCTTGACTTTTTCCTTAAACATAACGTGTGCCAGGGTCGGGATCAGAACGTGGGTATTTCAGACTCGGGACCTACTTCTCCAGCTACAGGTTCCGCCCCATCATCAATCTCAGCCAGACAGCAAGTTGCCGATTCCAGTACAATCCTGAGGGCTTTCAGAAGGGGCCCAGCTTGCGCTGCTGGGCTGGTGCTGGGGAGCTCCTGGTGGCAGAGACGGCTCGGGGGGCACTCTGGGGGCCTTACCTGGTGGGCGTGGTGGTCAGGGTGGCAAACCACAAAGTGCAGCCTGTGTGGTTCCTCAGAGCAAAAGGGACAAAGGGCTGCCGTCGCTTGGGCGTCTTCACCTCTGCTGCGGGCAAGCGGAGGAAAGGCTGTTAGCACGGGCCCCGTCTGTGCAGCAGAGACCCTCCCCGGACCTGCACGCGGTGTCCCGTCTCTCATGCAAAGGGGCTGACGGCGGCAGCCACAGACACAGAGCCACCATCGGTGTGTGATGGGACACAAGGGATCTCCGTGTCCTCTGCTGCCTGCTATGTGGGGACAGTCCCCCCCGACAACTGGCCGTGATATGGGACGACTCCCAGCCCCCAATCCTCCCACAACTCTTGGGGGCCTTAAATCAAGAGAAGGTACCAGGCCCTAACTGGTACCCCACGAGGCCCAAGGAATATATTCTCCATGAGTGACCCAAACTGTAGCAAGATACAGTGCACAGACTTATTCTAACTTTGTCCAAAATGCCTGCCCTTTAATAAAGATTCCCTTTCTACGAAAGCTACACTTGTCATGCTATGCATCTTTTAACAAAATAAAAACATTCTCTTCTATCCTCTTAAACTAATAGTTATTTTCGCCCTCCCTGGAAGATGAGAAATATACTATCCCAAAAGTTTTTAAATGAAATCTTCAGCTCATTTTTTCACATTGAAACCATTACCGTCTGCTATGAGGCAGGCAATGGGGAGACTACAAAAGGAGCATAAAGTATGGTTTCTTTTCACAAAACAGCTTCTAAGCAGGGAAACTGGAAAGAAATACCAATCAATCCAAAATTGTAAGTACCCAAATTCCAGAGACCGGACTAAAAACTCTCTTAAGAGAGAAGTGAGAGTCCATGTGGCCAGAAATGGCTTTCCAGCACCCAGGCTGCCCTGAGATCCTTCTGCGGGCACCACTGCCCTGCCATGTGGTCTGACCCGGAGCGGCATGGGCATGCCAAGAGGAGAGCCAAGGGCCTGCGCCTCCTCTACCAGTCGGTGGGTCTATGGGTCTTGGGTCGTTCTGAGACAAAGCGGGAGGAGGTGGCAGGAAATAAAGGCAGCAGCAATGTGCTCACACCGCGCGGGCTCTACCGACAGAACAGGACATGGCCCAGTCTTCCGGCACGCCCAGCTCTAAAGCACAAAGACGGCCTTAGAAAGACCAGGACCCACGTGGTCTGCGGCTGCAGAAAATGACACCTCGAGGTGACCGCGGCTGCCCACTGAGAACACTAGAGCAAAATTAAATGCACCTTACAGGTCCACATGCTTCCTGCCAGCCAAACGAGAAGGTAAACTACAACGACCCTGCCTTCTCCCTCCGCTAGAATAAGGCCTGGGCCAGGACCACCAAAGTCACTAATTGCTATTGCCTTTTAAAAAGTAATCAATTTCTTTTCTTCCCCTTTGCGTCTTCTGAAGTTTTCAGAAGCTAGTACTATAAATGCTACAAAAACAAGCAATTTAAGCTAAGGCAGGTTCTGTTTCGGTAAGGACAGTGGCTCAAGGGAGTCTAAGACACAGTAATCCGATAAAATAAACAAATAGTTTGCAGCGTGTCCCTCCAGTTCTATGGTTAGCCTTCACAAACACCCTACATACTTCTGATGATAATCTCCTAGAATATCTCCTAAATCATCACCTAGAAGACATGCATTTCCCATGCCAATGGCCTCACTGAGTTCGCAAGGTTGGCTTTAAAAAAAAAAAATGACATCAAGTACAAAATTAAGGAGTAGCTGTGAGGCTGGTGACAGGAGCAGAGGGGGAGTAAAAGATTTAAGAGCTGTCTGCAGGGTAAACAGCACTTACTGTGCCACCTTGAAAGGCACCTCCGTCTCCAGGCGTGCACGAGAAATCTGCTTTATTACAGCAGATAAAGGACCCAGGAGGCAAAGAAGCCAGATGTGCTTTCATACCCCACTGTGAGCCAGACTGGAAGTTTCCATTTGCAAATTAGATTAAAAAAGAGCAGGTGGCAAATGCCTTTGATCACACCGTCATACAGAAGAAAAGTGCTAGGAGTCCGTACAGACAGTCCCAAGCATGTCGCTCTGGAACGAAGCAGTCAGGGCATGCACACTGCTCAGGTCCCCAGGCTCCCTGTGTCGATCACACACAACAGCACAGCCTTCAGCAGCCAGCCTCGATGAGAATAAACAACAAGGAATGCCCACAAAGCCCAACCCGACACCAGGGGACAGACCCGACATCTCCCGCACTAGGGGCCAAATCAACCGCGTCCTTGTCTTTGGCACAGCACCAGCAAACACCGTTCTCAAGCCCATCCAAGGGAGCGGCAGTCCCTGGGGGCCCCAGAAAGTCTGCCCCTAGTGACCAGACCTCGTTCTGTCATAGGCCGAGAGGACCTAAGGCTCCTCACGTCCAACCTGGGCTTCATGTGGCTGAGGAAATTTCTTGCCTGCTGGACTTGTCTCACAGAGCAATGTGGCCCTTATAAACAGGGTAGGTTTTCATACCACAGAAGCGTCCAGTCTATTAGAAAGGACATGGTTTCTAAATCATAAGAAATAGATTCAAAGGGTGCCTGGGTGGCTCAGGGGGTTAAAGCCTCGGCCTTCGGCTCGGGTCATAATCCCAGGGTCCTGGGATCAAGTCCCGCATCGGGCCCTCTGCTCTATCAGGGAGCCTGCTTCCTCCTCTCTCTGCCTGCCTCTCTGCCTACTTGTGATCTGTCTCTCTGTCAAATAAATAAAAAAAATCTTTAAAAAAAAAAAGAAATCGATTCAAGTCCCAGGCCCGCTACCAGCTGGACATGTGCATGAAGGCAAATGACTTCATCTCCCTCACCAGCTAAGGTGCCCAGGCTGCTTAGCCTGAAAGATTAAATAAGAGATGTAGAAAAGCTGAGCATCTAAATTGGTTAATAAATGAAGATTCAAACGCGGGCTTCCTTTGTGAACCACCCCCCCACACACACATACACATCCGTCTCGGCAAAACCTCTCAGGGAAAACTCCTCCCTGTATGGCCCCCGTGCATGAACACCGCTGGTCTGAACTCCTGGTAGAGGACGCTCACACAGTCTTTTTTACAAAATATATCATGACCTTGGCAGGACCTGATGCTGGCCAAGCACAGACATAAATCACACCGATTAAATCATACTCCTTCCAACAACTAAAGGAAAGAACATCGTGGGATTCCCATTCCTGGAAGCTTTTGCTATTTCCAATCATATTTACTTATTAGTCAAATTCTTAAGGAAAGTTAAAGGGTCAGAGACAGAACTAAAGCATTTTATTTTCTATCTCTGAAGCACTTCAAGTTACAGCTAAAGAAACCAAGGTCTGTGCCTGAGCAACTATTTCCTGGGAAATTTTTCCCTGGCTCAGTTCCTGATCACAACAGCCTCCGCTCCGTGGCGCCCCTGCACTGCCCTTGGTGCCCACCGAGGATCCTATCAACAAAGACATGAAGCACTGCCTGATGGAGGGCAGCTTTGCTCCATTTCCTCGCTTTTCCAAATGAGACAGAAATCACCGCAGACGCTGGGGATCTCTGCCCCAGATGCTGACGGGCTGATTCCACCTCCACCGAGGATCAGGGCAGATGGAAGACGCGGCACATCGCCCGCTCCTGACAGCAGGAGCCCTCTGGTCCTCAGCTGGAAGTGCTCCCTGTGCTCAAACCCGGGGTATCCCATCCGGCTCCCACTCACACGAAATTGATGGACAAGGCAGTTCTTCAAATAGCAAAATAAAACAAGCCCTCGCTTGGCTATACTGTACCTCTAGCATAGATCTGGTGCTCTAGGTTAGTCAGACTGGCTGTACTCCTAGTTCTAAGGTAGACAAGGGGGAGGCCTGGTAGACAGGAGAGACAAAGTTAGAGGGTCAGGATATAGACAGTGAATAAGAAGACTCACTTCCAAAACATAAGCACAGAGAGAGTACATTACAAAAGTAGCAAGCATCATGCAATTCCGGGATCATTCCCTTCAGTGACTGCTGAGCCCTAAGAAAGTACTTGAACAAAGGGAGTGAGACATTTTTATGCTAGGCTTTTACTGTGGGGGATGTGGTACAGTAGCGTGCTCCTGTTTTTCTCCACAGGGGAAGGAAAACATTGTCCACATTCTCTTTAATGGATTGACAAGTCTTCTGAGGCTTTTTCACTTAAGGCGTGCACACTATTAAATGGCAATGGAAAAGCTACCAAGACCGGTCGGCACAGACCGGGGCGGCAGTCGCTCCATTCCAATTTGGAAAGGCAGCGCCAGGAGAGTGCTAATCCCCCAGGGGTCCCGAAATTTCAAGGGAAAGAGTCAATCTGCATTCCAAAACAGTCTCCATCAAGGCGTTACCTCATAGTATTACTGATATTATAAATTAAACATGGAAGTTTTTAGAACGTTTACAATTGGTATTTCCATCACGTGTCCTTTGAATAGCAAACTAACAAACTCCACAAGGGGCCACGCCATCCAGGTCGACCTGCAGAATCTCGGCCCTTCCTGGACAAAGTCAGCAATGATTTAAAAAATGAGGCCACTGTTTTCTTTCCCCTGCTAAAGGAACAGTGAGAAATCAGCAGCTCCCTTAGGCTGAATTTCATTTTAAGAATCTCTATTTCAAGGGCTCATTTTGAAGCTGACCTAAATGAAATGCACAAATTGGTGGGGGGGTGTGTGACTAAATGTTCATGTGACAGGAGGACCTGAAAGATGTGATCGGTTCAACAAGGTTCACATCCACTGACTTTGAAGACAAACACCCCACAATTAATTTAGTAGACCTGTTAAAAGAATATCATCCCATCTGCCACACGTGCTGCCGCCCAGGAACGTCCAATAGGAAAAGAGGTTTGGAAATTCAGGTATATTCACTTCTTGTCTAATTAAAAAGATTTATTTCTGCAAGCCTAAGTAACCATAAAAATCTGTCAGTAAATAAAAATCCAGCTTTAATTTCGCACTGGCATTGAACACAGATAAGGCAGCTTAGTAGCTACAAGGAAAAAAGAGAAAATGTTTTTTTAAAAAGGTGGAGGGGTGGAGACAAAAGAAAATCCTTCATCAGAATCCTGAAGATTAGGCCATCCTCATGTTTACACTGAGTCTGGATTTAAGATCCCCTTGCAGGAATAATAATTTCCAAAACATACTCTCTAGGACACATTATATATTACAAAGATCACTGAGAGTCTTCTGGGTAGACTGTTCCATTCTCTCAACACACAAATTGGGAAGGTTAGCGGAGGAGCCAGAATTGAGGCTGATGATATCTGAACAGCCCAGCTCCTAAGCAATGACCTTGTGACTCAAAAGTGACAACCTGGGAATACAGAGAGCAAACATAGCTGACACTTCCTTGTCCCTCCTTCCAGAAGTACATGGCAGATAGAGAGTCTACTTCTATACCCTGAGGAGAGACGAACCAGCTCAAATACTTCACAAACTAAGAAAATCCATCTTCCCATGACATGTTTGCAGACCAGATGGAATATTTAAGCATTCATGAGCCATGTGAAGTCCAGCCAGGACTCCCCAAAGAAACCGCACTGAAAGAGTTGGGGCTGAGTCGCATTTGGAGGACAATGGCTTGTGGAACAACTGAGGACCACGCGGTTGGCCGCCACAATCTCCCAGCTCTAAGGAAATCAAAGCTCCATGGTGAGGCATTAAATAAGGAAAGAAAACATCGTTAACAGAGAACAAACGGACTGCTCATTCTTCAAAAGGCTGGGTATTCAATTCTTTTCTACTTTATGAACAATACGGAGCCCTCTTGTTTAACAATTTCTTCCATATGGGATCCTGCTGCCCTCCCTTCAAGAATATATCCAAACTCTGTACCTCTAGATTTAGAAAACTGAAAAGATAGTTTTTAAAATCCAGTCAGAAAGTCCAAATCAACTGGAAAGTTTTGCCAAGTTAAACACACTGGCCAGTGGCTGATCTTGATGTGTTTCAGGCATACCAGCTCATATGCAATGTTGCCAGAATTTAGAAAATTGTACGTCGCAGATCTTTTCTCTCCCACAAAGGTGGAATTACAGCCCATATTAAAAGTTCAGTATTTTGTGCCAGAAAAATGTCTCCTACAAAGATTAAAACAGAACTACAGAAGATAGTCAGAATTTCCTATAGGTTTGTTCACAGAAAATGATGATCCTATTTGGATTTTTTTGAAGGAACATGGCTATGCTGGTCGACAGTGATTTATTTACTCACACATTTGTAGAGAAAAATCTTACTTTGTCCAAAGCATGGAGGATCCACTGAAGAGCCCATCCAGTCTTCTGATGTGGTTGAATCCATTTCCTTGTCCTGTTTACAGTAATCTGCCATCCACGATTCCTTGGTACTTACATATTGGTCTAGAAAGAATTCCCCAAAGATATTAAGTACGGAAATAGAAAAGGTTGAGGGTTCAAGTCAAATTAATTTCTGTTTAGCAAAATAAGCTTTTGTTGAATGCCTAACTGCGTACTAGGCATTATGCTGGGTTCTCAGAAAGTCTGTGCCCTGGAGAACTCATGCTCCACTGGAAGAAATCAATGTTAGCCAAACAACCATCACCGTAAAACCATAATGTGGAAAGAGCTAAAACAAAGACATAAATGAAATGCTACAGGAGCACGGGACAGGGGAAGATTTATTCTGCTTTGGCAGAAGTGGGACAGTACACACCAAGATCCACAGGAATCTTAAGAGATGTGGGGACCTTTGGACCTTAAGAGATGTGGGGACCCCTACTAATGGGGTTAGGAGTGAGGGGATATTCCAGGCCAAGGGAACAGCATACACAAAGATTTCAAAGACATGAAAGTACACAGTACTTTAGGAAACACTGGATACTTTGCTGTGACTCTGGCCCAACATATTGGGGACATAGCAAAGCAGCCTAGAAGAGAGAATTAGCTTGTGAAGAGTATGCTATGCCATGCTAAGAGACAGGGTTTCAAGACAGAAAAGCCAGTGAGGAGGCTTTTAAAAAAAAAAAAACAAAAAAAATCCCAAAAAACCACCCATCTCAGGAGGCTGAAATCTAGCTGACAATATTCAGGAATCGTTTTATGGTTTTGAGAGGAGAAATATAAGGGGAAGGGCAGGTTAACAAAGTAATTATGATGTACCACCCCTGGATAAAGGCCTTTTCTACTAATTAAGGTATGATATTTTTTAGAACAAAAACTACTGGCTTTTGGTTTTCAGTTCCAATAGTTATCTATATGCAAGATTTATTTCAATACTAAGAGGTCACAGTAATATTTCTGGGTTCCCACACAGTATTAGGAATAAAGAATTGGAGGTGAAAAGAAAAAAGAAAGAAAACAACAACAGCTTTACCAGAGACAAGAATGCCTTTTGGAAGACATTCTGGTGTCTCAAGCTCATGAGAAGTATCAACAAAATTCTCTCGTTCAAAGCAAGTTCTTTATTGTAGCTTTCTAAAACGCTACCCTCAACCTTATCTAAACTTCCAGATGAATACATGATATAGGAAAAAATACAGGATCAAAATAATACAGTACAGAAGGATCATGAGATCAATTATCCAGGCAAATTTAATGAACAAAATCTGATCATGTAAGACAGTGGTTTTAAAATTTGGAGATCGGGGCGCCTGGGTGGTTCAGTGGGTTAAAGCCTCTGCCTTCGGCTCAGGTTATGATCCCAGGATGCTGGGATCGAGCCCCACATCGGGCTCTCTGCTCAGCAGGGAGCCTGCTTCCTCCTCTCTCTCTGCCTGCCTCTCTACTTGTGATCTCTATATGTCAAATAAATAAATAAAATCTTTAACAAATAAATAAATAAATAAATTTTGGGGATCAATAAACTTATGGTCTCATATCACTATACAATCTCTTCATCTTATTCTGACGTGGAATAAGCCAGTGGATAGCCTACGAGCCTCGACCACATACACTGAAGAAGGTCCAGATATGCGGTAGTATTATCACTCAGATAACTACAGTAGCACCAAAAATCAGGTCATGTAGATCACTAACTCAAACAGTGAGTGTGGCTTGTCATGGCAAAGGCAGGCAATACCTGATTGTATGTGACATTACTCTTCTCCAAGACGACGTAAGCATAAGCATCGAGTGGTTCCGACTCACCACATGGAATCAAGGAACATACATTTCATTGTTTTCAAAGAAATGGTCAGAACACGCATTGCTAGCTTGGTAACCCTTCAGCCCAGTGATTTTCAGAGTCAGGTCAACATGATAACTTGATGAGACACAGTACAGGCAACTTATCCTACTATAAAGACCAGGTCAAAACTGCACCTTCTAAGAATTATTCTGTGTGTGCGTAGCCTGAAAGAAGTGAATCTAAACTCACTCCTAGGACATTTAAGAAAAACCTGTGACCAAGCATCGTCAGGGAGAGAGTTCATCCTGAACAGAGAGAGTGTTCTGTTTCCCAAACAGTCTGAGCTCTTGCCTGATCACTGAAAGCATTAATATGGGACCCCAGCTCTGGAGCAATGGGTTAAAAAGAACCAAGAGGCCATGTTCGAGTTTATCAGGAAAGCAGCCACGGTGAGTAAGTGATGTCCAGTGTGGGCCTAGGTATTTGCCAACCCAGGATTAACAGTCTTCTGGACAAGCGACTTATGTACAGAAAGGTACCGATCTTCTAGAAACAACTTTCTCCTTACCAATTAGCACAGAGGTGATGTTGATATCCAAACGGGGTTTGGCCTTGGCTTCCAGCTTCAGTCGAGGAGGATGGAGGCGACTAGCTGCCTGTTGTTGCCAGGATATGGAGCATGGCCATGGCTCGATAAATGGCTCCCAGCCTAAAAGAACACAGGAAATAAGACATCTGTTCAGCAGATAGCGAGAGCTTACGGGGGAACGCTGTTCACAAACGCTCAGCAAAGACAAACTGTAGCTTAACAGCTTTCTATTTCCAATATGCTTTCACAGTGAAAGCACCATCTTCAGCGACAGGTCACCCTACCAACGTCTGTGCTGTCTAGACGACGTGAGTGGAAGGACACATACGGGTCCCACACGCTCTTCCAGAGTTGGGAGGGAGAAGGGCACAGAGCATATGCGTCCTCTTTCTTAAAGAGCAGGCACGACCTGCTTTTGATCCACTCAAGATGGAGAAAGGAGGCTCGGACTCAGGATGGAAAAGCACTGTCGGTGGCTGAAGTAACCCTTAAACTGGATTCTCCCGCTTCCATCAAGAATCCGTTGGTTGGATAAGTAAGTACAGCCTAACTGGATATTCATTAACTTAAGTTTTTCAAATTTCTAATCTTAAAATGTCATTTGTACAAAAGGTATGAAAATGTCTATGTACGGTTTAAAGAACAAAACTACCATAAGCCCCATGCAGCGACTCTTCAGCTTAAGAAATAGAAAACTAGATGCTCCTTGGAAGGCTCCGAGTGCCACGGTCCCGTGTCAGCCCCCTTTCCACCAGCCCCTCCCACCCGATCCCAAGTAAACATCAGCTTGCGGCTTTCATCACTTCCTTGCTCTCCCCTCATAGTTTTACCACACACGCATGTATTTCTTCAGAACATACTGGTGAGTTCGTCCTACTGGGGATCTTTATATAAATGGAATCCGGCCATATGTGTTCTTCTGCAAGTTTCTATTTTTGCCCAACAGCATGCCTCTCTGCTGCTACGTAGCTGCGGCACAGTTACTTTCCCCAGTGAACCGTAATCCACGTACGGATACACCGCGATCTACGTATTCGTTCTACTGCTGTGAAACATTCCCTCGAGGCCACACTTTATAGCTATGAGGAGGAACCACCACCACGAGCAGTCCCGTGCTTGTCTCCGAGCACACGCGGGCCAGAAAGCCTCTGGGGTACAGACCTAAAAGAAGTGTAACGCTCATACTCAACCCTGCTACACGTCAGAGTGTTTTCCATAGTGGTTGCACCAACTTATAATTCTAATGGCAAGAAGTTAGAGTTCTGTGGCTCACAGCAGCGTCACACTTAATTTTTGTCAGGCTATTGGACAAGAAAAATGGTACCTCTCTGTGGTTTTAAAGACTCAACTTTTCAGGGCACCTGGGTGGCTCAGTTGGTTAAGCGTCTGCCTACAGCTCAGCTTACGATCTGGGGGTCCTGGGATTGAGCCCTGCATCAGGCTACTGGTTTAGCTGGGAGCCTGCTTCTCCCTCTCCCTCTGCTGCTCCCCTGCTTGTACTCTCTCTCGCTCTCTCAAAGAAATAAATAAAATCTTAAAAAAAAAAAAAAAAAGACTCAACTTTTCAGGACAGTTCTTTTTTTTGTTTGTTTTTAAAGATTTTATTTATTTACCTGTCAGAGAGACAGAAAGAGCGAGCAAGCACAAGCAGGGGGAGCGGCAGGCAGAGGGAGAAGCAGGCTCCTCGCCGAGCAGGGAGCTGGACGGACGCAGGACTTGATCCCAGGACCCTGGGACCATGACCTGAGCTGAAGGCAGACACTTAACCAGCTGAGCCACCCAGACATCCCAAGACAACTCATTTTGAACAGTTTTCTAGCTATACTCCATCAGCCACAGATCAGGTGACTGACCACGAGGAATCCAATCCGATATATAGCATCGAGTAGGTACATTTGTCTCCTCGCACCGTTCACCACTTAGTGACCTGACTGTTCACATAACTATAAAAGTAAGCAAGATTTGCTCTGGGAAAATACATGAATCTCAGAAAAATGGCTTCCATATGCCCCTTGAGAGTCTCTCTCACCTAGTAAGACTCGGATCAATGTCCTAAAGTTAAACTTGCTGAACAGCTGGAAAATCAGAGTGCTAGCACTCTTAGGAAGTGAATCCAGAACAAGGAGAAAAACCCTAACTAACGTACAAAAGGAATTGTCGCATGTGCTCTAGAACCATCTGCAGCACCAGCACAATTAACAATGCTCCTGTCTCCAACGAAATCAGAGGGAGCGGTCACTCTGAGGCCGAAGCCCTGGGCTGTGCAGCTCTACTCTGCCCACACCTACTAAGCATTCCCTTACGGCAGAGAACTTCACACTCAAACTGCTCAGCCCTGGTTTCCCCCACTTCCTGAATGTCCATGTATATGGGCCCTTACCTTGGTCCTCCCAGAGGAAGGAAAGAAACCTGAAAACACTCTGCAGTGTTACCCAGGTTCTATGTCTCCAGAAGGATCGCCTGCTCTGATCAGTTGTGTTTTGCGTGAAGGAGTCGGGTGCGGCACATTATACACGACCCCGAACTCAGGATGTCTCTAGTGGAAAAGGTCCAGCAAGGAGGAAGGATGCTTGAAGTGTAAAATGCTTACCGGCAGAAATCTCCCTTGAAATCTAGCTTCCATCAGGGCCAGACAAATGATCCTTCGCTCCTGAGCCATTTCTTGTTCTAGAATAAGCCAAACTCCAGCCTCAAATAGAACTAACTAGAAAAACTTCTTTGTATATAACTCAGTTGCAATGTATCAGGTATGTCAGAAAAAAGAAAAATCTCGATCTTTTGTGCCTAGTTAGTCGCCTGTGTTTCACCTTTCCCTGCTTGGCCCCACCCCCTTTCCCTCAGGCAAAATTGAGGTAGAAATAGGCTCAAGCACATACTGAAGTGTGGGTTTTAAGCCCCACGATCACACAAGCGCAGGGACTGACCTGACAGGGCGCGGTTGTAATAATCTCCGGAGAGGGTGAAGTGGGCGTAGCCTTCAGGGCTAGCTCGTGCCTGCTGCAGGAAGGTCACACCTGCAAAGAAAGCACACCTTACAGCAGCCGTGGGGCAAGAGCAACCAGAGCGAACTTTCTCAGACGAGGCTTCAGTGAAGAGATGGATGGATGTTAAACACAGCTGATACCAATGACCTCCTAGGAAAGTGCGCGAAATCTTGATATTTTGTTCATCATGGGCTTTCTGCATGAATTCTGATTTTTCGTTTTAAAGATTTTATTTATTTATCTGACAGAGATCATAAGTAGGCAGAGAAGCAGGCAGAGAGAGGAAGGGAAGTAGGCTCCCCGCTGAGCAGAGAGTCAAATGCGGGGCTCAATCCCAAAACCCTGAGATCACAACCTGAGCTGAAGGCAGAGGCTTAACCCACTGAGCCACCGGGCACCCCTGATTTTTTTTTTTTTTTTTTTTTTCTTTTTAACACTGTGTTAAAATGTTATTTGTCAGGGAGCCTGGGTGGCTCAGTCCTTAAGCATCTGTCTTCATCTCAGGTCATGCTCCCAGGGTCCTGGAATCAAGCACTGCATCGGGCTCCCTGCTCAGGGGAAACCTGCTTCTCCCTCTCCCACTCCCCCTGCCTGTAGTCTCTCTCTTACTGTCTCTCTATAAAATAAATAAAATCTTTTTTTTTTAATGTTATTTGTCCTAATTCCTGAGTTTCTGGCACCCCTTGCAATGTTGTGCCTTAGGCAAAGGCCTCCTCTGCCTCCTTCCTGTCCCAGCCAGCCCCAGCACCCAGGTGTCTCTGTGTATCTCAAGTCTGTAGGAACGTAAAAAACCTACTTCGTCCTGAATACCTAAAAATCAAAAGGCAGACTGGTAAGAGCAGTTATGTCCTGACAAAGATTAGCTCAAAATTTTAAGATTACCGTAGAAAAATAAGAAGTAATTATTCCCTGCAGAAAAGATTCTCCATCAGAATCCCAGCTATCACTCTCAGTCTTGTGGCCCTTGTGGGGCCTTGGAGCACAGGGAAAAGGAAGCCTCTCCCGTGTACAAAAGGTCCAACTCAATCCCCAGGATGGAATTTTCCTTGAAGGAAAAAGACTCTGGCAAGGTCAAAGCAGCAGAAAATTGAAAGTAAACCCAGTGGTGAGGTTTTCGTGGACTCTCCACCAAAGCCCCATCTAACACTGCCTGTGATGACACGGTCGAGGAGGAGGTCCTCGTCCCCTCATCCCCTGCTGCTACTGAAGGAGAGCTCTCAGCGCCCTATGGGGGACACTGTGAGGTGAACGTTCTAGTAAGACTCCGTGTGCTTTCTTTTCAAACATACACAGGGCAGAGCATTTTCTGAGCTTATCTTTTAAGTGCCTCCAATAACAGGGCTCACTGCAGGCTTTACATACATAAGAAGATAAACAAAATGGAGACTCAGGAATAATTTAGCTAGAGCTGTTAATAGAACAGAAATTTCATCAATGACAATGTCTATTATTCCCAAACCAGAGGCTGAAGGCCACATATGGCAAATAAATACACATCTCTTTAAAATACAAATACTGAAAAACAGATGTAAAACCATTATCTGAATTTCACCCATACTGTTAAGTGGGGAGCATGAATATCACACACACACACACACACACACACACACACACACACACACACACACGACGGGCCCCAAATAACTCGGCAGTCACGGCAAATCTTCAAGACGAGCCTGAACGTCGGGAAAACACTCACGGGAAAAGGTGAGCTCAGCCAGAGGGACGTCACAGTCCATGCAGTCGTCGATGAAGCAGATGCACACGCTCTCGGCTTTCACCTCCACGCCGGAGATCAGCCGCGCCGCCACGGGCCCCTGGCTCTCGCGGCCACTCGAAGCCAGAGAGAGAGACTTCAGAGGTTCGGCATTCTTAAATAACCAACTTGCCGCCTTTTTCAGCTGGCCTTCAAGAAAATTTAAAGGCCATCAGTTCAGCCAGTTTGCACAGCTACTCAAGCAGCTCATTAAGGAAACGTTTTTAGGGGCCTAGCCAAGAGGATCCCGCTCCCCAGATGTACCTACTCTCAGACTTAGAAAAGAAGAAAAAAAAACTAGCATAGGAATTCTATCTCTAGGCAAATAGAACGCAGCCCCTTTGCACACCTTCCACTCAAGTTCACCACCCTTCATGATCTGGTTCAAAACGCCTCCAGGAGCCATCCCTCCTCTACTATGACATCTATCGGAGGAGAGGAGAGGAGAAGAAAAGACAGGATCCAAATTCTAGATGTCACTCTAGGGAAGTATGTAATCTTCACTGTGTAGTTTTGCCTGTACTGATGTGCTACTCTGTGACTGTTCTCAAATGACTTTGTCTTCTCCACCGATCAGGAATTCCTTGAGAACAAAGAGCAATGAGAAGGGCATGTGTGTAATATCACTGTTAAAATAACAGCCACTCGCACCCCCAACACTGCCAGCCCGCTAAAGCTCTAAAGGAAAGGAAATCAATGCAACCCGTATCTATAAATGACTAGAGGACAGAACACGGCACAGAGGTAAGGGGTTAAGGGCACGTGCTCTAGAAGGTGGCCTGGCTTCTGATTCCAGCACCTAGAAGATGCTGGATCTTGGGCAAGTTACTTGGTGTCTGTGCCCAATAGCACATACTCACAGGGCTACCACAAGGAGGAAACAGACAAGTCCATGTAAAGTTCTCCTCTGAGCAGAGCCTGGCACGTATCAAAGGCTCTACTGATATTAGTTGCTGTTATTGTTTTTGTGATGGAAGGAATGACATCTTAGCTACTAAAGAAATAAAAATTAATAAAAATTGGAAATGCTCTTAGAAATTAAAAAGAGGGACGCCTGGGTGGCTCAGTTGGTTAAGCCGCTGCCTTCGGCTCAGGTCATGATCCCAGCATCCTGGGATCGAGTCCTGCATCGGGCTCCTTGCTTAGCGGGAGCCTGCTTCTCCGTCTGCCTCTGCCTGCCACTCTGTCTGCCTCGGCTCACTCTGACAAATAAATAAATAAAATCTTTAAAAAAAAAAAAGAAATTAAGAAATTAAAAAGAAATATTATGTTAAGAAAAATAGAAAATGTAAACACTTGGGGGTATTAAGTTAATTAAACTAACGAACAGTGACTCTAGGTGAAAACAAAGCTAAGGAATGCAAGATAACTAAATCTGCCTTCCTTTTTTTTCAGAAGGAAAAAAGTAATAGCTAATGTGAAGAACTGTGCTGCAAAACGAGTATTTTCACACCGAATTGGCTGGAGTTCAGCCTGGTACATTTTAGAAAAAGATTTGTCAAATGAAATAAAAAGTCTGAAAAACATAGTTACACCCTTGGATCCAGATTTATTCTACAAGGTCTCTCTATAAGGAAGTACTAAAAGATACAGAAGTTCATACCAAAAAAATATGTATTACAGAACTGTGTACAATATTTAAAGAATGAAAAACAAAGAAGAGTTAAATTAAAATGTATCATTAGGTGAGCCTGGCAGTGGGTTATCAAGGAGGGCGCGTATGGCATGGAGCACTGCGGATGGTGCATAAACAATGAATCTTGGAACACTGAAAAAATAAAATTAAATTAAAAAATAAAAATAAAAATAAAATATATCAGGGCGCCTGGGTGGCTCAGTGGGTTAAAGCCTCTGCCTTCGGCTCAGGTCATGATCTCAGAGTCCTGGGATCAAGTCCCACATCGGGCTCTTTGCTCAGCAGGGAGCCTACTTCCTCCTCTCTCTCTGCCTGCCTCTCTGCCTACTTGTGATCTGTCTGTCAAATAAGTAAATAAAATCTTTTAAAAAAATAAAATATATCATTAGGTCAATGTAAAAAAAAATCAATGTTTATAAATAATTTTAATGACACGGGAAGATGATGATATTAAGTACACTGCAATAATATTGCAATTGTAATTCAATAAAACTGTATTGTAAAGAGGCTACACAATTAATTGTATTTGTACTACAATCTGCCAACATACATGATATTATACGTATATACATATATATACATATGGCTATATATAGTAAAGAAGTAGGGGCGCCTGAAAAAAAAAAAAAAGAAGTAGGGGCGCCTGGATGGCTCAGTGGGTTAAAGCCTCTGCCTTCGGCTCGGGTCGTGATCTCAGGGTCCTGGGATCGAGCCCCACGTCAGGCTCTCTACTCGGCAGGGAGCCTGTTTCTCCCTTTCTCTCTGCCTGCTTCTCTGCCTACTTGTGATCTCTGTCAAATAAATAAAATTTTTTAAAAATCTTAAAAAAAAAAAAGGTAGAGAAACGTACATATAAGCACAGACGAGAAAAAAATGCGGCTTTTGCTTTACCTTCCTGTTTTAAAGAAAAATGGCAACACAGAAGAAGGTGGGAAGGGACTCTGCTGCAGTAGAAAGAACACAGGCAGGCTTGGCTTTCCGTGTATCTTAGCCCCTCACTAACAGGTGACCTCAGACCAGCTTACCTATCTGAGCCAATTTCCTTATCTGAAGCAGGGACAGTGATGTCCACCTCAAAGGACTATGAAAATCCCACAAGAAAACCCAGGATGAGGCACACGGGAGCTCAGCAGCCCTGACTCTCCGCATCAGCACCATTACCATGACCGCCAGCAGCGCTGGCTACCAGCATCAGAGTACCTGCTGTGTGCCAGGCACTTTCCCGTGGTGCTCTGGAGACAATGCCTGTTTATACCGAACCTCCAAGGGGAGTCCTCCTATCCTCTTTTTTCAGATAAGGAAGCACTGGTACAGAGAGGCTAAGTGACTTGTCCGAATCACCAATGGGTAATCAAAACAGCAGCATGGTACAGACCAGAAGCATCGGCTCCAGAGCCCAGGTTTTCATCCCCTATGAAATACCGCTGCTCCTCACTAAGCCCTGTCCAAGGTCATGTTCAGCGCACAGAAAACCATGGAGGGGAGTCAAAATACAGTCCAGCTCTCTCGGTTACCTTGTGGGTATGGGGGGGATGGGACAGGAAGCAAGCATATTGTCAAAATGAACAACAGGTATGGACACCCTGGTGCAAATACCTTGGCACACGAACAGGGCTTTGCGGCAATCATCCATGCTGAATCCCAGCTCCTGCAGTCTAGCCAGCTGTAACTCTAGGAAAAAAAGTATATGATTTTCATAAATAATTTTAGAGAAATTAGTCCACTCACTAATTAAAGAAAAAAAAAAGAAATTCAGGAGGTGGTGGCTAAAACATTGTTTCTCTAGGCAAAAATGGGCTCCAGGGGCACCCGGGTGGCTCAGTGGGTTAAGCCTCAGCCTTCAGCTCAGATCATGATCTCAGGGTCCTGGGATGGAGCCCCGCATCGGGCTCTCTGATCAGCACAGAGACTACTTCCCCTTCTCTCTCTACCTGCCTCTCTGCCTACTTGTGATCTCTGTGTGTCAAATAAATAAAATCTTAAAAAAAAAAATGGGCTCCAACCTAGAGACTTACCAAAGTGCACCCTGAAATTTTTTAAGAGTCTTTTCCCTATACTGATTATGTTCATAAAAGTTTAAAACTGAAATTTAGTATTATCGATATGACAATGAAGGAAAACTCAGTGTTTAAAACTAGCCCTTAGCATTATCCATATAGCTCTGGAAGAAGTGGTAAAAGAAAAACTAGTGTAGGTTACAGCGGTCGGTTTGAGGTGTTGTATTTGTTCTTAAATTTTTTAAAAATTACAGCATCATACTTATAATTACACTTAATGACATACAATTACACCCTGAACAATTTAATTGTGCAAAAGACAATCTGAACAGTTAACCGGAAGGGGAACTATTAGGCAGACTGAGTTGGGTTTCACAGTTCAACACCTACCCAAGACAGGATCTAGGGTGTGTCTCGAACCTTCTCTGATCTCCTCTCCAGCCCGAGTCCCGCCTGGAAGGGAACTGCTAACAGAGCTGGTCTCCAGGGCCACTGGGTCCGGCGCTGCAGCACTGGCTTGCTCTGGGATGGATTTTGCAATGGCAAGAAACAGCTGAACATCGTTGTAGGAGAGTCGGATATCCAGGGCTTGTAACTGAATCTAACAAAATTGAGAAGGCGGCAGTTTTTTCAAGTTGAACTTGCTTTTACGCCCACACCTCTCACCTGTATGTCTAGCTCCCAATTCAAGTTCTAGAAGTTCCACAGACACCACATTAATTTTTCATTTTGAAGACTGGGAAGATCTTAAAATTAAGCACGAAGGGCCATAAGGTAAGATGTCTGTGCTATGAGGTTGAGTGTTCACAAAACTGCACCAAATAGAAAATAAAAACAAGGAAATCTACCACAGCAACGAATATTTCAGTTGGACAATTTTCTTACAAGGAGATAAATCATCAAAGCAGAGAATCAGAGAACAGCTCGGGCAGGGATGGGCGGGGGGAGGGGGAGATCAGCAGCATTCTGTGAACCCATTTTGCTTTGACTGATTTAACCTTTTTAAATCCTGAAACCAACTGACCACTCAACAAAAATTACCTCTTCTTTCTCCAAACACAACCTTAAATGAGTCCAGGGCCACATTAGCATTTCCCCACATCCGGCCTCCCTCCCACAGCAACAAAACAGCGGTCAGCGGTAAGCAATGCAGACACTAGCACAAGGCCACTTAAAACTGGGGGTAACTACTGGAACATCTGGGGGTGGCACCTGGTTGATTATATATTTTGTCTTCAAAGATAAAAAACTAACAGGGCTTTTCTCTCCCTTTCAATCTCCCATGGTTCCAATGGATTAATTGTTCCTCCTCCGCCAAAGAAATAAAACACCAAATTCTTCTGTCTTCCCTGCCCGGCTTCACCTTGCCCATCCTCACCGGGTATCATCCTCCATGCTCCTGTATGCACGTCTTTGTTCTGGGGAGACCTCACTCTGTCTGTTGCTGGCTGGGTCCCTTTGCCCCCCACCTAGCTACTTCCTAACGTGGACTATTCTCCTCCTCTGTCTACTGACATCCTGTCCCTAACTTCGGTTCCACCCACAATCCACACTCCTCCCTCTGTTGTGGTCTGCCTTCTGCCAGCTTTCACAGAACTTCAACGTGATACCAGATAATGAACAGGTCTTTCATTCTCCACAAGACTAAAAGACTTGATAGGGCAGAGACAATGTCATATTTCTTTGGTATTTGCCAAAGTGATAAAAACATTGTTGAGTTGAGCAGAGTAAATACGTTGCGTTCAGGCACAGGGCAATGTTTGAGAGTGCATCGATGTATCTACAGGTTTTTTATCATTACCTCTAAGATTGGTGGGAAATCTTCACTATTGAACGCATCCATCAATCCCGAACTATTCTGGTAAGAAGAGTTACCCACGAGCTCCACTTGAATTTGAACTGGATCAACAATTGAAAGAGCCGTCTCGTGCTCATTCCCTAGTCGGCATGAAAACACCTAGAGAATGAAATGCAGTGTAGGAAGAATTCATGTCTGATTTAGAAGAATCTAAGCATCAGCAGGAAAAAACCCACTATCTCGGTAGCAATCGACCCCATGTTATCAAAAGACCCATAACAACTGATGAAATAAATATTGTCGGGGGGGGGGCTGGCATTCTTGCCCACGGCCAGAAGCGTGGTCAGTGGTCCTCCCCCACTTATAAAAGGCAGTTCACTGTCACATGGCAAAAGGTCCAAAAATCTCACACATACCCTTTGATTCAATCATCCTACATCTTTCTAGGAACTAGCCTATGGAAATAATGCAAAATACAGAAAAAAAAAAAAATCACTGAACCATTATTTAATAGTTAATAAGAACAATTCAGATTGTTTATATCACATTTACTCAACGGACCCTTTTATCATCATTTAAAAGAGATGATTAAAAAGACCACATGGAATGTAGGCAGATAGTTACAACATGGGCTGTGTGGACAAGCAGTGCAAAATCAAAATAATATTACACCATGACCTTAAGGAAAGAAACACATCAAAATGCCAACAGAGAGTCCAGACAAAGGGATGGGTAATTTTCTCTTCCCCTCCCTCAATTTGATGTAATATAATTGTTACTTTCATAATTGAAAATAAACACATTAATTACTGAAGCTGGGTGATAGGCTATATAGGGGCTCATTAGAGTAATCTGTTTACTTGTGTATGTTTGAAAAGTCCTATAATAAAAAAGTTTAACAATAAACGTATTTATGGAGAGAGAGAAGGGAGAGAAGACTCCCATTCTGGGACGGAATTATCTTTGTACTTCAAGAACATTACAGAAGACCAAAATCTATAACGAACTTATCAAACTCAATACCCAAAAAAACAAATAATCCAGTTAAGAAATGGGCAGAGGATATAAAGACATTTTTCCAAAGAAGACATCCAGAGGGCTAAAAGACATGAAAAGATGCTCAACATCACTCATCATCAGGGAAATATAAATCAAAACCTCAATGAGATACTACCACACCCTGTCAGAACGGCTAAAAGTAACATGTGGAGGAAGGGGAACCCTGATGCTTTGTTGGCGGGAATGCAAACTGGTGCAGTCACTCTGGAAAATAGTATGGAGGTTCCTCAAAAAGTTAAAAATAGAACTACCCTACGGTCCAGCAATTATACTAAGCATTTACCTGAAGGATATAAAAACATAAATTCACAGGGGTACATGTTCACAGCAGCAGCACTACCAGCAATAGCCAGGGGTGTCCGGGTGGCTCAGTCGGTTGGGTAGCCGACTCTTGATTTCGACTCAGTCATGGTCTCGGGGTCCTGGGATCAAGCCCCGAATCAGGCTCCACATTCAGCATGGAGTCAGCTTGAGGATTCTCTGTCTCCCCCTGCCCCTCCCCCTGCTCATTCTCTCTCTCAGTAAATCTTAAAAAAAAAAAAAAAAAAAAATGGGAACAGCCCAACTGCCCATTGACTGGTGAATGGATAAAGAAAATGTGGTATATAGAGATCTTGATCTATATATATTTATAATGGAATATTAGTCATCAAAAAGAATGAAATCTTGTGGTTTGCAACAACATGGATGGAGCTAGAGTGTACTATGCTAAGTGAAGTCAGTCAGAGAAAAACAAATACCGTATGATCTCACTCGTATGTATAATTTAAAAAACAAAACAGAGGAACATATGGGAAGGGGAAGAGAGACGGAAACAAATGATAAGAGACTCTTAACCACAGAGAACAAACGGAGGGTTGATGGAAGGAGGTGGGTAGGGGAGGGGCTGGATGGGGGAGGGGCATTAAGGAGGCCCTTGGTTTGATGAGCACTGGGTGTTGTGTGTAAGTGATGAACCACTGAATTCTATTCCTGAAACCAATATTACACTGCGTATTAACTAAGTAGAGTTTAAACAAAATTTTGGAAAAAAAGAAAAAGAAAAAAAAAGGAGGAAAAAAGAACAGAATAAAAGAAAGCATTCATGTTGCTCTCCCTTCTTCCCCTTTGTGTGGGGATGGAGGGCATTTTCTAGTGCTGAAAATATGTGAAACCAAGCTCCTTTACCATAGTCAAAATCAACTCATTTGGTTTCCTTTATAAATTCTGCCCCAGTGATGGACCAAGGCGGGGCGGGGGTGGGGAGGGGTCTTAAAATTCAGATCCAATTGTGCTGCCTGAGGAACAAGATTGAAAGGAATTTCCAGGAATCTCAAATAATATAGTTTCTCTAAGACTTAGAGCAAAAGAAGTTTCATTTTCCTTTTTTCTTCAGGGCCTTCTGCTACACAAAACTCAATTGTCCCTGACAGATCATTAATCAATCACCAACATTTTCCATTCAAAGCTGGTACTGGAGAGGCTGGGAAAGAAAGACAATTTCATGATCAGCTCACATCACACCAGCATGTAAATCCTTCCCCTCAAACTGAGGTTTCTTGACATGAGAGAAACAAGTAATCAAGAAGTGAAATCTCTACAGGTTATATTCAGCTATATCTGATGCGAGAGAAAAAAAAAAGTGCCATATGCTGCTGACAGTGAAAAAAGTTTTGTTCCTTCAACCTCTGAAATATGACTGGAAAGAATAGGGCATGAAAAGTTCAATCATAAAGGGAATGACGAGTAACCTGGACCCAATATTCTAATATTATAACAAGAGGAACGTCAGCAGAGATCAGCGGATTAAGAACACTTGATAGAAATAATAATCTGCCTCATTTCTCCTTCCCTATCCACGGCCCCTGACCTTAAAAGAAACAAAGCAGTTTCTACTCAGTATTGCATCATGTAATTTTCAGGCTACAGAAGGCCACTCCAACGCCAAGCATCTCCTTCATGAGATTAAATTACAGCCTCAAGCAGCACTACGAGAGACTCACTCCATTAGGTTAGGCATGCCTCTCCAGAGATATCCTTCTACAGATGAGATATTCCTGAAAGGATAATGCATCAAATTCTTCACACCTTGTATAAACAAGTTTTCAAGACCACAAAGCCCTAGGTCTTCACAGAGATGACAATTCAACTCGGGGAAGGGAACGTAGGGAAATGAGGACCACTTGCCCACCTTGACTAATCTCCCCAGGGCTAGACCATAGCCACTGAAGGCACAGCAGGGGCCTGCAGAGTACTGGGGACTGGAAGAGTCTCGCTGAACTTCTCGAGGAAGGGACTATGTAAGACCCAGAAGTCCCGTCTCTCAGCATTATTTACAGCCTGACCCTGGAGGACGGACTGCACATATAAGGATAGCCTGGCAGATCTGCAGGACAAACCAAAGAGAGAGGGGCCAGAGTTCCCCAGCTCCATCAGCGGTTTCCCCTAGTGAAAGCTGAGCAGGTAAAATTCTCTTCCAAATGCTTTTCTCTTAAGCCAAACATTGAGTGTTTTGATCGACACATAGACTTCTTACCTCGATGCCAAACAAACTCCCTGAAAAGGGGCGATCGACAAATCGGGGCTTATAGGTGAGCACTGTGGTGCCTTTGAGAATAATGGCATTGGTATCGAAGCAGGACACGTCTTCAACGACCACAAATTCCGTGCCTGGAAAGGACAGCATGGTCAACCAAGCCAAAGCCGGGAGGTTGGAAAACACCAGAATGCTGCAAAGTAGGCGATGCATTTACGCTGGGGGGCGGGGAGGGGGATTAGCCAGCAAGACTTGCTCTCCAGGATGTCTGTCGACACTTGGCTTTACCGCCAGCCTGAACAAATTCTCTCTATCTGGCCGGGCACAACTGAGCCAAAACAGCACTGCCCAGGCAGAAAAGACTGGGATGCAGTTTCTCTTCTCTCTTCGGAATGTATTTTTAAGAGAGCACCTGGGTGGCTAGGTTGGTTAAGCATCTGCCTTCCACTCAGGTCATGATCTCAGGGTTCTGGGATCGAGTCCCACATCAGGCTCCCTGCTCTCCCTCTGCCCCTCCCCTCACACTCCCCCCGCCCCTCTCCTCACACTCCCCCCCCCAACCCTTGTGCTCTGGCTTGCTCTCTCTCTCTCAAATGAATAAATTTTTTTTAAAAAATCTGTAGAATGTAGTTTTAAGCTAAGTCTCCTGGGAGAGCTATGAGATATTCAGAAGCCCGGGATATCACCCCTTCTCCAAGAAATAGCCTATTTTAAAAACCCAGAAATAGACACACGTCCTAATGCTGGTCGGGCAGTGGGAGGCACGGCATCATCTACACAGCTGTTCAAGTGGTTTACAAAGAACATACACTAATTTAACGTAGATCTTTTTGAAATTACTAAATATAGACAGTTTCCTACTCATTTGTACACGGCAAATTTACTTTTCGTTTTCATCAAACCCCTTGTTTAGACTGAACTTTTGAAACTAAATCTGTTTAGAGCGCACTGTGCTGGCCGGCTTCTTCCAAACCCCTGAGCGGCAGTTGGGCTATGTCAGCAACACGACAGTAGATCCACAAATACATACGGATCTACCAGGAGAGTTCACTAGTTAACAGAAACCCCAGGAAATCTGTTTGTAAAGGGACATATTCTTTTTGCAAAGAAAATAATGATCCCCTCACTTATTTATCCTGCAATTTTCACATATCAGATTTGCCTAAACTCAGTAAGGCACATCTGTTGGAGCACTAAAGACCAAACAGAAAACTGAAGCCAGAGTTAACACTCGGGGAAAAGACCAGTGGCCAGGCAGCGCTCAAGCTGGGCAAGAGACATGGGTTGGTGGAGTCGAGGGCCCAGAACCCTGCAGCCTTGAACGGGAGCCCGCAGTTCACAGCAGAAAATGGAGGTCAAGAATTCCGACACTCATTGGTCTGCAAATGTGTAAGTGCTCACATCAAGATACAGAGGTGAGAGAAAAACCATCCTAGAAGACACATACTGAGCCTACCATTCAGACTGAGAACCAGTGACTCATACCTACAACACACCTACGACAACAGGCTCACCTGTTACGTTGACCTTGACCTCCAGGTGTCTTTCAGTGGACACAGGAAGGGAAGACCGCTTGGTAACTACTCCACTTTTCACAGTTTTGGGAACTACAGCAGATTCGCTGCTAGAGTTACGGTGGCGAGAAGTAACATGAGTCTGTTTCTTGATATCGCTGGGAGTGTGAAGAAAATCATGGACTAGCAGGAGCCAGTCAAATATGAGGAACACGCGCAGATTGTTGAGAACTACTGTAAAACAGGATGAGTCCTTCGTAGATCTGCAAGGAAAAAGATTTAACAAAAAAAACAGGAGGGGAGAAATGTTAATTTTATTAACTTGCAAGTATACTACTCAGCTTGGGCAGGTGTTTTTCCAGTATTTTTTAAATTGACCGCTCTGGGTATCAGTAAACTCTGAACACTGGTCTAATAAGATACTTGGTGTATATTTTCAAAAGCTCATCACATTTTTATGCTGTGAGAAAGCAGTATAGTGTCCTCTAGCAGTTCTCAACCAGGAGTGATTTTGTCCCACAGGAGACGTCTGACGACATCTGGAGGCGTCTGTGTTTATCACAACACAAAGTGGGGGCGTGGCTCGCAATGGGCATCTAGAGTGCAGAGGGCAGGGGTAATACTAAACATCTCACAACAGACAGGACAGCGCCGCAACCAGAAGTCTCTAACCTAAAACATCAATAGTGCCGAAGCCGAGAAATCCCGGTGCAGTAGAAAGAGCACGGACTCTAATCCAGTCGCTTACAAGCTGTGTTACCTTGGATAAGTCGCCTACCTTCTCTGAGCCTGTTTCCTCAGTTATAAAATGAGAAACATGAACAGGGTAAAAGACGAAGCACCAGGCACATAACAGGTGTGTGTTCGGTAAATGTCAGCTCCTTCCCCACAGGCTATTTCAAGAAGGTCAGTGAGGCACCCTGTCTTTGATGTTTGGGATCACTTCCTTACAAACATCAACTGTACACAACAGTACTAATTCGCCAACTGGACCCGACCAGACAACCCAGATCTTTAGCCTGAGAAGGAGGACAAATAAAATGACATTTATATGTGGGCATAGCCCCAAGCACCCAGAAGTGGAGTTGGGGGAGGGAGAGAGACAATACTGGTTTTGTAGGCCCGATTACCCCGAGTTCTCGATTTGAAGTGAAAACCCATGGAGGACACCAAGCCTAGTCTCAAACCCTGGTGTGGCCCTACCAGAATGTGAGTGGGCAGACATGGGTGGGACAGAAGGAAAGTGGGCTCAGGATACCTTTATATGGTTTTCTGGGTTGAACTTTGTTCTGTGAGCCCTGAAGTGACTCTGGGGCTCCAGCTACTACCCATACGTACCTGGCTACCTCCCCCAAAAGGGGCTCCTATTCGGCAAAAACTGATTCTGAGAGGTTTTTAAGTCTGGCCTCTCTAGTCTCTTGTTTCTCCTAAACCTGGCTCACTGCCCCTGGAGAAAGGGCACAGTGATGCATGTCTCCCTCATACAGACACAGCATTTTTCACAGAAACACTTTACTCTTTTGTATTAGAGAAAAAATGTTGCCCTCGGTAAAATTTTTTCCACCCCATTTTGAACATAGATCGTCAGAGTTATGCACTAACTGAAAAGTCAAAGTATGCCTGATACCCTTTTCTGGAAAATATTTCAAGCCTTTAAACACTGTGAAGTGATTTATATTTGACACACAAAATCCCAACAGAAGAGCAATTCTTCTGGAGACACAGAAAGCGTTCAAAAGTTCCAATCAAGGGAACATGTTAACCCCCTCTCCCTCACAATGGTATTTCTGTTCACAAGAACCAAGGTAAGACTTTACTCTTTGGCTCCCAGAAATTATACACCTCCAGTATATACACAGAGTGATATTCCAAGGCTCCTTGTGTATTAAAAATACGATCGATGAGGGGCACCTGGGTGGCCCAGTGGGTTAAAGCCTCTGCCTTCAGCTCAGGTCATGATCCCAGGGTCCTGGGATGAGCTCCGCATCGGGCTCTCCGCTCAGCAGGGAGCCTGCTTCCCACCCCCATCTCTGCCTGCCTCTGCCTACTTGTGACCTCTCTCTCTGTCAAATAAATAAATAAAATCTTTAAAAAAAAATACGATTGATGAGACAACTAGCTGACAGATTAGGAAGCTAGATCAATAATAATATAGCAAACCCAAAAAGAAATTGTTTCTGCAGAAGGACCAAATATATGGAAGCCTCCTGCTGAGATAAACATCTTCAAAACAAAAGAACCCCAAAGCACAGCCAGCCTCGCATCTGACTGCAACCAGCGAGGTCAGGAGACATGCAGTGACCACACCTGAGGACTGTCGGAAGCCACATGGGCGCTGCGATCAGAGGCCCCAGTGTGAGTCCTGAGCATGTCATTCACCCACCTTGGAGAGGTGTTCAGTGCCCTCCAGTTCTACTGTTGCAGCTATAAAACTGGGCAGAAGGCACCCACTCTGCAGACCTGCTGGGAGGATTTAAGTATCAAAGTAAGGAGAGTACGTGGCTCGTGGCAGGGCCCACAGTTAGAGGTAATGAGCACTCTCATTTCAGAACATCCAAAAAGTTCAGGCAAAGATCTGACCGTCTACTTTGCTAGACTTCCTAAAGGCATATGGAGAATGACCATGACCTCTCTCTAAAAGAAATCTCAACCCTGAGAATTCACCACGCAGCACAATGAAGTATCAGGTACATTCAAGCATAGGAATACAAGAATAATCTTCATCTTTTTTTGCCCGTGAAGTTTTTCCCAGCCTTTTCACTTACTAGTTTGTAGGTACAGCCTATCTGAGAACATTAGGCACTAACAGAATAGAACTGACGTTTCTTCCAAAGGTCTCCTTTTGAATTTGCATTGGAGGATTTTAGATCAAACCTAATTTTTCACGGTTTTCAGGCCTATTCCCACCTTAGCCATAAAACCTCACAGCAGTATATTGTACATAACACCAGCTACCTCAGTAATAACAATAAGAACTACCATCTGGGCCAAGCAACAGGCCAGCATTACTTTTTTAATTCCTGCCTCCACCGTGTGAGGTGGGTACACTCATCCTCTTCTACCCTCTAGAGGAGAAAACTACAGGTCAAAGTTGTTGAAATTGTCCTAGGACACACAGCTAAAAGGTGGTAGATCAAGATGTTAAGCCCACATCGGTACAATTCCAAAACATACACTCATTATATACACATTTCAGATGCTTCCTGGCCTAATACCGGGAAGAAAAACATAATCTAGTTCAAAGAGGCCCCGTTTAAATGGAGAAGTAGGTTAGCAAGACGTGCATACATAAAGCAATAATTCAAGTCAAAACCACCTTCCTGCCTATAATTTCTACAGACCAAACATCTTTCCCCTTAAACAAGAATCATTTCTTCCTTCCTCCGTTTGCTCTACATACTAGAACAGTCTACAGAGAGATTGAGTTTAAGACTCTGGTCTAATTCTAAACTTTTTTTTTTTAAGGCAACAGAGACATCTCTTGGCCAATACAGGCAACTGCAAGGTGGCAGGAATACCAAGTTAATGCACTGTGAGCGGCACTGGTGAGCCCTTTTCTATTTATCTTTCCAGTGACTCCTCAGTCGTGTGACATTCTAAAGCTGACAGAGCTTTGGCCCACTGGCCACAAAAGGAAGTTTGATAGAGAAACGCGGAATCAGGGTCTGGGTCCACTACCTGAAATGCAGTTCCATCTGGATGGATCCCTGGGTGGTGCTGCTGTTCCTGGAAGGCTGAAAAATACAACTGAATACATTTGTCATGCCAGCGCTGGCCTTCTGCCCAGCATAGCGGGTGTCAAAAGCCATCATGGAATGGGAAACCAAGTTAATGGATTTGGTTTGGTTGGAAAAGCTTTCATAGAGCAGTTTACATTTCTTGAAGTCGAATCTAAAAGGGAAAAAGCAGACAAGATATTAAATTCTTCCATTTCACAAAATTTTCTAAGTTCCAGACAATGGAACAAAGTCCTAAGTATCCCTGAGAATTATGAAGGGGAATAACTTTCCCCGATTTTGTTAACAGATTCCTCAAAAAGGATCTAGCGCCATTGACCCCTGTCTCTTACGTTTCATTTCCAGGTAGATGACCTTGTCCATAGGAACTCCATGAGGAATAACATTATCTACTATTCTCTGGCTGCAACAGCATTCTTGTTTCTCATCTCAAATCTGAGAAGGTTATACCCATTTAACAATCTCCAAGGGATGCCAAGGGTCTCTTTAGACCTTCGTCTGTCAACTCCTAGCCTTCCTGCAGGATCCCCTCTCCAGAGACTGCCAAATTTTTATATAACTACTACAGTTTCCTAGAAGCAACCAGAACAAATAACACTCCTCATATAGAGAAATAATAAAACTGATCCACCAAGAGGAAGTGCATTTGATACTGCCTTTTTTTTAATAACAGAGGAAGCTACAATGTGCAATTCATAATTTACTCAGTACCATTATGACCTTCCATACAGAATTGTTCCAACTTATAAAAAACTGAGGGCATAGCTAGTCATCAGAAAAAAACTGCTGACTCACAAGACTATCTGGGACCCAAGCCTCATTATACCATGTTTCATTCAACTGAGTTAGATAGAGGCCAGGATGGACTGTCGACAGAAAGACAAGAAAAAAAAGAGTGTTTCAGTAGGGACATTTCTAGACTTTGAAGTCCTGTTTTCAAATACAGAACCACTTTCCAGCCATATGACCTTCCAGTAGATAAAAAGTCCATCTGGAAAAAAGAAGTCATATCTGCCCAGCCTCAGCCTCACATGATTGTCAAGAGATCAAAATGAAAGGTTATCAGGTGTGAAGACACAACGCAGTCGTCAGGGCCCCACACCAGTAATCACAAAGTCTTGGTACACGCAGACCATGCAAGTGATGGACGCTCAAAGCGAATCACCAGGCAAACGCGCGCTCCTTACAGGCAGCCCAGGATGCTCCTCCATGAAAACACGGGCCCAGTGTTGTCCAAGCTTTCAGCTTCTCAAAAGAGGCTGAAATCCAAACTTTTTATGCCAAGTCCCCCAATTTTTAAATGCTGGCCGGGGACGCAGTGAGCAGGGCTGCTCCCCAACTAGCTCTGGGTCTCCCCTTCGGCAGACAACCCCCCCGGCCTGTACTTCAGACCCCTCTGCACTTGGTGGGACGATGCTCGAACTCCAAGAGGTGACCACTCCGGGACTCTCGTCTCTCTTGCTGCCACATCGAGACACTGGCTGCTCTGTCAGCTGCAGGGACTGTGGCTGCAGAGCAGCCTGAGGGCCACCAGGGTCACATAGCATCAGGCGGAAAACGTCTTCATTTTTCTCAATCCCTGCTGTGTCTTGCATGTCTGTCACGTCCTTTTTGACACCCCCTCCAGCCCGTGGCACTTTTTATTTATTATTATTATTTTAAGCTTCGATGACATAGCACAGCAGCAAGATTACACTAGGAGTGTATTATGATATGACTTTTTCCAATGGAGCCTTCCACCTTACGACACCTCAGGCTCTCTGGAATGTTACCCCCTCCTTTCCACTCACATACAACTGCAGTGGCTGCTGTGTCTCTCCCAGCAGAAACCGCACGACATTCCACAGGTACCAGTAACAGCAGTACAAGCTCTCCGTAACTGCGGGTCTGGAGTCAATACTTCCAAACACCAATAGATTCAGGGTGGGGAGGGGAATGGGTGAAGGGGAGCGGGAGGTACGGGCTTCCAGTTATGGAATGAGTAAGTCACAGGGATCAAGAGTACAACACAAGCAATACAGTCACGGTGCCATAGTAGTGTCCCAGGGTGACAGATGGCACCTGCACTCGCGGCGAGCACAACGGAGAAGTTGAATCACTTTGCTGTACATGTGAAACTAACATCACGTTGTGTGTCGACTGTCCAATTTTTTTTTTTTTAAAGACTTTGTTTATTTATTTGTCAGAGAGAGAGAGAGCAAGCACAGGCAGACAGAGTGGCAGGCAGAGGCAGAGGGAGAAGCAGGCTCCCTGCCGAGCAAGGAGCCCAATGCGGGACTCGATCCCAGGACACTGGGATCATGACCTGAGCCGAAGGCAGCTGCTTAACCAACTGAGCCACCCAGGCGTCCCTCGACTGTCCAATTTTTTTGAACCGTGCTGACATGAAAACAAAACAAAAAAACCAATGCCAGCAGAGTCTTAGGAAAATTTTGATTAATTTCTGCAGCTCTTTCAAATGCAACCGTTTCAGCACCAGGTGTGGAGGTCACTGACACGTCCTAATAACCTGTCTTTACTCATAAAGCAATGAATTTAAACTTTGAAAAAGCAACCAAAAAGCATTGTGCAGACCACCTCCGTCACGAACCACGGTTCTGCAACCTCCGCTCTACGCTAAAGCGAAACAGGAGTACTGTTTGCAGTACTGCTACAGTCCTGTCGGTCACTAGGCATAAACCAGCACCGTGAAAGTCATACCTGGCTAAGGACCCAGTACTTTCTTTTCCTTTGGGATCTTTCAGCTCCAGACTCACGTTCACCATATCGATGAGGAAGCACATGCACGTGTACACTTCTCCACTGAGAATAGTCTGCAAGAGGAAAACGCCAGTCTGGAAAGGGGGTTAAAGTGTCAAGACATTCATCTGCTTGTCGTCCCATCTGCTCTCCGCAGGTGAGGGAGAGCGATCCACGCACAAGGTGGCCATCGGCTGGGACTGTGAGAGTTAAGAGTTGTGGGACGGCTCAAGGTCTCACTTACGTGAATTCTTGGGTCTTGTAAATCATAAGGCCGCATAAATTCCTCTATGGGCTCTCCGAGGTTGTTCTCCAGTAAACCCCGGATCAGCTTGTATTTGGACAAATCCAGGGAGCAGTGGACTGAGGAGAGGCTGCCATGGATAGAAATGTCTGGCACAGTATGACTTATTTCTCTGAGGAAAGAAAAAAAGTCACTTTGGCCAACAAATCAGTAACACTGACAAAGCTCACACCCAAACATAAGGAAGAGCTAAACTGTGCCCGCCAACATTATCCATCAGTTCGTTTCTAACTTCCGATAATAAAACTTTCATGTGGCTCCAAACAAACTGGGTGAGAACAACTGAGTATCCTGAGAAATCTACAAAGAACCCTTTTCCTCTCAAAATACACACTTACAATGTCCCCAGATCCGAATTAGCCAAGTAATCGATTAATAAGGAAAAAGATCTCATGAGACCCAGAAAGAGCTCTAGCGTTACATTTGGGTAGGCAATAAAGAAACGGCGACCTCTTCACTTAACTCTTCAGACTCTGTGATAACTAAAGGCAGACACCAGGGTTTCAGATGGAGCCCAGATGGGACATCAGGATAAACTCTGAATCCGTCACTTGTCTCTGCTGAGACGGGCAGGAGTAGGGCTGAGATGCCCGGATCTGGGGGTGGCATACCTCGTCCCCACACTGAAGAGCTGCCCCCCACCCTCCCAGGGAGAAGCGGGCCCCACAGATGCTGCAGACACCACGCTCGGAGTACAGAGACAATGGGGATTCAAAGGAGAATGTAAAAAATAACTTTGCAGAGAAAAATCTATATAGTGATCAAGTAAAGAAAGAGCAGTGATGCAAGCCACAAAAAAAAAAAAAAAAAAGAAAAAAGAAAAAATCTGGAAGGGACGACCGGGCACCCTCTCAGCTCCCTGTTTCTGTGGCACAAGCAGCTGAGAGGGTCTCTCGTACGGAGTTATCACTGCCTGTCGGGGCTGATGCTATAATCACCTGCATATAAACACAAATGGAAGGGAAGCGGGTCAAGTTTACATAATCAGAGTAACGAAGCACGTTTTTTGGGGGGACAGCATTACTTGAAAAGAAAACGAAGTGTTCCATTTCTAAATAGCGAAGCTCCTCCTAAGATTGCTAGGCCAGGAAAACCAGAGAGCGCCCGTGCCAAGCATAACTGAGCGCCAGCCAGGGAGCACTCGAATAACAAGTAAGAGTAAAATGCAAACATCCCAGAGAGAGCAGCTACACGGTGTCAGTGTCGTTAATCCAGAGAGAAACAAAAAAGGAGCATTAAACGGTTTGCCCAAACCCTAGAACCCGGAAGGGAGTGGCCAAAGACAGATGAGAACCGCACTGCCCACAAGCAACCAGACGGCTTGTCAAAATGCTTCCAACGAGAACGTCCTTCATTACTTGACAGCCACGCACCGTCTTTGCTCATAACAGAAATGCCAAGTATTGCTGCTTTCTCCAAAACGAATGCCCCAAACAGACAGCGATCACACACAGGGCACAGCAGCTCCTGTCCGGGCTCGTGGTCCCCAGGCCACACCAAGGGGACCTCACTCACATGCACCCAAGGCTTAGCCCTGAGACCCAGGTTCCACTGGTCTCTGGTGGGTTCTGGGAACATTCACATTTAAGATGTTTCCCAGACGATTCCACAGCAGTAATGACAATGAAGCGATGCTCTACACTGCAGAAATGAGCATCCCGTGCTTGAGGCCAATGAAAAGGTAAATTAGAGTCAGCTCATTAGCCTTTATGGAGTACTTTCAGATTGCTTAATGGAGCAAAATGGGCAGAACAGCAGCTCAACAGTTATTCTGATTAAATGGAGCTCTGGGGTAAGTAGCAACACCAGGTCCAGGATCTATTGTGCTTGGAACATATAATCCAAATGTGACCTCTTCCAAAATACTTTCCTTGCCATCACCACCTTCCTACATCCACCAAAAGCCATGCTACACCCGTGCCTCTCCGTCTTTGTTTCCAAGGCCCTAGGGGCAATCCCATAACACAGTCTCTAACACTGAGTCAAACTCTAAATTACAATCACCTTCTAATTTGCCTTCCTATATCTCTGTATCAACACAACATAAGCTCCATAAAGACAGGTTTTTCTTCCCATCACAGTAGCCCTCATGTTTAGCACACAGCTGGGATTCAATAAACATTTGCTACATGGAAGAAATAAGTGAACACCTATTCTCTTCCAGACTTACCTCCACAGCACTGATTGCCAAGTTATTAAGATTCTACCAGAGACAGAAAATTATCCAGATGTAAACCACTCACTTGTCCAAATTCCTTTCCACCTGCAGTTTCAGGCGACAAGGCTCAGTTAGGAGACTCCCTCCCGTCGGACGCACGGAGTAGGAAGGGAACACCAGATCCCCACTGCTGTCGTCTGAGGCCTTAGAATACTCTCGTGGACGCCTCTCTGCAGCAAAGATGTCCATGTCTTGTAGGTCCACGACAATGCAATCCAGCAGGCAGACATGGTCTTCTACATGGACCCAAGGAAAGAGAGAGAATGAAGAAAGTAAGACCCAGACTGGACCAGCCCTGAACAAAACTAAAAAGGTAACCAAAGTTCATTCTGTCTTTGGAAAATGTTTGGAACTGTCTCCTTCAAAAACCTGAGTGTCCAAAAGTCTCCACTCCAGCACCAAGGCCTCCCTATGCGGCACTCCTCACGCTGAATCCTTCCCATCTGCTTCCCTTGCACATCACGCACATGCTACTGTCCTGAGACATGAGCTGAGCCTAAAGGATTTATGACCGACATGACTGGAGAGCCATCCCTCCCAAGGATATCCTATAGAGGTCTCATGTAGAGAGGACGCAACTCAAAGCCTTCAAAGTTTTCCAGCACCGAAATTCTTTTCTTCAACAAATATGTCATCATTTCTGCTACCACTGATCTCATCCAAACCACCGCCATTCTGCCTGGCCCTCTAGAAGCTCCCCCGCAGTATACCTACGCCATTCCCTCTGGCCTTCACAAAACCATTCTGCCCGCAAAATACCTGAGTAATCCTTAAAAAAATAAACGAGACCGTAACATTCTCTTCCTCCTACGCTTTAATGATTATGCTTAATCCAAAGTTGTTTCTATAAACTCCCCCTAAATCCTTATAAAACCCTGCATAAGCCCACTGCCTACTTTTCCAACCTCATCTCAAGCCATTCTCCATCCTGCTCCTGAAGCCTCAGGCTCACTGGCCTTTGTCTCCCCAAAACTGCCAAGCCCTCCGCTACCTGAACAGCCTTACCTATGGCATCTCCCTCCCCTCTCGATCTCGACTGGGTCCTCTCTGTTCTTTCCTCCTGCACCATTCCATCTTTCCCAGAACATCTCACGATGTCCACATAGTGAGGCCTGCTTGGCACCTCTCATCTCCTACGCAGAGTGGCAGGAGCCGTGCCCAACAGCATGTAGTACACAGAAGAGCCAGATTATAACATCAGTGTTCAGTCCACATCTCATATATCAGGACTTCAGGCTTAAAGCTCATTTGTGCAAATGTTTTTAAACACCTACTCTGTGCCAGTTACTTTTCTCAGTCCAGGACACTATTCCAGGATACAGCAGTGAACAAAACATACAAATATCTTTCCCCCTATGAAGCTTATATTCTATATAAATTGTAAATTTATAAATTCTCCACCAAATTAATCTGTTCATTTAATATAATCCCAATCAAAATCCCAAAAGGGAACTTTTGAGGTAAGCGGGAGGAGGGGGAAATGTAACAAAATAATTCTTAGGTTATTTAAAAATAATTTAAGTTTAAAAAAAAAATAAATTTAAGTTTAAAAATAATTAAGGGTATTTGTCCCATGGGATGATAAAACACAGGGAAGGTGTTTCTGAGTGTGTTATCAGAAGCGGAACACACAAAGGAAAGTAACAATGGATCTAGCTATATGGAAATTAAAGAGTTGTACAAGATGAAAACATCATGAACAAAAAAGGCAAAAGAGAAACTGGGAAAAAAATTGCAATACATTTGACAGATAATAGAGAAATACTCCCATTTTACAAAGATTTGAAAAAATCTGTAAGAAAAGAACATGCAAGTAGGAAAATTGGCAAGGAATGTGATAGGCGATCTATTGCCAAAAGAAAATCATCCCAGCATGTATATGAAAATATATCCAACCTCATTAGTGATCAAATAAATGCACGTTAAAACACACACACTAAACAAAGAAATATAGCAGTTCTTTGTTTTTTACTATTTTGATAAACACATGGAAGGGACAGAAGTGGAACTGATCTGGTAGAAGCGGGTAGGGGAGGGGGTAAAGGGCTTCAGAGATTACTTAGGATCATCACGGAAGCCTAAGGATACACAGAGCAGTTTGCAAACCACTACTTTAATCCCATCTTAATCACAAACAAATTCCAGAAACAAAGAGCAAACCGGAAGGAGAAATACTGTTCGGAGAGAGATCTTTCCATCGATCTCTAAAACATCCTAAATTATTTCTGAGGCATTCGCCTACCTTCCTCCTACTCATCACTGTCCTCACAGCAACGGCCCAAGGCCACAAGTATCAGTGGCACCCTGTGCGTACCCTCCCCACGCTCCACACCCAGTACCTATAGAGACTGGTAGACAGAATCACGCAGGGTAAGGATTCAGCTCTGCGGTCAAACTGCCCAAGTTCATAGTCCAACTCTGCCACTTACTATCCGCACAACCCAGGGCAAGTTAAGCTACTTAATCTCTCTAAGTCTTTGTCTCTTTGTGTGTAAAATGAGAATAAAAATGAAACTCTATAGGGGTGCTGTGGTGTGAAATCCAATGATTTATGGAACAACGTGCCATGATATCTGGCACACAGGAAGTGTTCAACAACCAGCAGTGTGATGATGATTAGGACAATCTCATTTATTTAATCATCAATCCAACCATAAGACACATTCCTGTCATCTCTAGGACCACAAGGGACTATAGGGAGTAAATAGTACCTAGTATAGTTAGTCCTTGCATAGAACAAAAGACATGCAACAGCCTTCTCAGTGAGTGTCCCAATCTCTCAAAGCCTGATCACACTAGATGGATTTTTGCAGCAAATCACATTCTGTTTCCCTCTCTAACTTATCCTACCCATCACCTACCCAGAATACATTTAAAAACCATAAGGCCAGGGGTGCCTGGTTGGCTTAGGCAGAGGAGCAACTCTTGATCTTGGGGTCCTGAGTTCAATCCCCACGATGGGTGTAGAGATAAATTAAAAAACTCAAATGGGGCGCCTGGGTGGCTCAGTCAGTTACGCATCTGACTCTTGATTTCGGCTCAGGTCATGATCTCAGGGTCATGAGATCAAGACTCAAGTCGGGCTCTGCACTGGGCATGGAGCCTGCTTAAATAAAATAAGATAAAAAAGGATTAAAAAACAAAAATAAATTTAAAAACAAAACAAAAAGGCCAAAAAATTATTTTTCACCAAAATAAAAAGCTTCTGCACAGCAAAGGAAACAACAAAACTAAAAGGCAACCTACTGAATGGGAGAAGATATTGCAAATGAAACATCTGATAAAGGGTTAGTATAAGAATTTATACAACTTAACACCAAAAAAACCCAAATCCAATTTAAGGATGGGCTGAAGACCTGAAGAGACACTTCTCCAAAGAAGACAGACAGACGGCCAGCAGACACATGAAAAGATGCTCGACATCACTCATCATCAGGGAAGTGCCAATCAAAATTACAATGAGCTACCGCCTCATGCACGTCAGAATGGTTAAAATCAACAACACAGGAAACAACAGGTGTTGGTGAAGATTCAGAGAAAGGGGAACCCTCTTGCACTGCTGGTGGGAACGCGAACCGGTGCGGCCACCGGGAAACAGTAGGGAGAGTCCTTAAAAGATTAAAAATAGAACTACTCCATAATCCAGTAATCACACTACTGGGTATTTACCCCCAAATACAAGAGCAATAATTCAAAGGGATACACGCACCCAATGTTTATAGCAGTATTTGCAATAGCCCAATTATGGCAGCAGTCCAAGTACCCATCAAGTGATGAATGGATAGAGGTGGTATACAGGACGCCTGGGTGGCTCAGTCAGTTACCCTCTGCCTTCTGCTCGGGTTATGAGCCCAGGGTCCTGGGATCGAGCTCGGTGTCCAGCTCCCTGATCAATGGAGAGTCTGCTTCTCCCTCTCCCTCGACCTCTTCCCCTGCTTGTGCACGTGCTCTCTTTCACAAAAATAAATAAATAAAATCTTAAAAAAGAAAAGAGGTGGTAATATATATATTTATATACATATAAATACATATATGTGTGTATATAAATATATGTGTATATATGTTTAATACACACACACACACACAATGCAACATTACTCAGCCATAAAAGAGAATGAAATCTTGCCATTTGCAAGGACACGGACAGGGCTAAAGAGTACTGCGCCGAGTGAAATAAGTCAGTCACAGAAAGACAAATACCATATGATCTCACTCGTATGTGGAATTTAAGAAACAAAACAAACAAGCAAAGGGAAAAAGAGAGAGAGAGACAGAGAAAGAGACCAGCCAAGAACCAGATCTTAACTATAGAGAGCAAACTGACAGTTATGAGAAGGGAGATGGTAGGGGGTGGGGGAAACAGCTGATGGACATTAAGGGGAGCACTAGGCATGACGGGCACAGGGTGACTACGAAGCACTGAGTCACTGCACTGTACGCCTCAAACTAATATAACACTCTGTGTTAATATGCTGGAATTAAAATAAAGCAAAAAATTAAAAACCTTAAAAAAATAAAATAAAATAAAAAATTAAATTTAGTAAATTTAATTTAAAAAAAAAACGCAAAAGGCCAAAATCAGGCTCTCATCTGGAATAACTCATTCTTAAATTCCAGAGAAGAGCACCAGTAACGGGACAGTTCCTATCTTTGCAAAATTGTTACTTACAGTATCTCTGTGGTTACCTAATTGACACTAATATTTTTTCAGAGTTCTTTGTTTTTTTAGAATTAAATAGAATAATAATTGAGTAGAAAACAGATAGCGTCTTGACAGTGACTTGCAAGGATATGGCTAAGGATACACGAATCATTCCAGTTTTACTATCACCATCTTCTGGCAATCACCTTGACCTTGAGGAAAAAGTCCTAAGAGACAAACCTCTTTATTCACACTGTGTCTTGCTAATTTAACTGTACTTCAGAAGTCTCCCGCTGCTAAAATCTATATCCTGAGACTCTTAAGCTTTCTAAAATAATACCAAAATCAGATTATCACTAAAGACCTGATACCACTCTGATGCATCCCCCGGAGGCACCGGCCACAGTCTCCCGAACTCCCCACCTTCGTCTTCGCAGCTCCTTCCTCCTCTTTTACCTGGACTGCTGGAAAGCTGGCTGGCAGAGGGCGCGGCTTGCTGCCCTTGCTGCTTGGTCGAAGTACTTGGCGCAGACTCACTCCTCAGGCTGCCTAGACTCATTCCAGCAGGAGGCATCATGAACAACCCCTCGGAATGTGCTCCCTTTGGGTCCTCCGTGCTTGTCATTTTCCTCATGTAGTGTTTGGGGGTACCCGTTGGGGACGCTGAAGGCACAGATTCCTGGGGAAAAAAAATAAATAAAACTAGAAGGTAGGAATGGGGCGACTATATCTTTACTCTCCTGAAAATCCTACCCCAGTCCCTGGGCTCTTCAAAGACTCTATGACACTTGGCACTTCCCAAGCCCCCCAAATCCCATAAACAAAAGGGTAACAGGGTCATGATCTTTCCTGTCATGTGTAATTATTTACAGAGATGTTACTTATAATTCAACACCTACTGAGAACTATAGCCATCTTGCAGGAATATATTATCTGTTGGCTTGAGATGCCAACTGTTGGTGGTTCAGTCTAGGTCAGACACAGCGAAGGCAGAGCTCTTGGCCATACAAAATGTGTTACTGCTTTGCTGGAGGGGAGGGGCCTGTAATTCTAAGAGAACATATCTACAGCAACATGGTTCCAAAGGAATGACACCACGGTAGCGTGTCTACACCTCCTAGAAGTCACTCCGTCTGGGCTTCATTTCTCATCTCTTCAAGTAACCGTGCAAATGAAGACAAAATGAAGACCACAGGAGGCTGGCCATTCTTATTATGTTTCTGTTTAAGGGCATAAAAACTAAGGGCAAATACTGAGTAACGGAAATTAATTCTACTGAAAACAGGACACGCTTTTCTCACATACTCAGTACCCTCGGTTCTCTGCTAACAGTGGAAATCTTCTCCACCTGAATGATTCAATAACTGACTTTTAAACTTCACCCAAGCCTCCATGCTACCTGTCCGCAGGGCTCTGCCACCATCGACCCACTTTCACAGGCGTGCTGGGGGGAAGGGGAAGAACGGGTTTCCCGCCAGCACTGCCCTATGTGTTCATGCCTCGCAGCTCTGAAAAGGAGGCGGTAATACTGTTCTTCCCAGTTCTCTTAAGTACAGCGATTCACAAGTAACAGTGGAAAAAAAAAAAAAAAGTTCTTAATTTCCGCATTTTTTTTGGAAGGCAAATTGCGAGGTAAATGCTTTTAAATATTTCGACATTAAAAACCTTCCTCCCGGGGCACCTGGGTGGATCAGTGGGTTGAGCCTCTGCCTTCGGCTCAGGTCATGGTCTCAGGGTCCTGGGATCGAGCCCCGCATCGGGCTCTCTGCTCAGCGGGGAGCCTGCTCACCTCACCTCTCTCTCTGCCTGCCTCTCTACCTACTTGTGATCTCTCTGTCAAATAAATAAATAAAATCTTAAAAAAAAAAAACAAAACCTGCCTCCTTTCTTAATTTACTTAAACTCTAGAGAGTAGCTGTTGCCCTTTGACTTGATTCATCTCTACATCCTCTCTGTAGTTGGTTTAAATAAATCAATGGCTTGAGGAGATTAACGCAAAGCTTATGAAAGGCTGACTTAGAAATTATGGTTTAAGCGCAGCAAACTGTGGTTGAGAAGAATGAAAGGAGAGCATATGTGAAAGATCCAAGCCTGCGCTCGTTAAGACATGGATTTGTGTAAAACAATCGCAAACATACTAGAGTCAGGGGTGGGGGGGACTCAAAGGCAAATACCACCCCACCCCCCTACCTTCCCTACCCCTCACCCCCCCACACCCCCACAAGCTTTGATTTCAGGATTGTTTCCTGCTCTTTAACCACTGGAATGCATACTGGACAAACCTCACACATGCAAATACATTGAAGGGAAAATGTAAATGCAAAGTGATTTTAGGTGAAGAAAGTAATTCTTCACTTCATCTAGGCCTAGATCAACCAAGCCTGACTGTGCCTGTGGAAAGGTGAGCTCCACAGACAGGGTTATCTGAACACAAAGACTTGACCAAGCGACACACTCCAAGCAGCCCTTATGGAATTCTACAGAACAATCACTGGCATGTAATGAGATAAAAGTTTGCCGAGGACTTAAGAAAATTAGATCACCAAGAAATTACTGCCTAGAGCCAAAAAAAATTTTTTTTGTTCCTTAAGAAGGCCTTCTCTAGGGGCACCTGGGTGACTCAACCATTAAGCATCTGCCTTCGGCTCAGGTCATGATCCCAAGGTCCTGGGATCGAGCCACGCATCGGGCTCCGTACTCAGTGGGAAGCCTGCTTCTCTCTCTCCCACTCCTCCTGCTTGTGTTCCCTCTTCCACTGTCTCTATCTCTCTCTCTCTGTCAAATAAATAAAATCTTTAAAAGAAAAAAAAAAAAAGGAGAAGAAGAAGGACTTCTCTAGGCAGGAGGGAAGTGACTCGTCAAAGGGACAAAAAGGTAATCAGCAGGCTTTCCCAGGTAATGTGGTTCCCAAAGACGTGGGTTTTCCAAGTTTTCTTTTTAAAGCATATGAATGTGAATTGACTGCTGAATCCCATAAGGTTTTTCCGAATACCAGGGGGCAAAAAGTATATTATACCTTGAAGAAAAAGCGATCCTTGTAGGCACTGCCACTTAAAATCAAATCCTCAAAAACAAATATAGGAAAAGTCTTTCATTACAATACTGCAATCTACATGCTGTCATTTGGCTTATTTAACAAAACAGAAACTCATGTGCAAAAATTTCTTCAAATATTTTAGCAATTCTTAGAGTCCAACTTCTTAGTGCATGAGCTCATATACAGATATAACCAATACAGAACATCAGGTCCTTTACCTTTTTAGGAAGGGGAGAGAAACATAAATGGTATTATTCAACCTGATCACTCCTTCTGGTTCTAGCTGATTTCTTCCTAAAAAATTTAGTCCTCAAAACAAAAATTTACCACAAACAAAGATATCCTGAAGAACGTACTGTCGGCTCAAAAGACCGTTCCAAAGAAGGGATTCAACTCTCCCTTGGGCAGTTGATGGCAGCACAGCTGGAACAAGATGTTGGAACAACGTGTCCCAAGGTGACAGTGAGGACAACCTTCACATGCAAACACAAGCTCTGATACATTTGTTTAATATCTAGTCATGTTGGGGTACCTGGGAGGCTCAATCGGTTAAACATCTACCTTCAGCTCAGGTCACGATCCCAGGGTCCTGGGATCGAGTCCCGCATCGGGCTCCCAGCTCAGTGGGGGGTCTGCTTCTCCATCTCCCTCTGCTACCCTCTCCCCTCACCGAAACTCGGGTGCTCTCTCTCTCTGGTCTCTTCCAAATAAATAAATAAAATCTTTTTTTAAAACCTAGTCATGTTAATTAGAAATACCTCATACTAAGGATATTTTAGAAGCGAGAACTTCTAGAAGCAGTTACCAATCCTTCTTTTCACAAATGTATCCTTCTTTTATGTTCTTTATGACTTTGGTCAGTGAACAGCAAAATGTTTCTCTCTCAACTGCAAAAACAGACTTTCTTCATTAAGACCCAGGTTGCCAGATTCTACCAGGCCTGCTGTTAAAGACCAGTGGAAACTGATTTTATTTTTACTCTCTTAAAAAACCATACCTAAGTGGAAGCCTACTTCTCTCTATCAGAGCAGGGAAGGCCTATCATTCTGGCAGGAGGGCTTCCTTCAGCGAGGTCAACAGCAATCCAGTCCTGAATCATCAGCTCTGCCTGAGGGCCCGACTACGAAGCTGAAGCTGTGAGGTCATCGTGGGGGTGTTCAGCCTTCCCATGCTGAGCACTGCTGCTCAGGCATCACCCTCTGCTCTGATCACTGCATCAGGTTTCTTTGAGTGACTACAAGTGAGGTGATACATGGACAACCCACCCCTCAACCCTTCGTCCAAACACCGTCACTCTGGTCTGAACCCAAGGTTATGACACATGAACATGGCTGCCACGTCCACGCCGTCTGTCTGCACCCTTCTTACTCTATCAGCTCCCACTCGCTGAGTTAAGTATTTTCAGCTCAGGATGTGCAGCTTAGTAAGAGTGAGTAAATGGATGAGTGAGAAGCAAAACAAATGAAGAAAAATATGGAGACAGTAATTTGAAAACAAAATTATTTGAGTTCAGGTATTACCAACAAATATCGTCTCCTGTTACTTTCTGAACAGAGCTGAGGTTCTTGGCAACGTCCTGGTGACAACTAGAACCCAACTCACAGTTTTTCATTTTCTTTTCCTTCTACACCTAGAGAGGCAAACAGTAACTGCTCAAATTTGTGTCTTTTCTGTGATCATCTCTGGAGTTCTTCCCTTGAAAATTATTTTAATGAACTCAGCCACACCCTTTAGAAAATTCCAAAGAGCTACAGGTATGCAGGCCGGGGTCCGTAAGGCACATGGTAGGAACAGCCTTCCCCAGCTGACTGTCCCCACACAGGCCTAATCCTAACAGCGCAGGGTGAAGGCATAGCTCAGCTGAGAGTGTAGGAAAGGCAGACACACCAAGTCTGAGGCCCGTGCTGTACTTCTGACTAGCTGTATTATCCAAAAGAAATGACCCACCCTAACTAAGTCTCCATATCTTCAGCTCGAAAAATGGGGTTAATAAAACCAGATACCCCCTTAGGTTGCTAAGGAGAAAAAAAAAATCGACAAATATGTAAAGAGCTTAGCACTGGTTGGTATATAAGAAGCATCCAATGAATGTTGACTATGTACTGCTATTATTGCCAGTCGTAAGAGCTCATAATGAAATCCCGTGCACCTCCTCCTTCAAAGGCTCTCTCCCTATGTTATTAGCTATTAGACTAAAGACGGGCATGACTAGCTACGAATTTCAGTAACTGCTTTTCTGACAAGCTAAAATGAATTTGTTCTTCATAAGCAAATATACTGCAAAGCCGTCGTGGAAACCAGCAAGGTTCCATTAAAATACACACCTCGAACAGCAAGACCTCGTCCTAAGTTCCATCAGTGTTAGCCTCCCTGACTGCAGAAGTGGGTGGGAGGGGCCCAAGAGACCACCTTCGAAACAAACACCGTGACTTACTACATGAACGTAAAATGAAAGCAACAATCTTCAGCCCAGTCACTGCTAAACATTGTCATAAGAAATAAATAAGAGCTAAAGTAGTTTTAAACTGTAAAGCCACACACTATATAAAATTTTATCATGAAGATATGAATGGCTTCAGATAAACCATGGGCCAAATCCCATCCTCTGAAAAAAGGCAGGTCACGTAAAAAGTTGATCACTTATAAGGTCAGCCTGTGAGAAAAGCATTATACAGACAGAAGGTTGGTTCTGTTGGTTGTTTGCATACAACTGGTAAAGGTTATAATTTATACTATCTCTATTAAAAGGTTAACTGAAATGTCAATAAAATGTAAAAAAAAAAATTGTTCAAGCCGCATACACCACAAAAGTAACAGCAGCTACAAGTCATCTTGGGGCAACATATGAAATCTTCCACTGGCCCACGAGTAGTTGGACTATTTGAGGGAATGGATATTGACGGCTCACCTTATCTTGTAAGGAAAAGGTCCCAGGAAAACCAGCAAAGAGAAACTTGTTCTTGACCTTCAACTTCCCCAAATTTGCTACAATCAGATTATTTGATCTGGAACTTTCAGGGATAAGGAGAACGGGAGCACCCGCCTCAATATCCAGGAGAACCCGTGAACAGCGCTGGGCTTGGTCTCTCACCTGAAACAGGAAGAAAAATGAACTCAGAGGCTCCATCAATGCCCTAATCTTGTAACCAGACAGCCTCCGGCTCCCAAAGTTCCATGAATTCATGATTCTAAAACAACTGAAATCACACAGAATATATTCCAGCACCATGGAGTTACACTAGAAATCGATAACAAGATTTATAACAAGATTGGAAAACCCCCAAATATTTGGAAAGTAGACTACACACTTAATAACCCAAGGGTCAGAGACGAAATCGCAGGGAAACAGAAAAATATTTTGGCCTGATTAAAAAAAAAAAAAATGGAGCATATTCAAATCTGTGGGACACACTTAAAACAGTGCTTAATGAAAAATGTATAGTATAGTATTAAACGCTTATTTTATGTAAAAGAATAAAGATTAAAATCACTGACCAAAGTCTAAGAAGCTAGAAAAAGGAACAGCAAAATGAACCTAAGTATGTAGAAGGGGAAAAAATAATATAACGCAGAAATCAGTTATTTAGAAAACAGATGGATAATTTTTAAAAATCAATTAAACATTTATACAACACGATACCCAACAACCATAGAATATACAATATTTCCAGGTGTACATGGCATACTCGTTGATAATATGCCTGGGCCATGATACAGGCCTCGATAAGTTAATTATTTGAAAAGGCTGATAAAACCAATGAACCTCTAGCTATACCAATCAAGAAAACAAAAATAGTCACTATCAGGAAGAAGTATGGGACATTGCTACAGAACCTACAAAAAATTTTTTTATTATTTTATTCATTTCAGAGAGAAAGGGAGAGAGCACGACTGAGTGGGAGGGGCAGAGGGAGAGGGAGAAGCAGACCCTCACTGAGCAGGGAACCTGATGTGGGCTTGATCCCAGGACAGCAGGATCATGACCTGAGCAGAAGGCAGATGCTGAACCGACGGAGCCACCCAGGCATCCCCACCAGAACTTACAAACATTTAAAAATAAGGCAACCTATGAACAATTTCATGCCAACAAACTGACAATTTAGATGAAGTGGAGAGATTCCTTAAAAAGCACATGCACAGGGGCGCCTGGGTGGCTCAGTGGGTTAAGCCTCTGCCTTCTGCTCAGGTCATGATCTCGGGGTCCTGAGATCGAGCCCTGCATCGGGCTATCTGCTCTGTGGGGAGCCTGCTTCCTCCTCTCTCTCTCTGCCTACCTCTCTGCCTACTTGTGATCTCTGTCTGTCAAATAAATAAATAAAATCTTAAAAAAAAAAAAAAAGCACATGCACAAACCATCTATGGCTAACATCAGATTTACAGAATGTTTTCCCGCTTAGATAAGAAACAAGGCAAGGGGCTCCCCTCTTACCACTTCTATTCAACATTATGCTGAAGTCCCTAGTCTGTACAAAAAGACCTACAGGTTGGAAAGGAAAAAAATACAACTCTCTTATTCCAAACAACATAATCACCCATGGAGAAAATCCTAAAGATTTAGGATAAGTTTAGCAAGAATGAAGGGTAAGAGCTCAACATGTCAATATATGAAAGTTAATTATATTTCTCACACATTCAATAAACAATTGGACATTGAAATTTTCTTAAAAATTGATTATCATTTACAATAGCATCAAAATTTCAAAGACCTAGGGATCAATTTAACAAAAAAGATGTGTGAGATCAGTAACACAATAGTGAGAGAAACTGAAGTCCTAGTTAAATGGAGAGCTATATCACATTAGAGGTCCAAAGATTCAATATTATTAAGAGATATATAGGGCGCCGGGGTGGCTCAGTGGGTTAAGCCTCTGCCTTCGCCTCAGGTCACGATCTCAGGGCCCTGGGATAGAGCCCCGCATCGGGCTCTCTGCTCAGCAGGGAGCCTGCTTCCCCCCCCTCTCTCTGCCTACTTGTGATCTCTGTCTGTCAAATAAATAAAATCTTAAAGAGAGAGAGAGAGAGAGATTCAGTGCAATCCCAATCAAAATCCCAGCAGATTTTACTGTAGAAAGATTCTAAAATTTGTATGGAAAAGCAAAGGTCCTAAAGTAGCCAAAACACCTCTGAAAAAAGAACAAAGCTAGAGGCTTACACTACCCAATTGCAGGACACGGTGTAAAGTGACAGCTGTTAAGATGGTACCGGCATACAATTAAACACAAATCAAGGGAACAGAATAGAAAGTGAAGAAATATACACATCCCTGTATGGTCCACTGTTTCTCAACAGATGTGCCAAGATAACACAACGGGAAACGAACAGTCTAGAAACGCACCTGGGGGACAAAACAGCTCCCCCCTCACTTCATACAATACACAAATATTAACTAAAGGGACACCTGGCTGGCTCTCAGTCAGTAGGGCATGCACCTCTTGATCTCAGGGTTGTGAGTTCAAGCCCCATGATGGGTGTAGAGATGACTTTAAAAAGTAAGAATATTTAAAAATAATTTACTCAAAATGGAAGAGATCTAAAATTATAAAACTTCGAACAGAGGACATAGGAAAAAATTTTCGCCACCTAGTGGTGGACAAAGATTCCTTTGACAAAACACAAACAGCACTAACCATAAAGGGAAAAAATTGGACTTCATCAAAATGGAAAAACTTCTGCTTTTCTTTTTTTTTTTAAAGATTTTATTTATTTTATAGACAGAGATCACAAGTAGGCAGAGAGGCAGGCAGAGAGAGAGGAGGAAGCAGGTTCCCCACTGAGCAGAGAGCCCGATGTGGGGCGCGATCCCAGGACCCTGAGATCATGACCTGAGCCTAAGGCAGAGGCTTTAACCCACTGAGCCACCCAGGCACCCCCGAAAAACTTCTGCTTTTCAAAGAACAGTGTTAGGAAAATGGGAAAAAAGCCATAGACTGGGAGAAGGTATTCACAACACATATATCAAAGGGCTTGTACCAGAATATACAAAGAAGGAAAGAATATCAATTCTACACAAACTCTTCTGAAAATAGAAAAGGGAACACTTCAAATTCATTCCACAAGGAAAGCGTTACCCCATTACCAAAACCAGAAGAGGCATTATTTTTTATCCCAGGAAAGAAACCTACAAACTAATATGCCTCAGGAACATAGATATAAAAATCCGTAACAAATCAAGAAAACTATAAAAATACGCGCATAATACGTAAATGAATGAATTGGCTGTTTTCCAATAAAACTTTATGTACGTGTGTATGTAGGTGCATATTCTCACAGGCCATACTTTGCCAACCCCTAGAATAACTGAATGCTTTTCCCCTATGATTGGAAACCAGGTGAGGATGCCTGCTCTCACCCTTCCATTCAACATTGTCCTGGAAGTCTTAGTCAGTGTAGTAAGAGAAGAAAAAGAGTTGAAAGGCGTACAGATTGAAAAGGAAAAAGTAGGGGCGCCTGGGTGGCTCAGTGGGTTAAGGCCTCTGCCTTCGGCTCGGGTCATGATCCCAGGGTCCTGGGATCGAGCCCCACATTGGGCTCTCTGCTCAGCAGGAAGCCTGCTTCCCCCTCTGTCTTTGCCTGCCTCTCTGCCTACTTGTGTTCTCTCTGTCAAATAAATAAATAAAATCTTTAAAAAAAAAAAAAAGAAAAAGAAAAGGAAAAAGTAAAACTCTATTCAAAGACAACGTGATCATCTATGCAAAAAATCCTAAAGAATCTCCAAAAAGTAACTGGAACTGGTAAGTATATCTAGCAAAGTTGCAGGGTGTAAGGTCAGTGTCTAAAAATCAATTTTATCTCTATGTATATACTCTACAGAGAATCAGAAATTGAGACTTTTAAAATATCACTTATAACAGCATCAAAAATATAAAATGCCGGGCGCCTGGGTGGCTCAGTGGGTTAAGCTCCTGCCTTTGGCTCAGGTCATGATCTCAGGGTCCTGGGATCGAGCCCCGCATCAGGCTCTCTGCTCCGCAGGGAGCCTGCTTCCTCCTCTCTCTCTCTCTGCCTGCCGCTCTGCCTACTTGTGATCTCTCTGTCAAATAAATAAATAAAAATCTGTTTAATTAAAAAAAAAAAGATGTTTTAAAAAAATATATATATAAAATGCCTAGGGATCAATTTAATCAAAGGTGTGTAAGACCAGTACATTTAAAACTACGAACACTCCTGAGAGAAACTGAAGACCTAAATAAATGGAGAAAATAGGCCACACTCAAACAAAAGACTCAATAGTACGAAGATGTCAATTCTCCGAAAGTTGACCTACAGATCCAATACAATCCCAATCAAAATTTCAGCAGGCTTTTAGAATCAGCTTGTCAGTTTCTCTAACAAAGCCTGCTGAAATTTTGATACAGAAACTGACAAGCTGACTCTAAAATCCACACAAAAAAACAAAGCATCTAGAATAGCAAAAACAATTTTTTAAACTTTTTATTCTTTTGGGATTTTTTTTTTTTTTTTAAAGGTGGCTCCATTCCCAATGTGGAGCCCAAACACACCAACGTGGAGATCAAGAGTCATGTGCTATACCGCCTGCACCGGCGAGGTGCCCTCACCAGAACAATTCTGAAGACAGTTCCTTATAAAGTCAACCACACAGTTACCACCTGGCATGGCAATTCCTCTCTTCGGTCTTTCCTTAAGAGAAATGAAAACATACAACCACACAAAGATCTCAACACAAGTGCTCACAGCAGTTTGATTCACAATAGCCAAAAACCTGAAACGACCCAAATGAACATAAAGAGGGTGAATGGATAAACAAATTGTATTACATTCAACGGACAGAATACTACTCGCCAATAAAAGGAAACCACAAGGCTGCTACTTACAACAATATGGACGGATCTCAAAAGCGTTGCGCCAAGTGAAAAAAGCCAGATACAACTATGCAGTGTGATTTCATTTATAGAATATTCTAAAAAAAAAATAAAAAAAAAAAAAAAAACAGAAAAGAAAAAATGGCAGAACTATTCTGACGGAAAACAGACCAATGGCTGCCAGACACAGGGATCAGGAGACTGTTTGCCTAGGAAACAAGGAGACTTTGTGGGTAACAGAAATGTTCTAAAAATCTGGATGTGACTGGGG